AATAGAGTGAAAAGCGCAGCCGCCCTCTGAGCTCGAGCAGCATCTGCGGGCTTTTGCTGGGGCTGGTGAGTTCAGACCTTTACCCTCCAAGGCTGAGGCGTAGCGTGGGCTTTAGCGTTGAGGCTGTTTCTGTAGGTTTTCGAAGCCTTACACTGGCAGAGAGTTTGTTGTGTCAGTCCCCGGACCTCTACCTCCCCGCCGCTTCATAGAAGCCTTTGCTCTTATTCCTCCCCGCTTAGTTTTACAGATTTCCCCCCATGAGGGAGGACTCCGTCGAAGTATTGTAGAAGGGGGGGCTGCGTGGGTGCTACGGGCAGCAGGTAGGTGTAGACCTTGCTGGCGTCTTGCCGGTTGCTCATCTACTAGCGCAGGGCCCTCATTGTGTAAGTAGACAGCAGGACACCATAAAAATGCAACGCCATTAGGGGCACACGCATGACGTGACTACATGGCTTGGGCATGGTATTGCACTAGAAGCGAGAGAAGCTTGTCTCTTGCAGTGTATTCGTCGCGTACTCGCTCACGCTCTAACGAACTGGGAAGGTGCTAAAAACATTGAGGATGGACCCGGTATACCTTCATGAAGTCCTTCATAAGCAGCTGCAGATCTGGTCGCTAAGTCTCTTCACGCTTGGAGCTGACGGCGCTGCCATAAATTAAGGACGCCAGAGCACACGGGCCCAGACCCTGCACCGCAAACGGGATTTTCGATGGAAATCCTGGATGAGAGAAAGCATAGATTTGTAGACATCTCCAAAAGCTGCTTTTCATATATAACGGAAAGCACAAATGGAATTAGAGGGGCGAGAACGTCGCAAGTGGCTCACTTTCTCGGTGTTGGCCTTGGCGCTTTTCTTGCACCTGTGGCACGCACTCTATCAGCATAATTTTTCAGGGAGATCGGCCTCCGGTGGGCACCCGTAAGGTGGACCGAACGCCGTAGAGCTGTCCAAATGAGTCCCACCGCATACCTCCCCCTATTATAAGGGTGATTCTTGTCGCTCTCCTTGATGCGTGACGCGTCACGCGTCACGCCTCCCACGTCACGCCTCCTATATGAGGCGTGACGCGGGAGGCGTCACGCGTCACGCGTCGCCCCGAAGCCGCCCGCGGATCTATGAAGGAGCTCCGGAACTATGAAGGATCTCCGGATCTATGAAGGATCTACGGATCTATCAAGGATCCGCGGAGCGATCGAAGGTCCACGGTTCTTTCAGCGGATCACTCAAGGATCCGCGGAGCGATCGAAGGTCCACGGTTCTTTCAGCGGATCACTCAAGGATCCGCGGAGCGATCGAAGGTCCACGGTTCTTTCAGCGGATCACTCAAGGATCCGCGGAGCGATCGAAGGCCCGCGGTTCTTTCAGCGGACCACTCAAGGATCCGCGGAGCGATCGAAGGCCTCTTTCAGCGGATCACTCAAGGATCCGCGGAGCGATCGAAGGTCCACGGTTCTTTCAACTGATCACTCAAGGATCCGCGGAGCGATCGAAGGTCCACGGTTTTTTCAGGGGATCACTCAAGGATCCCCGGATCTTTCAAGGATCCACGGATCTATCAAGGATCCCCGGATCTATCAAAGAAAGATCCGCGGAGCGATCGAAGATCCGCAGATCTATCAAGGATCTGATCCACAGATCTATCAAGGACTCACGGATCTACCAAGGACCCACGGATCTACATCTATCAAAGCAAGATCCGTGGAGCGGTCGAAGGTCCACGGATCTATCAAGGGTCCACAGATCTAGACTCGTCAAAATCAAGCCCCTCCTGCCCGTTGTTGCGTGCTGCGTGACGCTTGAAATTGAGGGCAGACATTTCATCCCCCCCGAAGCTCTGGGCGTGACGCGGTGGGCGTCACGCGTCACGAAACAGCTCTACGGCGTTCAGTAAGTCCCACGGTGGGCACCCCTGTCGAAAATTCTGGCAGAATTTGAAGCAAAAACGGAGCAAACACAAACCCAGAAACACCGACGCACAGACGGCAAGGCAATTTCCAACACTACGCCCGAAACACAACGCAGCAACAAGAGCAGCGACAAAGCGCAAAAGCGCCCAGCCTTCTTCGAGCTGTTTATCGTCTCCAGCCTGTGACAGCCTTCAGGGCGTTGCCTTGACACTCACGAGCGCAGCGCTTCGGGGCGCACCCTGGCGGCAGCAGGGCTAACTCAGAAGCGGGCCTGAGGAGAAGGAGACACCCTGCCCTCACCGCCATGTCCCTTCCGCCTCGGGGCTTCAGTGGTAATCTATCCCCAGCAGAGATGGCCGGCCCTTGTGCGCACCGGCTTGGCACAGTCACAGCACTCCAAGACACCCCACGCGGGAACCATCGTCGCGGGCACAAAAAAACAAAGCACAGCCAGCTCTGTGGCAATACGTCCAGCATGCCATGCCCGGCTCCCTCTTTCCACATGCTGCCCCCCAAAAGAACCCACTCCTCCGCCGCTCGCTGCGCCCGCCAGATCGTTTGCACGCGCACGACCATGAGGCGGCAACCAACCCGCGGAGCCTCTACTGAGCTGCCCCGCCACGCTGCAAGAAGTCACGGCCGTGTGCTTGTGGTTCTTGTGATCGTCCACGCCATGGCCTTGCGCAAAACGAAGAGAAGAGACGCCACACGCATGACAGGCGTGCAGCTCTCTGGCCTACAAAGTGACCACAAAAAGAACACCAAAAAACCCGTCAAAGAGCTCGCGGAAGGTGTCAAAGAGTGCCGCCCCTTCTTTGAAATAACGACCAGCAGAAAAGCCTGCCTCGGCTCCCCGCAGAATTTCGCAGCAGCCCCCTGGCTGCCTGCTAAACATGCAGCCTGAACGGTGGTCCCTTACTTTCAGAGCAGCCACCCGAAAACAAACACCGCGGGGGCATCCCAGAAGCCAAGCGCGTGGGGATGCCCCCGGAGATGACACCACCGAGGGCTGGAGCCACGGCGCGCCGCCTGCTCGCCAGGTTGGCGCGCCTGGCCTCGTTCCACCGACGACACCAAGGCGCCACCGATGCCCGCGTGATGAGTGCCACACAAATAACTGGAACCGAACACCACCAGAACCTACCCACCCCGGCGCACCCGGTGGGGCAGAAGTGATGACAACAAAGCCCCCACACACTCTCCCAAGGGTAAAGCACATCCAACGACACTCACAGCACGACAAGGACTGACACGAGCCAAGCGGCTGAAGCTTGCCCCGCCTTTTGTTTGCTTTTGTTTGGTTTTCTGAGTGTTTTCGCCCCTCAGCGTGGGCGCCCCTCAATAGTTTAGAGTCGGCGCCAGTGCTCGCGCCGGCGAGAGCGTTATGTAGGCTGGCCGCTACAGGGCGATGCCCCTTCTTTTGAAATTGGCGCTCCTTATTTCCCTCGGGCGCGCACTCTGAAGGGTTTTGCTCAGTTCTGTATTCGGGTGGCTTCCGGTCTTGCTGGTGTATTTAGAAGGGGCAAACAGTTACAGCACCAAGCAGGAAGGGAAGGCGTCGGGGTAGGTTTTTTGTTTTTCGTCAGAGCATAAAAGCGCCCGATGTGTTTAGGGTCTCGGCGCGGAGGGCTTTTGCTTTCGTGTCATGCTGGGCGTTTCTAGTATCGATGGCGCTCATCCCTCGGCATGAGTATGGTTGCGCAGCTGCTCTCTACCCTTGTCCTTTAAGTGGAACGCGCGTGACAGTAGAATGGCAACGACCTCGACAGGCTTGGGCGCTTACGTCGTAGCACTTTCCTCGCCAATTTTTCTAGCTCTATAACTCTCAGCAGATTGCTGAGGGGAGTCTCGTCGACAGAGTTCACCGCACTCTTTAGAATCAATAGGCGTCGCCTACCCAGGATTTGTGGGTGGCATTCTCTAAACGCAAGAGGGCTGGAGTGACAGGATCATGAAACAAAAGCAAAAAGGTTGGAGCGTCCAAGCAGGCGAGAGGACGAAGCAAAAGCAACCAAAGTGGAGGGCGGCCATGAATTATGTAAAAAAAGTCGCGGCGGCGGCGTCCGGTCTCACTGGTGCAGCAGCAAAAATACCACCAGCCAAACAAGCTGCCACCGCGGGTAGGCGTGGTGCTAAGTATATGGTGCAGAGTGGTGAAGGTCCAGCCGCCGTGGAACCAGGAGAAGGAGGCAGCGATCAAGGCCGTAGTGATGATCTAAGGCAAGGGGCTGGAGCTGTAGATGGAACAGCCGGAGCCGAACAAAGTAGACACCAAGAGGCAAAAGCAGTAGAAAAAAATAAAGCATGGGGCTACACGCCACAAATTTCTTTCGGTGGAAACCTGGAAGTCCCTGAAAAGGCGCCACAAGCCCCAACTTCTGCGGTTCTGCATCTGGTTAAGCGCGGTCTTTGTTCTGTTGGGTATCTATAGGCATTTAATATTTGCAATATCAACAAGAGGCAGGCGCCTGCAGTAGAAAGAGAGTTCCATGATCTTGATATCGTAGGTAGGACCAATAACCCTGAATGGTACAACTACTGATAGCAGAACATTCTTAGTTTAGAAATAGGTATAATTAGTGGAACTAAAAATCGTAACTCAAAGTGGAATTCAAAGCAGGGAACTCCGAACAAGGATTAAACTTTTCTAGTGCTTTGTCGTTGTCCCGCCAGATTCCACGTAGGGACAAGTATCCCAGGAGCACTTCCAGTCGTAGTCCCATTCCAGGCATGTAATAAAGGGGCATGCGAATCCTATTTCAGACATCCACGTGATACAGTTCTTAGTGCTTCTTTTAGTGCCAGTACCTACTTTCCCATCATCATCACCATCATCAAAGTCATCACCATCGTCGTGGTTGTCTATGTATTACTAGAATCGTGCTCGTACCTAGAATCTTATCCACGTCCGTACCCTAGTACTAGTCTGGTGCTAGTACTAGTCGATACCTCTCCAAGTCTGGTAATCTGCTCCAACCCTCTCCAAGTCTGTGTTGCTGTGCTTCTAGTACTAGGGCCAATATAGAAGCCCAACACGACTACTTCCGCGTCTAATCTGAAGGTGACTAACTCTTACGACTCCGACAGTCAAATGAGCACCCGGAAAGCAGTTCGGCTTCTTTTTCAGGAATGCACAGACGCCCGAAGTTCTGACGTTGATGATCACGAACAGCGACAGCAACGTTATGATCAAAGTGGTGAGCAAGAAACTGAACGCGCTTCACAGCTTTCCTCCAGTTACTTGCGCCACAAATGACGCATATGCAATGGCCTGGTCTAGTAAGGTCCTCTTTCAAATAAGCGTAGCGTTTAAGTAGAAGCTGAAAGGTCTTGGAGGAGATCATCTCTCGTCGACGTGGAAGAGGTCATCTCTCCACTGAAGTCGTCCACCTTCAGTGCGTGTTTCAGTAGGAATACTCGAAGTGATAGCCCACTTTTACTAAGCAGGCACTCTTCTAATTTATCCCTGGCAAAGGACGCGAAGCCATGAAGAAATGCGACCACGCGCTTCCAGAATAAGGCAGCATAAAACTTTTCTATCACATTTTCCTCTCCCATCTCCCTGAACTACCTTGAGTATAAGAGTATGGACTTGATGACTTCTGCTCTACCGGATGCTCCGAATGTTTCAGGCCATTCAGACGTAGATAAACTACCTACGATATTGTGAAGTTGTCTGAACACATGCACCTCGGCAGTCACATTTTGACACATAGTAGTGCGCAAAACAAATTCATCAAGAGAAAGATTACCACTTATATATAAGAGTCCAGTCGGGCGTTTTAATTTAGTATGAAGATGAAGTAGCGTTCGTATCACCATGAGCATGAAGCTTCATCTTCAACACCATCAGTAAACACTCAGCCTTGGTTTGTCATATTTTTCATTTTCTATTTTTCAGTTAAAGCTTTTTTTTTGAGAAATCGTTCATGCCAATCAAAGTAAACCAGCTTCCTCGCAAATGGATGGGAGTGGGACACAAGACCAAACAGCTAAGTCGCAACCGGAAGCATGGCAAGCCTCTCTTATGGCTTATTGTTAAACCATGAGTAACTAAGCGTTTTAGAACTTCCACTGATATCCCATATATGGACACAGGCACACAGATATTACTGCTACTTTTGAACTTGAACTAGAAGTGGTAGCGCCCCCTCCTCTATGGATATTTATAGTCACTCTGCTGATCTCCCTTTGCTTTTTTTGCTGGGAGCGAAGGAAGGCGAGCGATATTCATATTTCTTATATTTAGAAATTTGCATGTAGTTGTAGATCCACTCTTCTATTTCTTGGCCCTTGTCTGATGCTTACCAGTTATTAGCTAAAAATACCTTCTTATTTTCATTCTTATTCTTTGTAGTTCCTACTAACTCCTGGAAGTCCTAGTACTTTTTAGTTAAATGCTCTAAGATGTCGACGGAAAAAGGCGAGCCGTCCGAAAAAGCGGGCCGCAGACGTGAGAAATCCCTCGAGGAATTGCGAAGAGAGAAAAAGGCACAAATAGACCAAATTCGGGCCAGCCACTCCATAACACTCGCATTAGTTCCAACGAGGGCGAACGAAAATGGGGCAGATGATATTAAGGCAGCTAAAAGCTTTTCTGATTCTGTTTTTCTTGTCAAAAAATATATTTACCGCCCACGTGCCCCCGGCGTGCGGAAGGGTCTGGCAAATGCTACGAGTTACATAAAATCCATACGGCCTACCGGCGTGCTACGAATTACGTAAAGAGTGGCGGGCTATGGAATAAGCAAAGCAGCTCCGCGCTACAAGCTACTACGTGCTACATAAACCCCCACCCTGGCAGCACCCGAAACGCCCAAAAGGGACTCCTTCGAACGAATGAGGCAAACGGGTAACCAAATACATACGCCGAGAGTCAAATCCTTGAGCAGATCACTCCAGGCCTGCTGTTTTCGGTTCTCAGCGTAGTGGCTGGGCGAAGCACTGCAGTCGACTCCGCTCACCGTGAGAACCTCGCGCGCCCCCTGGCCCGGGTTTTGGGCGTGGGTCCCCTACTCTTGGAGCGTGTTGCGTCTCCGGCTGGCATGGCAGTGCCACGAGGGGGGCCCCAGGCTTGTCGCTTTCGGTTCTCAGCATAGTGGGCGAAGCACTACGCCCGACTCCGCTCACCATGAGAACGTCTACCGTGGGTCTTTTCCGTGGAGAGAACTAGGGGGCGGCTCCGTTCTACTCTCGGCTTGTTTGCGGGGTTTTACTCTTTGCGCCGTTTTGGGTTTTCCATCCAAATCGCGCAGCTTTATGGTGTCGCGCTGCTGCCTGCGTTTCAGCTGCTTCGCGTGTGCTCTCTGTGAGCCATTTACCCTCCCAAGCTTACGGCGAGTTGCGCTCTCTCGCTTAGCTTCCCTATCTGCTTCTGGCTTTCTCGAGAGGTGTGGGCATGCGTCATCTCAAGGCTTTGATCTAAGTGAACAAGAACAACGCCACGCGAGCAGTGCTGTGCGGCTTTCATGTGCTTGGGCGATGCAATCTGTGAGCCGCTTGAGCTTTCTGATCAGAAAGCAGGCCCAAGCCTATGGGCTTGCTAGAAGCTTATGGCTTACTCGAGAGGCCTTGCCCTTTGCGCCCATTCTTTTCTGATCCAAAAAGCGCAGCGCGATGAAGTTGCTGCGTACTTGTGAGCTGCTTAAGAGGTCCCACCCTTTGGCTCAGTTCAAGTAGACCCTCATCCAAACGGCGCAACGCTGTGAAGCTGCTGGCCCTTTTGACTTGCTGGGAAGGTCTCACCCTCTGACCCAGCGCAGGCACCCTACCCAAAAGGCGCAGCCTTATGAAGTTGCTGCCTACTTTTGAGTGACCTGCTTGAGTTGAAAGGCCTCGGCTTTTGACTCTGCTCAAACCTCCCACCCAAAAAGCGCAGCTGTATGCTATTGCCCTCTACTTTTGACCTGCTTGAAAGGTCCCAGCTTTTCAGTCAGCTCACTCAGAGGTCTTCCACAATCAAAGGGCGCAGCTCTATGAAATTGCTGCCCACTTTTGACCTGCTGGAAAGGTCTCGCTCTTTGGCCCAGATCTGGCCAGCTTGGTTATTCAAAGCGCGCAGCTTTATGGAATTGCTGCCCACTTTTGACCTGCTTGAAAGGTCCCACCTTTTGACCAAGCTCGGGCATCCTATCCAAAAAGCGCAACGCCATGGGGCTGCTGTCTGCTTTTGGCTTGGCTTGCTTGAGAGGTCCCGCCTTTTGCCTTTCTTTGCTCGAGCTCCTTGCTCAAAAGGCGCAATCTACTTCATGAAGCTGCTGCCTACTTTTGGCCTGCTCGTAAGGTCCCACGCTTTCACTCAGTCAAGTCAGGCGCCTTACTCAAAGAGCGCAACTCTAGGAAATTGCTGCCCACTTTTGACCTGCTTGAAAGGTCCCACCTTTTGACCCAGCTCAGGCCACTCAGGCATCCTATCCGAAGCGCGCAGCTTTATGCGCTTGCTGTCGTCTGCTTTTGGCCTGCTTGAAGGGTCCCACCTTTTCACTCTGCTCCAGCCTCCTATGCAAAGCGCGTGGCTTTATGCGTTTCGTGTCTATTTTTGACCTGCTTGAAAGGTCCCACCCTTTGACCCAGCTCCCTCAGGCCCCTTATCCAAAGAGCGCAACGCTATGAAGTTGCTGCCTCCTTTTGAGCTGCTTGAAAGGTGTCGCCCTTTGACTTAGCTCAGACCTGTTATCCAAAGAGCGCAACTCTATACCGTTGCTGTCAGCTTTTGAGCTGCTTGAAAGGTCTCACCCTTTGACGCCGCTCAGGCTCCTTATCCAAAAAGCACAACTTTATGAGATTGCTGTTTACTTTTGACCTGCTTGAAAGGTCTCACCCCTTGAGCCAGCTCAGACCTCACAACTTTATGAGATTGCTGTCTACTTTTGATCTGCTTGAAAGGTCCCACCCTTTGAGCCCGCTCAGACTCCTTATCCTAAAAGCGCAAACTTATGGGATTGCTGTCCACTTTCGAGGTGCTTAAAAGGTCCCGGCCTTTTAGTTTGAGCCAGCTCAGACTTCTTATCCAAAAGGCGCAGCTTTATGAAGTTGCTGTCTGCTTTTGACGTGCTTGAGCGGCCTGATCCTTTGAGTCAGCTCGTAATCCTTATCCAAAGCGCGCAGCTTTATGCAGTCGCTGTCTACTTTTGACCTGCTTGAAAGGTCTGACCCTTTGAGCCAGCTCAGGCGCCTGATCCAAAAAGCACGCAGGTGCCCACTTGCTCAGCGTATAGCTGCTGGGTGCTTGCCTCTGTTTGCGTTTCTTTGTTTGCATGTGGGTCCTTTTTGTAGCACATACGCAGACGCAGCGGATTTCCATTCTTCACGAGATGACTGGCCCCAGGCTGAGGCGCTTCGCTCTTCGTTTTTTGTCCATGCAGCGCAGTCCTTGGCTTGTGCTGTTGGTTCAGGGTTTTGAGGTACTGCCGAAAGCCTTAGCAGGAGCAGAATCGCGGGAAAGTTGTACTCAAAAACGCGGCAATTTTACGGCGCGAGATGTATACATCTAGCCCGTACATCTTTCCCATGATTTCCGTACATCTCAAAAAAGTGGAATTTTGGAAACCTACTATGAACCGCCCCGGTGTCTGTAAGTACATCTCAAGAGTACATCTCTCCCGTGATTTACGTATAGGATATATATCTCGAGATATTTATCTCAGACGTATACGTCTCACCCGTACACCTTTGCCATGATTTGCGTACATCTCAAGCCGTAAACTCACTCCTGTTTAGCATTCGAAATTAAATAAGTTTTGGTTTATAATATAGATAATTATAGTATATGGATTTAGATATACAGACTTTCGTCAAAATTGTTAAGCTGAATAAGGTTGACACTCAAGCTCATTAAGAACTACATTAACTCTGTAGTTCTCTTGCGTTCGTACGTTTGGCGAAAAACGCTGTCGAAGATAGTACGATCAGAAGTAGTTTTTGTGGCGTGCGATTTCGATTATGTGTAGCATCAACGAGAAAGTGAGAATACTAGACTACTCACTTCGAAAACGACCCTAGTGCTAGACCTTGTTTTATCTAGGAAGAACCACGCGCCACTACCTCCCAGCGACGAAGCGGCACTTCGCTAGGTACGCCGCCCTAGCCCTACGACCTAGTTAATTTCTACGGAGGGCATGCTCTCCTTCTCCACAAATATCATAACTAACAGCACTTCATCGACGAATAGAAAATATAACTCCACCACAACAGCAGGAACAGTTATTGCCAGTATCTTTCTTGAGCAAGAAACATTTGATGGTCACTCACCGCGCTTTTTCTGTTTTGAAGGAAATCCTTGTCCTTCGGACTTCCTCTCTAACAAGTGCAGGGATCAGCAGACAGAGTATCATCTTATCGTTCGAGAGCCAGCAGAAGGCACAAATATGATCGTGGAAGATCATCCTGAAGGCCAGAAAGATGATTATGGATCTTCGTTTAAACAAAACTATATCTTCAGTACTATTTCAATTTCGTGCTCCTGTGAATTCTAACTTGTTGCTTTTGCGGGAATGAAGTATATTTAAATATGTATGATATACAGCACACTAGGAAATAAGAAATGGTGTGCTGAGATGAAAGTGGAGATGACCACCTTTGATGATGATGTCAGGCATTCGTATGAAGATGTAAAGCTCTTGTTATTGCAACACAACACGCAGTCGCTCAATCAGTGACGAGTTATTCAATCCTCTACACATGCGCCCCAACTGGTGCGTTGACTTTCATGTAGAACACATTGTAATATTAATCGTATTTGCGTTGGTATTCATCTTCTATCCTTTTTACCGAGGTAGTCGTGCGTCCTGTTTCTTCTTTCTTTCCTTTTCAAATGGGAGGAGCTGAAAGTAGTGAAAGAGTTTTTCGAGATGGTATGTAACACCTCTAAAATAAAGCCTCGAGGTTCCGGACATGGACTAATTTCGTTGGCTTCCTTTTCTTACGGCTACCGCTGAAATATAATTAGCGCCAATTGCTCTTAATAAGTTGGCATCTTCATGCTTTAAACCAAAAATGCAACACAAACGGAGAAGGTTGCCACTAGTCTAGTGTTAATAGAAAATTAACCGAAAAATGTAGTTTGACATTCTTGACTTCTAAATTGGATCTAGAAGCAACTTGCCAAACTAAATTCTCAACTGGATCACTCTTGAGTAGATTGCTCAACATGGGTCGCTCTGAAACAAGTTTTCTTGCGAAGGAGTAGTGGCGGACTCAGACTCTAGTGAACGAGTACTCTTTCATTTTCCACCATTCAAAGGGAAAGGAATTATCTTCGACATGACATGCGTAATATAAATATAGCGCTTACAAATTTAAATTTACATAGGCAATCATAATGCGTAAGTGTAAGAGCGCGTGCTATAGTAGTTTTACAAGAGGGCTGCAGGTGCAGAAATAGATGCAGAAGAAGTTGCATAGATGGCAGGCCACCTCTATGTATCATCGTCAAATGGGAAGAGATTTCGAAAAAACAACACGTTTTATCGTGTCTTTGCTCTAATATTCGGCATTGAGACTCGCAAGCAAGAAACTCCACTTCGAGTTTTTGGTTAGGCGAAAGGAACACATGCAATCCTTTGCTCTATCTTTTCGTTTATCTTTTTAAATCTTTACGTCTATCTTTTTGGAAAAAGGCACTCTACCTCTTCCAAGTCCCTCAGAAAAAACGCGCCTACTTTTTTTGCCGCTGCCGGCAAAAAAGGAAGCGCCGGAAAAGTTCGCGGAAAGGAGTAGGAGGGGGTAAGCAGCAGGCAAACGCCGGGGGAAGTTCTTGAGTCGCCCCCCCGTCCCCTCTCCGTGTTGGTTTAAGGAACTCCAAAACAAAAACAGCAAGCAGGCGCCGAGCTGGGGGATCGGGTCGCCGCCGTGTCTCCTCTCCGTGGTGGTTTAAGAAATTCCCCAAACAGAGCAGGGAGCACGCGCGGCGCTGGGGGATCGGGTCGCCGCTTTGTCTCCTCTTCGTGGTGGTTTAAGAAATTCCCCAAACAGAGCAGGGAGCACGCGTGGCGCTGGGGAATCGGGTCGCCGCTTTGTCCCCTCTTCGTGTTGGTTTAAAGAATTCCGCAACAATACACAGCAAGCGAGCGCCGCGCAGAGGCATCGGGTCGCCGCCTTGTCTCTTCTCCATGTTTGTTTAAGAAATTCCGCAGCAGGGACAGCAGCTGGGCAACTGCCGCGCAGGGGTATCGAGGCTGACTGGGTCGCCGCCTTGTCCCCTCTCAGCAGAGATCGGGGCGCTTGGTTGTCTTGCCTCCGTCCTCTCCGTCTAGTCTGGTGGCGGAAGCAGTCTGATTCCCCCCATGGTGATGCAGGCAGGGAGCACGCAAACGCCGGGCGGGGCCATCGGGTGGCCGCCGTGGTTTTGCTATTCGATCCTCGAGTGTCTTTGTCTTGGGGTGGATGCACTCGCGGCAGATGCTACAGACTGGTGAAGAAACGCGTGGCAGGGTTGACATCGATCGACTCATTGGGGCAGCCTTTGCCTCCTTTCTTTTGTGGTGGTTCTTCACTCGGGTGCGCGCTTGTGGGGTCGTTGGTTCGGGGGGACCGGTGTCTTGTCTTTGTGGATCGATGCTGGTCCACTCGCTCCCAGTCCCATTGTGTGGGGGAGCGCTACTTATTAGGGGAGGGCCCACTTCGACTTCGCTGCGCCTTGCTTTGTGTGGTGTCGCTTGATCTTGGGGGCCCGGGTTGGCATGGGCTGGGTGTGTGGCCTTTGTTTGCGTCTCTCCTTCGATCTTGATTCATTGGGCCCCGCAGCCCGCTTCGCCCTCGTTTTGTTTATCTTTTGAAAAGATAGGGCGAAAAGATAGAGGAAAAGATAGATGAAAAGATAGATGCCCAAAATTGAAAAGATAGAGTTGGTCTTAAGCATGTGTTCTTTTTGGCTAAGTTTTTGGTAAAAGATTCCCGTTGGGGGTGTCGTCTTTTATCGATTCATCAAGTACTACACAAATGGCTTCACGTAACACGACAAGAACGTCAGAGAGTGGAGCAGAACAACAAGTTCACCAGGATGCTGAAGAAGAAATCATGGACAACGCAGCGACAGTCTCAAACAAGAACAGCTCCAGTATTCTGCCTAGCGAGCTCTTTGACGAGGAAACCGGAACACCTGCCGCAGGTATTTCGCCGTCGGCAGTGCTGGTTTTACGGAACGAGGCTATAATGCTGAAGTCTACAAGTGCTAACGAGACAAAGATGGCAACCGCGAGTGGCAGTCATGGATCTGGAATGGACATCATGGGCCAGACGGCACTAGACGATGGAACTGGCGTCATGAATGTCACGGACACAGCACTAGGCGATGGAAGTGGGGTGGTAAATGTCACAGACACAGCACGAGGCGATGGAAGTGGGGTGGTAAACGTCACGGACACAGCACTAGACGGTGGAAGTTGGGTGGTAAATGTCACGGACAATGGACTCGGCGATGGAAGTGGGGTGGTAAACGTCACGGAAACAGCACTAGGCGTTGGGAGTGGGGCGGTAAATATCACGGAAACAACACTAGGCGATGGAAGTGGGGTGGTAAATATCATGGAAACAACACTAGGCGATGGAAGGGGGGTGGTAAATATCATGGAAACAGAACTAGGCGATGGAAGTGTGGTCGTAAATGTCACGCACACAGCACGAGGCGATGGAAGTGGGGTGGTAAACGTCACGGACACAGCACTAGACGGTGGAAGTTGGGTGGTAAATGTCACGGACAATGGACTCGGCGATGGAAGTGGGGTGGTAAACGTCACGGAAACAGCACTAGGCGTTGGGAGTGGGGCGGTAAATATCACGGAAACAACACTAGGCGATGGAAGTGGGGTGGTAAATATCATGGAAACAACACTAGGCGATGGAAGGGGGGTGGTAAATATCATGGAAACAGAACTAGGCGATGGAAGTGTGGTCGTAAATGTCACGCACACAGCACGAGGCGATGGAAGTGGGGTGGTAAACGTCACGGACACAGCACTAGACGGTGGAAGTTGGGTGGTAAATGTCACGGACAATGGACTCGGCGATGGAAGTGGGGTGGTAAACGTCACGGAAACAGCACTAGGCGTTGGGAGTGGGGCGGTAAATATCACGGAAACAACACTAGGCGATGGAAGTGGGGTGGTAAATATCATGGAAACAACACTAGGCGATGGAAGGGGGGTGGTAAATATCATGGAAACAGAACTAGGCGATGGAAGTGTGGTCGTAAATGTCACGCACACAGCACTAGGCGATGGAAGTGGGGTGGTAAACGTCACGGACACAGCACTAAGCGGTGGAAGTGGGGTGGTAAACGTCACGGAAACAGCACTAGGCGTTGGAAGTGGGGCGGTAAATATCACGGAAATAACACTAGGCGATGGAAGTGGGGTGGTAAATATCATGGAAACAGAACTAGACGATGGAACTGGCGTCATGAATGTCACGCATACAGCACTAGGCGATGGAAGTGGGGTGGCAAGCGCCACGGACAATGGACTTGGCGATGGAAGTGGGCTGGCAACCGTCACGGAAACAGCACTAGGCGCTGGAAGTGGGGCGGTAAATATCACGGAAACAACACTAGGCGATGGAAGTGGGGTGGTAAATATCATGGAAACAGAACTAGACGATGGAAGTGTGGTCGTAAACGTCACGGAAACAGCACTAGGCTTTGGAAGTGGGGTGGTAAACGTCACGGACACAGCACGAGGCGATGGAAGTGGGGTGGTAAATGTCACGGACAATGGGCACGGCGATGGAAGTGCGGCTACGTTCAGAGCCCTGGGCACGACAGCACCCGGCGATGGGAGTGCCGGTACGGTCAGAGTGCTGGGCACGACAGCACTCGACGATGGCGCTCGCGTCGTGAGTGTCACTCTTGATAACGAAGAGCTAGGCTCAGACAATAGCATGGCTGCGAAAAACAACACCAGCCCCGTGCATGAAACACCACTGGGGCTGGACTATCACTATGGGCAAACAACTTCTACGAACAACAAGCGCGTGACCAGCGAAGCAACCGGTCATGATGTAGCCGGCGAGACGAGCATCACGGACAGCACAGAGCTAGGAGGTAAAAACGGCACAGGGATGAGCAACATCATGGGCACAGGACTAGACGATCATCGCCGAGTAATGAATGTCACTGATGAAGATGAAGATGAAGACGATCTAGCAAGCTCAGACAACAGCACAGCTGCAATTGGTAAGGGGATCATCGTGAATCACGAAGCACCACTAGAAGAGCATGGGGAAGCAACTACTGCGAAGGGCCGCATCGTCCTGGAAGATAGCGCCAGTGCCCCTAAAGATGAAGCATTATTGGATGCGGCAACAGCTGCGAAGATCGTGAACACCACAAAGGCGCTAGAAGATGGAGCCGAGCTCAACGAAGACAAACTCCAATCAGATGGCCTCTGGTTACGGCAATGGCTAGGCTGAAGTAGTTAGTAGCCTACTAGTTTCCACCGAAGATAAGGATGACAATAAGTAAGGTTATCACGACTATCTCCTCACACTCGCTCCTCATTCCTTTAGGAATAGGAGCCAAGCTCATCCAGTACCCTGCAACATGACATAGCTAAGAGCTTTAACCGATCATGTGACTGCTGTAGTTCAAAGTCTTTGATGTCACGCAGCTCTAAACAAAGTCGTACTACTCGCGATGGTGATCTTATGCGCTGTGATGATCCCCCTCTGGTTTGGGTGCTCTCCTGGCAAGAATTTAGCCCGCTTGGTACGGAGACGCGCTTTGTTTGAGCGGGACGAGTGCGGGCCAACAATGGCTATCAACAACAACGTCTCTGGGGAGCAGGAAGAGCCTCTTTTGTTAAGGCGAATAAGTCTACTGGTGGTATTTATATCGATAACTTCTGCAGGTGCAGCATCGTGTGCTCTTGAATGGTTCCGGTATTTGGTACTAGCCTGAATTTGGTCACAAGGATTCTCTTCTTGTTTTCCCTTATGATCAAAATCAGGTTTGTTAGCAAATACCGGAACAATTCAGCTCTAGTTTTGTTTTCACTTCTGCACTAGTTTTTTCTTGACCTGCGATGACTCGTCCTTGCCACGGCTTATTGCAAGGATAACAGTTTTCGCTTAGATGAAGCAGGAATATTCACAGGACTGGAACTGGATAATCCTCGTAATGCCTAAATAGACTGTACAGGAGTGCGTCGTGCTCGTGGTTCTGGTTGACAGACCAGAAGAAGCGAAGTCCTCTCTCGTTCATTTTTACGGTCTGGCCAAAGTGAAGTATTTAGTAAAATTGTAGTCCTTGTGATAGTTGCCCCCAAAATGAAGTTGTCAAGTTCTTGTTCCCTGTGCTTGTAAGTAGTTGCTCTTGTTGTATTGTGTGCACGAAGTCTAGGCTTTTGTTTTAGCACTAGAAAGATGAGTGTGAGTTAGGATTTAGTACATCTTCTAAAATCTCAAAACCACGAAGACGAACAAGAAGAGGAGGAAGAGGCACTTCTCTTGAACGAAACGATAGAGAACGAACGCGGAGACTTGGTTCGGGTTGGAGACGGAGTTGCAGTTCACGACCCCTCACGGGATTACATTGGGAGACCCATATTACGTCTTGAGAGTCTGTTCACTTATCGCTTGCATATGTATAGAAAATTTTTTGGCATTTTTAACACTGTAGTACTAGTACGAGTACTACCTAGTTGTTCGTTGTCGATGTCGTATAATACAGACAGCTGCGTGGTCGATGTCGTATAATACACAGAAGGGAAGGTTAGTTGTACTAGAGCACTCACGCCTCCATGATGTTGGTTGGTTAGCGTTCTAACCTTAAGGGTGAATCTGGCTGCCGCAGAAGAGAAAGAACTTCACTTCGGACTCGCTGATACATTCCTGGCCCATGAAGAACAAGCTTCCAAGTTACTAACTTCTAGTGGCGAGAACGGTGTTGGGCAAGTGCATCAACAAGGTCCAACTAGGGATGAGCGAACTAAGCAAGGCGATCAAGGTCCAACTACTAGTGGAGACAACAGCGAGCAAGGCAATCAAGGGGACTATGTCGAGATGAACCAGTGGGTGAAGAAGTGAAAGAAAAATAAATAAGTACCTTTGGATTTCGAAGTTGGTTGATTAAGCTGTGAAAGTCGTATTCTTATTCTTAATTACTGTCTTAGCATAAGTGTATTTTTAACGTGATGGTTAATCATGAATTAAACCATTACATCTTGTGTCTTGATCTTGTTTTAGATTTTGATTTAGTAAAAGGTAAAGAGCTCAGCACTAACTTAGAAAATGATGTTGGTGCTGGAAACGGGCAAATGTTTCACACACTGACTATTCAGGAGGCCTGTGTTACAAACTGATAGTATTATAAATTGAAACAACAAGGCTGTTCTACTCTGTACTACTACTACCAACCATGAATAAAAGAAAAAGTTATATATAAGAGTTACGACCGAGCCAATAGCTGCAAGATAGAAGATGCTTCAAAATTTATGACTCTATGTTAAGAATTGAGATCATCATGATCGAGTAAATTTAACAGGTTTCTCTGACAGGATCTGCAAGAGTCCGAAAGCTGTCCTCCTAGTTACGTCTTTGGCCCTGCTGATGTTGCGTGATGGGTGCATAGTGTTAAAACCGAAGTAGACCGTATTTCTAGTACATTGAGTGCGTAATAAATACAACATTATTTTTCGATATATTCATACTGATTGATTGAAAGGATTTACCAGAATTCGATGACCATCGATGGCTAGTTATCTGTAAAAAGGCTTGCTGAAGTCATCATGTGTTCGGAAGCTGAATGACCAGATTGTCTTCTTAAAACCGCAGTGTTGGTTCCCAAGTCAGAAAGAGATGTCGATCATGGTCCTCGGAAAATCTGGTCCATGAATGTCCTACTTAACTGGTCATCCTTAAAGTCGTTCAACAAGGTACTTCCTGGTAGTTCTGGAGCTTGGCAACTGCATCTTCATTAACAAGTCCAAAATGAAGATTTGTCCATTATTTCTATTCGCTTTCAAATGCATACAAGGCAGGACAGTAGGCGACCGTCACCATAAAAGCAAAAATGCGATTTTTTTCACATCTTCATAATACACTCTTCGGGCCTTGATTTTCTTTCTTCGTAAGAGTAGAGGGTAAGTCGATTCTGATTTGTCTTACCTAAGCTTACACGTTCTTGATAGCACCACAAAAACATTCTTAAAGAAAACTACATCTTCCAAGGACAACGAAAACGAATCATCATCAAGATGTTGTCTCAACCACGTTCTAGCATCTCTTCGTGGTCAGCAAGCGGATCGACGTCTGCTGATTCCTCTTCTAGTACTACTGAAGAGATGAACTGCGTTTGCGACATCCAGAGTATCTCGAGTGGCGCCTCAACGGCAGACACTTGTTCTGATCCATGCCAATCATGTGACCAGCACCAGGAGCGAGTGTCTTCGAGAACAATGGCTAGAACTTTCACTACTTCTAGTTCGGAGTCGGCGTCGTTGTCGACTTTGTGGCATGAAAAACACGTACCCACCTCCTTCCTAGATGAAGAGGTTGGGCGCAGACCGGATGCTGCTGTTGAGGCAATTTGGTCGGATGCTCCAGGAGCCTTACTTGCTTCATGTATGACAGAAGTACAACATGAAGCTCCAAGTGCAACTTCGACTCGACCGAAGCCGAACGACAGCAACATCTTGGAAGACAAAGAGAGCATCTTAGAGCTCCTCGTCATTGGCGCCGGACCACACGCCTTATCACTGTTGACACGCTTGATTGATGACGACCCTGATCTGCTTACCGAGATGGAAAGAAGCTACATTTAAGGCTCAACTTTCAATGGTCATTGGAGTTGGTCACTGAGATCGAAGAGGCGACCCCTTGAGAGAACCAACAGGGGAAATATACGAAGGGAACAAAGGGGAAAGCTTTGAACAAGGGGGTCCCTTCCGTTCAGAGTCAGTGACCATTGAAGGCTGATGGCTGAGCTTTAATACATGATGCGTAGGGCTAGACGGTATCGCCCTAGAACAGAAGTGAGAGCGCATTTGAAGAAACGGTTTTCGCTTCGAAGCGAAAGCGAGAAAGAGACAGGTAGAGAAACTTCAACCGGAACGGCCAGTACGACCAGGGAGCTCACCTCCGACAACGTCACGGTGATCGACAGTCACGGACGCTGGATGGCCCAGTGGGACTCAGACTTTGAGGCGTTTGGCATAGACTACCTGCGATCGCATGAACATCTCCACCCGGATCCGTTCGATTTCCAAGCCTTGAGCGTTTTCGCGGAAATGCAGAAGCGGACAAGTGAGTTGAAACAAATGAAAGCAGTCGATCGTGATCAATGTCGGAAAGCAGGCTATTTTGGACCTTTTGTAACTCCGAGTATGAGACTGTTCGCAGATTACTGCCAAAATTTGGTTGAACGATACGATTTGAATAGTGTGGTGCAGAAGGGAACGGTGGAGGATGTGAGGATAATACGAGATTATGGAATGGCTGCTTCCCCCAGTGGTAGCGAGCAGCAAGAAGAACAACCGGCCTCTACCAGCCAAAGACCTCTATTTGAAGTAATCCTCGCCGACGGCAGACGATTCCTGTCGCGACGTGTAGTATGCGCGATGGGCCCTGGGCCGGCTTTTCAGGGTATGCGAGCGACTCTGCCTTGGTGGGCAGAGGAACTAGGTGAAGCATTGGCGGAGGCGGCTTTTGAAGAAGAGGAAGAGAACGAAAAAAAGGAAGATGCGTGCGATGCGAAGCAAGAACTGGCTAGTTCTGAGGCTGCGCCAACAGATGAGCATGAGCAACCAGTTGAGGTTATCGAGAAGCCTGTGGGCGTCGTAGATGAAGTCGATGCGCCAGAGCCAGTGAAGGCCGATAGTGTCTCGACTTGTTCCTCTCGGTGTTGCGATGGAGCTGCCTCGAAAAACCGAAAAACGGTTGCGACGGTACCCGCTCCCATAGCTCCTGTACCCGCCTTGAAAATGGAGCCTCCTGGGAGCGTAAAGGAACTCAAGGTACCGACCGAAGAACGCCTACAGCATTCGTGCACATTGAGTAACTGGCTCCGAGACCAGATAGCAAAGGCTGACAAAAGCAGCAGTGGCAGCGTCGTTCAAAATCAGCGAGTCCTCGTCGTTGGTGGTGGCCAAACCAGTGCTCACCTAGCACAGGTTGCTTTAGCTAGAGGTGCGAGTTCCGTCACGCTCTGTTCACGGAGGAAAATCACTCGTAAGCCATACGATGTGGATGTCGGCTTTGTAGGCGACAGAAGACCAAATTTTCTCCAAGCCTTCTGGCAACTAGATGACTTTCGGAAACGTAAGGCATTTAACGCGAATCTCCGTAGTGGAGGTAGCATGAACGCCGACAGTTACGCAGAACTTACGGCTACGGCTGAGAGACTAGCAAAAGAGAACGCTGAAGCTGAGAAGCAGGAACTACAGAACCAAACGAAAGCTTCGCGTTCGCCATCTTCATCATCGACTACAACGACCAAGCCTCGTCGTGGAGGTCGAGGGACAGCGAAGAGTAGAAGGAAAGCAGCACGCGCAGATGATTTTAGTGACATCTTTCCGACTGGTGCTTCTGCGTCAGTGTCTCCAGAGAAAGAACTAGTTCCTACTGAACCTGCATCATCAACACCTACTGAGCCTGGTTGTGTTGCAGTTGGCTGTTCAGAAGCGTGCTCATCTACGTCACCTGTAGCAACGCAAACCTGTGACGACATGCCCGCGGCCAGCCAAGAAGACGACGCAACCATTGTCGACATCGCAGGACAAGTGGGAGAATACCAAGAAGGCTCAGAAAAGATACCGTCACGACAAGAGTTTGATGACGTGGCAAAAGGGCCAGCACCCCAGCAAGAACCCCAACTAGTAGAAGTTCTACCTGCTGCTGCTCTGGCTCCTCAGCCGAAGCAACAACAGCATTTCGAACTCATGGAAGAGAACGAGATCACCCAGGCCCATTACATCCCTTCTACAAAGGAAATTGAAATCAGGTTTGAAGATGGTAAGATCACAAGATTCGACTTCGTATGGTTAGCAACCGGAGGAAACTTCGATATGGATCTCGTACCATTGTTCGCTTCCCTGCAGCGTCAAGAGGAGATTCCTAGTATAGATGGCTTGCCACAGCTACAGGCAGACTGCAGTTGGTCAGCAAATGTGCCGTTGTACGTGATGGGAGCATTTGCGCAATTGCAATTAGGAGCGGATGCGTTGAATTTAGCGGGTGCACGGTCAGGAGGAGTGGTGGTTGCAAGAGCTTTGTTGGGCGATTTCGGAGCACCAGCTGGCACTGGCTTGACAGGCAAAGATGCTCCTGCCGTTATCGAAAAAGGACAAGAAGTTCTCGGCTGCTTGGAGGAATCAGAATCTTCACCAATGCGCACTGGCCTTCGTCAACATGATCAAACTACAACAACTCGTCCCACTTCAACTCGTCCTACCGCGTCCTCTTCGTCTTCTTCTCTTTTCCAATCTAAAGCAGCAAAGAAGAACAAGAGGAGAAACAACAAGATCTTGGCGAAAGGAACGAGCAAATTATTGGTTGTCTCTGGGGGAGGCGCAGTGAATGAGACAGGCGTGTGGCAAGAGAATAAGTGTGAATGTTGTGACGAATAATTCGTGCCTTTGTGATGAGTAAGTTGTCGTGCATTCTAAGTTTTGACATTTTTGCTGGGACTGCGTATATGAGTGTGATTCTAGAAACACGGTTACAGCTTGAACACTGAGCAGTGAACTCTATTCTTAAGTTTGAATTCTTAGGGAGTGCGCCGAATAGATTCACATCATCAAGTTTGAATTCTTTGCTCATCATTATCTAGTCGTACTTGTACTAGTCTTTGTTTCGTTTCTAATTGTGAGTGGTTTTTCATCATGAACGTTGCGGATCCCGTCGTTTTATAAGATTGAGTGGTTTTGCTTTTGTTTATAACCAGATCTTTTGGTAAGCTAGTATTTGAGGGTGGTCTGTTAGTTGAGCGACTGACGTGGAAGGTCGCCGCGATGACAATATTGTAATTACTGTATTCATAACATGAGAGAATACGATAACTACATGGCTCTTGGTCTTGCAGAGCATTGGATTACGCCCTTATTGTAAAGAAAGGAGCAGGCGCAAGGTCTCTAAAACTACATCAGGTCATCGAATTTGCGGCAAGAATTATGAGTTGTACTACATATTAATTGAATTTTTTCGTCAAAGTGAAAGTGATTATTGAGCGGTTCGTTGTGTGTAATTGTACAAAAATGAGTTCTAATCATGGTATTATCTTTTTTGAGTTGTTGAAGTTGATATTTCTGGGTATGTGTTGTGATTATTGAGCGGTTGGTTGTGTGTAGTTGTACAAAAATGAGTTCTAATCATGGTATTACCTTTTTTGAGTTGTTGAAGTTGATATTTCTAGGTATGTGTTGTGATGAATAGGGAAGGTCAAGCTGGACGTGAAGATGGATAACAGCAACATGCCATCAAAGGTCTAATCAATCGCGCAAAGCTATAGTTGTTGGTTCCGTACTTATCAGGGAGCAGCAACCAATACAGACAAAACTTTGGACCTTTTTCTTTGTGACTTTTTTTTTCTTTCGGATCTTCAAGTTCAACATTCTTCCCAAGTTCGCGACTGAGAAGCACAACATTCTCTTGACTGTTCTTCTTTGTTCTTGCATTCATTCGTACGCAGCTTCCTGACCGCAGATCATTGAGCCACAAGAATGCGGAAAAATGGGAAAGACAGTTTGAGAGAAAAAGTGGTATTGAATAAACCAGACTACGCGGATGTGAAATTCCACGAAAAGCCGTTCGCGTTCTTGAGCCTCAGTATAGAAGGAGAGGAAAATTATCAATTATGCAACCAATAGGCCTAGGTCCCATTGTTTTTTGCTTCATCTTGTTAGTTCTTCATAACGATTTCTTGGGACAGGGATAGCAATGCGGAAACCTATGTATAAAGATTGAATATTCCCACTTTCGGCATAGGTCCAAACCTACGACCTCAAGAAAATGGAAACGCCTTTTCTCGCCAATCGTCCAGAGCCGGACGAGGCCCAAGCATCTCGTTCAACCTTGTCCTCCACATTATCGCTGCAGTGCATCTCTTGTGACAAACTGCTCATCTGGCGTGGCGGAGGCAGTAACCGTTTCGCATGGAAGGCTTTTTGCAGCGTGTGTCTGGTCCTAGAATTGGGCTTTTACATCTATGTCGTCACAATCGAACGCCCGTTCCTGATCGTTTTTGCGCTGTTTTCGCTTGTCAAGTTCTTGATCGAAACCTGGGGCCAAGACACACCCACTTGGATCTGTCCCGGTGGGATCGGAATGTTTTTCGTCATTTACTGCCTAATCCTTCCTGGTATCATCTACTACGACGGCGTCTGCACCCAAAATCCCGATATGGACGCTCTTTTTCCGACTCCACTCGTCCGATCTCTTGTCGGAACGTTGCTTTTTTTCGGGGGTAGTGGATTTTCGTTGTTTTACGAAGTGAGTCGATTCAAATGGAAGAAAGATCCGGCAAATAAGGGTAAATTGCATCAAATCGGGTTGGCGAGTTATTGCATCCATCCGAATTATCTCGGCGATTTGTTCACCTACACAGGCTGGGGAATAGCTGCCGGTACGAGCTGCGCATTGTCCGCACCGGTGTATATGTTATGCTTGAACGAAAACCAGAACGATCGATAAAAAAAATGAGAATTTTTATGTCCATCTCCATGTCGAAGTCGATCGATATCGAAGTCGCGACATCGCAGGAGAATCCTGATCATATGAACGTCTTGCATTTTCGTACGTCGTCATGTGTCATCTTCACCTGCCGATTACTTATATAATAGAACAATCGACTTCGAGTTCCCAAACCGCATCCTCTCTAATCCCCATCTGGAGTTTCGGAGTTTTTGTTTGCCCCAATTCTGACGCCTATCTTGCACAGCGCTACGCCTCTGAGTGGGATGTTTATAGCCAAAAGACAGCGACGCTGATTCCTGGCTTTCGATCAACTTCGTTAAGGCTACCGCTGAAGCATCCTCAGCGTCATCCCTGGCACTTGAAAAGCGGACCAAGATTGCCCCCAAGGATGCTATCGCTGTAGCTCTAAGATTGGGTATGAAAGTACTCGCATGGATCTGCTTCGGCTTGGGAACGTATTTAGCTGGCAGTTGTGCGGGACAGTGTGGATAGTCGCACTCGCGCTGCACCGGAACGAAAAATAGAAAAATGCGATTAGTGCTGACCATAAAAGTTAGATGAATACTAGCAGTGTTGAGTGGTACAGTGTTGAGTCGTGGTAGTAGATTCACTTGCAGTTATTTAGGTGGTAAGTGAAATTATCTATCGTTCCAGATTAAGTAGATACGATTGATGCTAATGATACGACGTTGTGGTCTCTTTAATGATGCGGGCCTGTCTATCGGTATTATCACCTTGTTTCCCTGTGTTGCTGAGACAGACAAAGACAAAGACCAAGAGTATGTGATGCGTGCCTCTTTAAACACTTCTTTTTCTACGGACTTCGCCTTCTAGTATCATCGTGGAAGAAGGATCAAAATAGAGATATACTCCCAGAAATACTGTCAGAGCACGTCTCTACGGTCACCATGAACGGTGATAACAGGGACAACAGCACGCGTGAGATATACTCCCACCTGCTTCTCCCTCGCCCAATTGATGTGCTCTGACTGCTCTCGCCCAATTGGAATTGATGTGCTCTGCGCACATGATGCGGGAAGACCACCAACAACAAAACCGCTTCAAGGCCTTGCAAGCTGCAAGCTCCTTTTCTTTCCTGGTCATCTTCCACTTATTTACCGTTCGTGCAACAAGAGACAGAGAGATGAACGAAGACTCCTCGAGAGAACTTGGAAGGTAAGGGATCTTTACATGTCGCTTAGCGAGCGAGGAAGTAGCCCTCCCACAACCGTGATTGAGAGATGCGATGAAGATGATGAGATCAAAATCAACCAGTCTGATCAATGCGCGCAAGCGCAACAACTGGAACTGGTTCTCAGACGTCGACACTTAAGGACTATCAAAGATAGAGAGCAGACGAGGAACAATACTGCCCGTCGGTCTTAGCCTACGGTCTTTGTCATCATCTTAAAATCGGCGGGTTCGTAGGCAATTAGTGCATCCGTAATATAAGGGGGTTAATGTACTCCACCTGCCGCCGGTTTGCGAACTGGATAAAACGGGGATCACCCTGCCGGCGGTCTTGGCATACAAAAACAAAAAAAAAGGCCAGGGTGGAGTGCACGAATGAAATGCCGACGTCAAATAGAAAGTCTTTTTTCAGGTCTCTCATCCGTGGTGAGGATGACGGATCATCCCCGTCCAAGGTGACATCAACTGCAGATGTCACCAGCTCTAGTTCTAGATCCAGGAGCAGGCGTTCTGGAAAGCATGGTACGACGACCCGCAACTACTACGATAGAGGCGTGATTGTTTCGCGCGAGCTGACGGGTCTACGCGTGTGGAGTTACACGCGTCAAGAAAATCTACACGGAGACGGTGGAGGTCGAGGTGGTCAGAAACATAACGATCAACCACGCAGTGATGATACTCCGGTAGCAACCTCCGAACTTGTATACCACGAGAACATCGTTTTCGATGTGCAAGATGGCGGCAATGACACTGGAGACACCTCCGACATGGAGTCGCAATTTGCACCAGGTACGGAGGTCTTGTTGCGGTACGGGGATGACAGTGAAATAATCGAATTAAGGAGGGCACGATTGCCTGAAGATGATGGAGGTGGACATCAAGGAGGACACGGCAACATACACACACGCCAAGAAAAAGAATCAGCAGAAGAGCAAGGCTTGAATCTAGAAGAACGCCGTTTCCGTAGTGCTATCTCCGCATTCAAAGCAGAACAGAACCATCTGTTGGTGAAAGCGCTGGTATCATCTACTTCTTGTTTCTCAGGTGGGCCCGAGACTGGAACAAATGGCGATGCGAATGAAGGTCAAGAAGATAAACTCAAGGTGGAAGCAAAGGAACGCTTTCTTGGTCTACGTCGCCGCTTGCACAAAATCCGGCGTAAACTAGAGCATCACTACGGTTTTCCCAGCGAGGAACGCCGTTTACAGGCGGTTAGGGAAGTGTCGTCATTGTCAGCTGCACAGCCTCAGTCCAGTGCTCAAGGGACGACAGGAGGAACTTCATCATCATCTTCATATCCAATGACTACACCGAAAAGAATTAGAAGTGTGCAAGGAGCTCGAGGTGGTCGAGGAGCTTTTGATTACGGCGACGGTAGGAACGAAGGTGGGACTTCGTCTTCGATTGCGGATATTAATTACCCCTCTAGCTGCAATCAAAACCACAAAAAGGCACCTCCACCACCTGTACCGCAGCGAAGTCTATTACAACATTTGCTACTTCTGCACGCTGACGACGCAAGTGTTTTAAGCGAGATAAGTTCGGTTGAGAGCATTGACAGCGAAGAAGAGGAGTTGGGCTACAGTCAAACTGAAGCGAAAGTTCTTGTTCCTCTTCCTGAAGATAAAAATGATAAAGATGAAGATGGTGCAAATGCGGACGAGGAACAGGAAGCAGAAGCAGCCGGAGCTGATAGAGCCGCCGCTAGCAGCTGTGAATCGTCAGAGGATGACGACGAGCGAGATGTTGATGACCATGATAATGATATAACGGAAACGAGCAAAACCGACGTTGAGGCTACTTTTCTGGTTCTTGAGGAAGGAGATGAAGGAGATGACCATGACGATACTGAAGTTGAACAAGACAATCCGATAGACCAGCATGAGGATAGAAAGAGCGGCACTTCTTCTTCTGCTGAAGAAAAGCAACGAACCTTCATGAAAAACAAGCTATCTTACATAAGCTCGAGCAATCAACTTTTTGTACCCTCAAGTTGCACAAGCACCTCTACCGTGCCGCCTGATGAGGAAGCAGAATTTATCGTTGCCGCCAGTGACATGGAGGATTCTGCTACGTCGTCGCCTGGTTTTACGCAACGAATCTCTGGTAGTTCTGTAGTGATCGAAGCAGCGGCAGCAACTCCTGCAACCCCACAAACAGCGAACCAAATGCAGTCGGAGAAAGATGGACTGGGCCTTTTACAAGCGATTTTGAAGGAGTACAGGCAAAAAGAGCTGGCATATCAGCTCGAAAGAAGGCGACGGAGTACTCAACAGGGTATCTTCGGTATGGGTGGAGAAGATGGCCAAGAACTAGATCGTGAAGAAGTGAAAGTCTTGATCAACACTCAAGCGGCGTTTGATGATTTCACGTCAGGGCGGACGCCAGTTCTTGTAGCCGAGTGGGTAGGGCCTCGGATTGTAGCTTTCCGTGGTCCGTTTCATCAGCCTAATGCAGCACTGTCGAACTCCATTACGGATTTGCTGAAGGACCGCGCAAGACAGCATCTAGAATCAGTTGCGGAATCGGAGGAACTACAGAGAAGAAGGACTGAGTCTGAGACTGAAGATTGTCAACATGATGACAGCAAGGCAGATGCTGATGAATACGTTGTCTTGCAGGGCGATGAGGATCATGAGCATGGAGTTGGAGCCCAAGAAGATGATCCTGAGAAGGGAATGCCTCAGGAGGGCGAACCGGAAAAGCAGCTAGACCGATTGGGACACGAAGGTCCTGGTGAGGAGCCAAGGGAGCGCTCGCGCAGGACCACCAGAACTCCGTCATCCCCAAGAGGAACTACTATTTCTTCTGGTCGACAACCAGGACATCAACAGTTTCTAGAACTGCGCCAACACGTCGACCATCGCAATAAAACCAGCTCGGCTACTGCTAGCTCTTCTTCAGCAGCGTTTTCCTCTTCGTCCTCATCTTCTTCCTCTGAGCCTTCTTCTCGAGGAAGTTGTAGTGCTCATAGTTCTCCAGGTGAATCTTCGTCTTCATCGTGTACCAGTGGAACTGAGGAAGACACTGCTACGTCGGACGACAATGAAGATCATGAAGCCACGACTTCAGACGAGGACGACAACGATGTAAGGAAAATTGGAGACCGCTCATCGGCAAGGCAAACGAACCAGGAGTTTCATCTTCTGTTGAGAGATTCTACTGCTCGTGTTGGAGATGATCACAGGAGGACGCGGGTGGGCACGAGGATAACGAGGACCACAGCCGTTCCCGACAGAAGTAGCAGTAGCAGCAGCAGCAGCACTTCTATTGGCCAGGGAAGGGCTACACCACGTCTGCCGGAGAACGACATGAGCGACCAGGAAGAGCGAGATGACTCAAACGTCATTCGAATAGGATCGCCGACTGAGACCACACTTGCGCCTTTCTTGCTAAGTTCATCTAGGGCTTCGGAGAAGCAGCAACCTACTGGTGGCGCGTATCGCAACACAAGGACTTCGACCCTATCTTCGAGTTCGTCCTCTACTGCTGGACAACATCAGAGCAATTACCTTCAAGTCCCCTCGCCAACAAGAGGTACTTCTTGTTTACAACTCAGTCGAAACGAGAGTCGTCCAGGTGGTGGAACTCAAACTATATCTGGTGGAGGTGGGAGTCGACCCTTTGGGCCGTTTCGGACGTCGAGTCTGATGGGTGCTTCTAGTAGAGGGAGTAAACAAGGACGTGGAGCAGATCATAGGAGTAGCTCTTCGAGTCTCTCTTGTTCGTCTTTAGATGACGTTTTGTCAGTCATCTTAGAGGAAGAGTACTCCCCACCGTCGTCGTTGAAAAGCGGTTGTAGTGGTAGTTGGCGCACACGGACATCTTCCTCGAGAGGACCGCCTGATGAGGAACAAGATGCAGAACAGAACAGATCTAGATCCAGTCGTGGAGGAAAGAAAAAGAGCAAGAAGTCCTCTCCAGCTCAGACTGGAGGACAGGAGCTACCGAAGAAAAAGAGAAACCTGCTTGAGGTTGACCACACAGCAGCAAGACGAGGGAGGAAGAAAAGACGGAAGGATGATGGTTCTACTACTAAATCAACTTCAACCTCCTCATCCCGATCCCCGACTACTACTACAACAGGCAAAGGAACAAGCGTTGACCACTTGCGGTCACCGGCGTCCTCTTCAAGAAGTACTTCTACTTCTCAGAGATCATCACCCACATCTACCTGCGACCAGAGAACAAGTGGCCGTGAGACTACTAGAAAGACAAAACCATTGCTAGAACTGCGCGCCTTCTTAGATACGTCGTTGGCATTGAAGCTTGACGACGATACGGCCACTTCGACGTCCTCAGAAGACGAAGAGTGCCAGACCTCTTCATCTTAAGGGGGCTCTCATTTTTAGTGTATCTTTGACTGCTGAATCCTCGAAAACAAAGTATAAGGAAGTATCTCGCCGCGATACTCTCGAGTGATGTAGTTGAGAGATGATTTATGGATATTAGCTCTAACCATGGTCTGCTGGAGCAGCGAGCTTTAGATCAGACTGTAGATCCCCTGCAAGAGGGCAAGAGAAGCACTTAGGTACTGCACCTACCCCTACGCCTGGGGCACAACTACTAGAAAGAACGTCTTCAACATCGCTGCAACTTTGCCAATACAACTCTGCATCGTCGAAAGAAGGCTCCTCAGGGGTTGATGAAGATGGTTTAGATGCTCATCCTTCGGAAGAAGAAGAGTCTGAAGAGGACAGCTTGGCTGCTAGTGATCCCTACAGCGGAGAAGATCAGGATCCGCAGGAAGTGGAAGGAATACTATCCGAAGAAGGTGTTCAACAGGAACATGAAGATCATGGTTCTTCTGGAAAAAACAAGAGTTTTCATGTCATTGACACCCGTCGCCGGACCACCAGAGGCCAGAACGGCCATAGCTCTACTAGCAGGGCTTCACGTTCACCGGCTTCCCCGGTTAGTGGCTCTTCCCCAGATTTGTTACTAGATGTTGCAGCTTCTTCTGAGAGTAAGAAGAATCGTTCCAGGAGAACAAGTATCGGTGCCTCTGCCTCTTCTGCTCTCGTGATTCGACCTTTCAGCAAAAGGGATGGAACTACATCTGGTACGCCCTCAGACTCAGCAAATAACACGTTAATCGCTGCTCCAGCTGCAAGAGTACCAATACAGGATGAAGATCAGCATGGTACTAGCGCCATGCCCTTGTCACCTGGCTGTACGACGTCTTCGTCAGAACAAGCTGGTAGCTTTGATGAGACATCTGCTTCGTCATCTACGTCGAACTTTGTGGCCACTGACGTGTACAAAATCCGGTCTTTGTTGCGCAGGAGCCGTGCTAGAGCGCATACAACCTGTGCAGGGCTTCAAGGGGAGCAGACAAGCAGTTCATCCAGGAAGAAGCGTGCGGGAGGAACGTCGACGATCAATTATTGCAAAACATGAAACAGAAAGAACTACACCTCATAATTGATGAAATAGAAAAATGAAAATCTTCTAGAACCTGCTAACACTAACAGGAGCAGTTGCTCATGTTACAAAATATAACTACAGAAGTAACAGGAGTTGCTCATGTTATAAGTACACCGAGTGAGAATCTGAATCACATGATCAGCATTCTCTAATACAGAAACGGAGCTACAAGTGCACCCCGTAACTCGACTTCCTCCAGACATCACCAAAGCGGAGGAGCCTCTTCTACGCGTGCCCGCGGCAGCCAGCACAGGAGGAAAAGCGTGGCCTCATCCACGGCAAGTCGACAGTCCGTCATCTTTTCGGAACTGGGCGATCGAGATTTACAAGGGCATCTGAGTGTTTTTCAGGAAAGCCATAACTTCGACTTCGGCGATATCGTTCCTGCCTTTTCGCAGCATGTTGAGCGGCAAATAGAAGACGCGGCGATGAGGAGTAGAAAACAAGAAGTAGAGCATCAGAGTAAAAGCAATAGTGCTCCTTGTGCTGCATTCGCAACGTCAACGTCTTCGAAGCTTCAAAGATGGCATTCAGATTCGGCACTTTGTGAGTTGGGAGGTAGTGCTGGGTCAGCTTCTAGTGCTGACGCGAGGACGGCATGTCCCCTCTCACTCTCATGTACTAGTTCGGGATCAACCACCTCCGATGCAGCATCAAGACAGCACCCTACTTTGGTTCTGGAGGAAAGGTCAACGAATGTGAACAAAGTAGTACCTGCAGGTAGAGCGACGTTGCAATTCGTACCCTACAATAGTGACGGGTCTTCTTCTTCTAAGCTACAAAATTCGCCCTCATTTCAACTACAAACTTCTAGCGTCGACAGAGCAACATCGAGGTCTCTCTCACCGAAGCAAATTATCGACCGACGCCTAGAGCGAATACGGAAGTCTATCGAGGCGCTGAGCAATGGCCGCGATACGTTTCAGAGAAGAATGGTACTTCCCGTGTTGGTTTCTCAATTTTGACAACTTTTGTTATAAGGCTACTCGAAAACTGAAAATAACCGAGTTACTGACTGAAATAAGGGAGGTAGCTCTGACAGGGCTACTCTTCCTTGTTCAGTATCTCGCTTATTGTAAGTAGTTACTCGCTTATTTCAGTTTTTCGAATACAAGAACTCTCCCATTTTCAGAAGCATCTTGGTCCCGTTTTTAAAGGGAAAAGGAGGCCCAGGATGCTGCTGAAGATGGATTTCGCTAATTTTGATCGAGCTAGGAGAGTTGGAGTCTCGTTCTTATTCTTTACCCCCGTTTTACTTTTACTCACTGAGACAGAGACTTCCTCACTTCTTTCTCAAAACTTCTATCCCTTCAGCATCTCAATGAATCTACTCATAATCCCTTCTCATATCTCTCTCTCAGCTCTGGCAACGCGACCTTTTCCCTCGTAAGCGAGGCTCATCAACTGGCGCCGGCTCTTCTCCAGAGAATCAATTACAGAGGAACGCTAGAACCCTTCACTTGGAACATCTTCCTTCAGTCAAACAACTCAGCGAAAACTTATTTCTACCGAAAGTTAAGTTTAAGAGTTCCCCTGATCGTCCATGGAAGCATCTCGAAGCTGTCCCCCCATATGAAAGGGGAAAACTTCCACAGTTTGAGAGAGGAGTTTCTAAGGGTTGAGTCAGGGTGTGTGAGCTCTAAAAACGGCAGGGAGACGCTACTGCAAGAGAAAGAGAAAGTCGGGAGATTAAACAAAGACAGATTGCATTTTCTGCGAGAATCACCACAGCGAGTGGCTGGGAGTCTGCCTTCCTCTGCCCTTACTGCGGGACGATCACGCTTATGGGGTAGTGGGAGAGGAAGGCAGAAGGGAGCGACGAGTACTTACCTTTGAGCTTCGTGTTATTCTTCAAAGGAAGCATTCTCTTGTTCTTGAAGACTGGTGGTGCTGTGGTAGTCGTAGTCACTGCGACCACAAAAAAACACTACTACATCAGTCAAAAAACCTTAATCTCCCTAATCACGAAACGTCTCCAACATCCCTTTATTTAACACGATGATATCGACAGCTTGCTTTCTCTTCGGCGACGCCTCTTTTGACGAAAGCGATGTCCGACGTTTAGAGGCGATCAGACTTGGAAATATGTGTAGGCGTCTACGAGGTCGCGAAATGTTTGGGCCTAGTCACGTCTTTGCAATCCCGAAAGACTTGGAGGATGTGGAGAATTGTGGGAGCGATTTGTCGAGTACTAGATTGTGATCGATAGCGATGTTTTTTCTGATGTTGGCTAGCTTTCATTTTTTCAATTATGGTAAATATCTTCAAATCATTTCAAACATCAACTCAGGCTTACTTAGAGGACTACTTAGAAGGCTTTTCACAATAAAATAAAAATTCTACATCTATCTATTCAGGCGACGCGTCTCTCACTCCACGCGGCAGTTGTCATTCGTTGAGACAACGCCACTCCTCAATGAACGCGGATGAATTTGACTTCGTTGCGATGCGAACGCTGTTTAAAGGCTCTGCTCGTAGCGTGTCTCCCAAGACCAGTCGTAGGTCAGCCCGTTGCTCATCCTCGCACAAGGGTCGGCGCACTAGAGCTCGGTCTCTGTCGCAGGATAATCTGCTGTATGCGGTGAATGCCTTGTTTTAGCTAGTAATATACATTAACATTTGGTATCTATAAGTACTATTCCAAAACCGCTAGTATTAATCGTATCTAAGTACTTATTCCAAAAGCAGTTTCTCTTTCTACTCAGTTTCCATTCTTTTACATCATTGACAAACTTGACGAGTCATGGCGATAACATCCAACTTATCCTTTTCAATCAAAGCCAAAAGCGGCACCAAAAGTCTCTTCATGAGGGTGTCTTCAGTCTTTCTTTACTTTTACACTTACGAGAACCAGCAAAAGCTGAGTTTTTCGATGAATGGCTCCGGTATTTGGTAACCTGAATTTGATCCTAAGGGTTCTCTATTTGTTTTCCCTTACGGTCAAACTCAGGTTACCAAATACCAGAACCATACAACTCACATTGCTCAAAGTATAAGATCAATATCTTACTTACTCATATTGATCAAGTCTTTACGTTTACTTCAACTGAGATTGATACAGGCAGACGACACAGGCACCAGTGGTCAAATTCCATAGTGCATGTCCATGAAAATCAAAATCTATGAAAACAAGAGATCTGCGAGAAAATCCTGAACCTGCTAAATCGAATATATCAGGACCGCACGCTGTATGCGTGTAGGAGCACTTGTGGTCATCCCAAGAGTATCATGTTTAGTCACGACAGAAAAATTGAGAGTGAAGCGCCCGAGATCACAATCGAATAAGATCCACTTTTCTCTACGATCTTGGTCATCAGGCTCCGTTGATGCTCTTCAGGCAACGCCGATTGATTATTTGAATTTTGAGCTCATCTTTATCACCGTGATCATGAAGTTAAACTTGAATCAGAACTACCATTATCAGAGTTTTACAAAAGATCGATCCTTTCCGAGCAAACGTTGCAGCTCTTGTATGTTCAAGAAGCAAACTATTTTAGATTCAACGATGTTGGCATCAAAATCAATACTCTAACTTTTTGCCTCTTTCTCAAATACCAGTGTGGAGAAAGCGGGTGGTGAGCTTTTACTACGGGGAACTAAGTCTAACTGAGTCATCCTAGAAGAATTATTTCACTCTCACACTATTTATGATTGAATTGAATCCCTCTAAGTGACGACCGACAACGAGAAACTAAAGCTAACCATCATTGATTGACGAGTACGAAAGAGGTGTTGCCGACCATCAAGAACTAGTCTTAAGCCACCAAACAAAGACGAGCAAAAATGAGAATCGAAAAGTGCTGGTATTGCAGTTGCAACATCTATCCTGGGCATGGGGTGATGTTTGTGCGCAACGACTGCAAGACGTTTCGGTTTTGTAGTGGAAAATGCCATTCACATTTCAAGATGCATCACAACCCAAAGAAGCTGAAATGGACCAAGGCTAGCAGAAAGTACGAATATTTCATACTAAGGCTCTATTTTGGATGCTGTCTATGACTATGCACTACCACTAGATAGTTCTTGTAGCTAGTTGTACATGAAGATGATGTTTCTTCTATTTTTCCTCTTTGTAGTTCTACGACGTGAGATGAAGGTGAAGATGAACTTCCAGTTTATTAGTGTCAACATCTGTTTTATCCTATTCCAAGAACCTGATCTTTTGGAACTTTTGAAAGAAGCAAGAATCGATTGCAAAGGTACCGCGGCAAGGAGATGGTTCTTGATCCAACGTTTGAGTTTGAGAAGCGACGCAATGTGCCAACGAGATACGACAGAAACCTGTGGATTAAGACCATCCAGGCTATGAAGCGAATCCAAGAGATCAGACAGGTGAGGAAAATCAGGTTCCACAAGCGACGACTGGCCAATCTGGTGAAGAAGCGGGAGTCAGCGGCACAGAAGGAACTGAAGAAACACGCAGACGTCGTAAAAGTCTTCGGAAAGAAGCTAGACAGAGAAGCGATCAAGAAGAAGATCGTGAAAAAGGTAGCGGAAAAGAAGGAGATGGAGAAAGTGGTCAGAATGGATGTGGCATAAGTGGCACGCTGAGGAACTACGGGTCTTTGGTTTTACACATATGATATTATATCGATCAAAATTGTTACGCAGTTTCAAATTTGCTTATCGAAGATGGTGCATGAAGATTATAATTATGAGGTAGTTAAGAGATCGTTATTGAAGATCAACATATAGTCGACATAAGTTCTATGAGCTGGTTCGACATGGTCATGGTGATGATCGTGATGGTAACGCAACTGAGATGGTTTAGTTCGCACTGCTAGAACTGCTCCTATAAGTAGCGGTCTTAGAAGGACATGCGAACGAAAGGACGTTGTCGGATTGTCGGATCTGCACCGAATGCATATGATAAAAAGGTAATGCGAAAAAATGGACATGCACGTGACGAGTCGTGTTTAGTTTAGGAAGTTCAAATTTCACAGTTGGTGTTCCTCTTTCATCGGTTGTTCACAGTGAAGAAGATGCCTGAGTCATGATTTTAAGATCTGTTCATTACGACGTCCTTTAGCTTCTTTGAGTGGTATTTGGTAACCTGATTTTGATCATGAGGAAGACGAGAAGGGGATCCTTGTGATCGAATTCAGGTTGCCAATAATACCAGAGCCATACATATTATCATCTCGAAGAGAAAGACCAGAAGCAAGTGGCACCCAGGAGACAGATGGTCATCTACATCGGTTTCTTCATCGGTTTAGCACGACTTTCAACATGCAGATCCTCCCCCTCCAACCACACACTTGCTCACTTAGACACTTGGCTTTTCCCTTCGTCATTGATGTTCCATCAAGCTCTCTAACTCCATCTAATCATGGTAAGTAGTTCAAGTACGAAGACAATGACAAATAGTTTTCAAAATGAAAATACGTAATTGTAATAATTCTAATTGATCAACACATCAGTATAATCATCAAGAACATCTTCGAAGAGGAACAAGAAAAAATGACGCGAGGTACCCGCAACAGCGGGAATTACCATTTGCCAATGCGCAACTCGTCGTTGTACGATGAGATGATGCGTGGGAATCCTGACCATTTTGGCGTCGTCAACGCTCATGATGGACATCAGGCGGCGAAGGAAATGAAGGGGAGTAAGAATTTAGATGAACATGATGAACCTGCTAATTCAGTTGTATAAGAGGTAGTTTGCTCCACTGGTATCGTGTTCGTGATAGGTGGAAAAAACCTGCTACTAGTAGACCACCTTTTCAACTAGTAGATTCTACTTTGGTCTTCTTGATGGATTTTTAGATTTCAATGCTTGCTCTCCTAGGCCTCCGATAGATTTCAATGCTTGCTCTCCTAGGCCTTCGATGGATAGATCTCGAAGGGCTCATCAACTCTAGTAGTACTGCACACCCTCAATCCCAGAACGTAATTCCGAAGGGTTCAACTCTAGTACTGCACACCCTCAATGATCCTAGATCTCGAAGGGTTCAACTCTAGTACTGCACACCCTCAATGATCCTAGATCTCGAAGGGTTCAACTCTAGTACTGCACACCCTCAATGATCCTAGATCTCGAAGGGTTCAACTCTAGTACTGCACACCCTCAATCGTCCCAGATCGTAATTCCGGTTCTCCTGGTGAGCATAGGAGTGGACTTTCCAGTTTCGAAGTCGCAGAAAAACATCGACGTCGCTCTTCCAGTGGTTTACAAAGACCGCATAAGATCTGCCGAGAGACTGGAAGACCGCTAAGCGACGGTGGCCGCAATAGCGTTCCATCTGGTCACGATTTGCATCCTGATCGTGATATTTAAGGCATGATAAACAAATCCAAAATCCATCTTCCAGAACATCTTGGTTGTAGGTCCCATTTTGGAATGGGGAATTGGGGACCAAGATGCTCCTGGCGATGGATTTCCGGCAGGTCTAAGATATTCCCTATGCTGGTGCAGTCAAAGCCACGCGGTTTCACAGTGAGCATAGTCACATTGACGCTAGCCCTGAGGACCATGGTAGGGCACCTTATTCGCATGAGGGGAATGATGACTACTCTCCGCGCACCTCAAGACGACTCCGCAAACCAGATCGCACCACGATTGGTGGTCCACGAGTCACACTGCGCGCGACTGGCAATCGGGAATACGGGGATGAAGCTGATCGATTGTCGGCGTTGGCGGGAACAACTGCTATGATGAGCACGTGATGGCATCACACACACCAGACAAATTTTTAATGATGCTATAGATTTCATTCAAAGATAAAAATGAGAACTGTCTGAGTGCATAGTACCTGAAAAAACACCTGCACGTACCCATACACAGACACGCACTCCATCAAATTCAACAAATGAGATTCCGACCACTACTCGGACCTGAGGATCTAAACTACATGCTCAAAGGAGAACGAGAAGAAGAACTTCTATTTCTAACTTTCGCGCTGGCGTAAGAATGACTCCAGATCGTCCCTCCAAAACCAGGAAGATGGACATCCGTTTTGATAGTCACCTAGGACACGGAGTTGCTCCGGAGTTGGAAGGACAAGAAGATCCAGGCCATTTACGCGGTGCTGGCCATCATCGAGGCCACCAACAACATCAGAGACTTCAAGAGTCCCATTTTGCAATTGTTATGCTGGATGGTGATCAGAGAGTAGACCGAACGGCTCTGATAATTTCATTGATCGGGATCGCCTTACTAGTTCATGTTATCCCCCGTTTTCGTTTCTGTTGTAGATTCCTAGAAGATAGTTTGAATCTTGTAGTTTATACTCGTGTATGAGTTGGGAACCCTACCAGGTAAACCCCTCTAATCCGAGCCACACCCCTGTACCGGAACCACGGCCATACGATCAAGTTTTAGACTTCGATCACGTGGAGAATTTGAAGAAGAGCAAAGTTAGGCTCGCTCATGAGGAGACGATGACTGGTAAAGGAGCTATTCTAGGAGATCCTGACCATGAGGTTGGTTTTCTAGAAGACTACCAGGGCTGGCTGGGAAGAAAGAGAATGCTGCAGAAGGGGGAAGCGAAAGCGAGGAAGGCAGCTAGTTTGCCTGGAGCGCCATGCTATGCGTGGACAGCAGAACCGACGGGGGCTAAAGTGGTGGGGAAAATAGGTATGATGAATATGATAATGATTAACTACTTACATCACAACTCTGTCTCTTGTAGGACTAACTTACATCATTCTGGCGTTCTGGTAGGACTAAGGAAAACAGCAGGTTGTTAGATTGAAATTGATACCCTCGTAGCTGTTTTTGTCACGACGACACTGGTATTTTGCACATCAACCCAAGCACAATAATTTCGAGTTTGTTTCCCTTTATCCACGATTGTGATTGAAGAAGAAGATCAATTCATCAAGATCACCCCGCCACGACTACCAGGTAAATCCCGCATTGGTCCTGGTGAGGGGGATCGACGACCCTCAAAAGAGATCTACACGGAGTATTTGAAGACCAGAGTGAAAGCTGGAAGGGGTTCCGATCCCCGTGACGTCCCTGCTGGTGTCGATTGTCGAAGATTTCAACCTAAATCACGCGCACCACCGAAGGATGAGAAGCGAGAGAGGTTTAACGTGGAAGATGATACTGCTGTTATGGTTCGTTTTTGGTATTATTAATTACCGTCTAACTATTCACTCTTTGTCTTTTTTGAGGTCAACATTTAGTGTCCATCGTTCTCGGCATCTTGGTACCCTTTTCCGTTGTATTCTCATCAAATACGAGGTAAAAGGGGCCAAAATGAGAGGGCCGAGGTGCAATCTAGCAGACTCTCATATTACTACTTTTTAGCAGAAGATGATGCCTCTTTGTGCATCTTGATACCCTTGATGCTGATATATCTTTTCAAGCGAGATGAATATGAAATGGAAGAGCACGAGGCTTGATGTATTAACAGACTAGCGCCGGCGCTTTCTCTCTGTACTTTCCCACCTCCTCTAATCCTGCTGCCGGCCAAGATCTTCCTGAGAAAGAAGGTGGTAGAGGAAAGAGCTACTACACCTACATGGCAAACCGAAGTGCTTTGTCCGGCAACCCCTTGACCTTGAGACAACCAGGTGATTTCGCAGAGGCCGCCAGACGAATTCGTGCCGACAAGAGTGAAATGCTACCTAGAGGCGACACGAGGGATGAACTACGCTACCTTAAAGGGCCAAGACGCAGAGCGGATGATGGCACTAATTCTGTCCTCGAGGATGGCACCAACGAAATTCCGACTTTCGGACATCCTTCTTTTATGCTGCTTCGTCCAATTCTGACAACTCATCGTCATCCTAGAAGAAAGCATCTACTTGATCTTCCACTCGTCCTTTTTCAAAGGGAAATTGAAAAGACGTCTAGAAGAGTCATGCCTTTCATTTTTCAAGAAGATGAATTATATATAGGTGTCGCGAGGTCTACTTCTAATTCTTGCAACCCCGTCGCGACTACCAAAGCCAGAACTGTTAGATGGGAACCCCTCGACGTCGATCCCGACTCACCTGCGCGCAAAGTCGCTGCATCTCTGGTCCATGAAGACGAGCGAGCCAAGCGGGAGAAAATCAGTGGAGAATACCTGGGATCTCCAATCGGCAGAGGCCTAAACGATGAAAAGCGCAAGCAGTGGGAGCGTGCGCACATCCGAGAGGCACATCCGCATGATCGAGACTTGATCCGCTTTCACGAGAACGAACGATATGACACGAAAAAAATGCACTCATACTCAAGAAAGTAGGCACCTTCTAAGTAGGAAAAAGCCTACTTTCTTGAGGATGAGTACACTTTTTCGCTTCATAAACGAGGAGAACTGTTCAAAAGTCCGAAGATGGATCCCAGAAAGCAGTACACCTATGGCCGCTCAGACTTGGCAACGGAACGGGAACTCGGCAGGCGAGCGGAGAGTTCTAAGCCCGATACGAGCTTGCTGGACCATGAGAAGAATCACTCGTTGTACGCTACGGCAGGAACCAATCGAGACGGACTGTTTAGGCAGAGGGAAAGCATGAGGAAGAGTACTTCATAGTTGAATGGTTCTGGTATTTTTGGTATAGCCTGAGTTTGATCCTAAGGGAAAACAAGAAGAGAACCCTTAGGATCAAACTCAGGCTATACCAAAGACCAGAAGCATAGACAATAGCACACCTGAGTCTGAGCAGAAGCTCCCTGCTTAGGGGCGTTTTGGATGTACATGTACTCCTGGTTTCGAGAATTTATATTATTGTACTTGATCATACTTTATTACCACATTCAGACTACAACTACTATCTAAGTATACATGGTTTCAAGAATTTGTACTTGATATTTTATTTTTACCACATTGATTCAGATGACTACATCTACAACCACTACTATCTACATTCTTCTACTTATGATATTCATTGTTCTCATACTGTTACTGACTACCACTACATTAGGTCGCAAGATGGTCGATGGCGGTTACTGTGATGAAACTCGCGAAACCGATGAAGAATCCAACAGCCCTTACTTCTGGGTGAACCGTTCTGTCCGTATTCCCACTGGCTGCACCGTGCCTCCCGAGTACTACAATGACCCCGAAACCAAACCCGGCGCTTTCAAAGATCGCGGTCTCCACAATAAAGAAGGCGCATACAATATGGACCAAATGCGCGGCGGACCTCAAACTCCTATAGATGCTGATGGTCAACTCAGGTCAGAACGGGGACCCTTGACGAGGGAGCAAAGGAAAGCGATACGGGCAAATGAGAAAGTGTTGCAGGAAGCTGCGAAAGAGAAGCTGCATCATGCGAGAGCAAGGAACATGGCACGTGCGGAAGATTGGACAAACATGAACGAGAGTCCAGAAACGAAGGGACTATTTAATCCGAAATTTATGAATGGACATGATAGTGATACTGCGCAATGATTAGAAGTGATGGAGTTGTTTGACTTTGTGACCTTGCATTTTTATCATATTTATAAGTACCTGTTTGTTCCTCGTTGCAATGCCAATATTAGCACCAACTAGTGGTAGTGCTTATTAAGTATAAGTACTTCCCTCACCCTCTCTAAGTCCCACCAGTACGAGCAAGAAGATTTGACGGAAGACAATGGGTCCTCTTGCGCCTCCAGCTCTGCCGGAGGGCAACATCCAGGTCGACAATTAAGGCTCAACTTTCAATGGTCACCATTGAGATTGGGGTCACTGAGATCGAAGAGGCGACCCCTTCTTGAGAGAACCAACAGGGGAAATAAACGAAGGGAAAAGGGGAGAGCTTTGAAGGGGGTCTCTTCCGTTCTTCCGTTCAGAGTCAGTGGCCACTGACTGCTGAGCTTTAAGACAAAGGAGGGGCTCTGGAGACGATGATCTCTTAACGCCATTCGACAGTCCTGCTCACCATGGAAGGCGTGGTGGGGATCATGACGATTCCATTGCCTCTTACGCTGGTCGTAGCACAAAGGAATTTGCGAGAAAGGTCATGGATAGAGGCCCGAGAGGTGCACGTCAAGGAAAACCAGAGCGCTTCTCCATCAATCGAGCAGGGTTCGTGGTGTCTCCTGCGCAACAGACGGTGAACATTACAAGGGAAGGACTGGATCACGACAACAACGGAAAACAAGATGGCTTTACGATGCGGCAGGAAACTTATGGCGGAGGAACCGCAATTTTGCGTTTTTTGTACATTATCCGTCTCAGAATGAAAATGACTTTATTTCATTTTGAGACGAATATTGCTCAACTGATCCCTGAACTTCATGTGCGTTTTTTGGCTAAGAAACCCCTTTTCTATGTTCGCTTTTGGCATAGTGTTACTCCATAATCAGTCGATTTGGGTCGTTATCATTCTAGTGATACTGATTGTTCGACGCCTGAATTAGCAGGTTTAACATGCTGTCACTAGCGCTAAGACACCCCCGACTCAAAGCCAGTGCTAGCATCTGAGAGCGTACGAGAGCTGCAAGCGAGGGCAAGGAATCGTCCATCCGTTGCAGACAAATTGACAGGTCAAAGAAAAATGCCTGGTGTTATGGCTACAAGTACAATCGCAAGGGCAGTAGAGACGCTTTCATCATGAATGCCATCCCTCTTGGCCGCCAGTGTCTTCAGTATATTGGTTCTCCTGGTAGTAGTTGTTGAATTAAAGAACTAGATCCAACCCCACAGATGAATATGGAAAACAAACCCAGCAAGAAAGTGGATGCTCATTTCCACATCGTAAAGGACCACACAGCGCACAAGTGCTCCATCTTTGTCTCTAACAGCAAGCGCAGCCTTAGCAGGAACAAACGGAATGGCAGCCGAGTGGTGGATATCGATGAGCAAGTGACCTATGTCGATTACGACACGGGAAGAGTGGGGGTTCCACATGGGAGAGATCAGGATGACTACTACAGTTCATCTGCTGCCGGGACTCGTACACAAGACGAGCAGAGTAGTGCGACTGGACGCAGTGGAGGTAGTCGTGGTAGTGCCGCTACAGACAATTATAGTGGAAGTGCAGCTAGTCGTGGAGTGGATAGTAGTCGAGGTAGTAGAAGAGCCTTCGGTCGCCAAAACAACGAAGATCTAGAAGACCATCGGGATGCGGATGACTACGAGGTGGATTCTAGAAGTGCTGCGTCGAGCTCAGCGACTGGTGACTGCGATCATCATGAAGCTGCTCGTGATTCTAGGCAGACGTTTTTGAACTACACAGAACCACCACGCGGCGGACAGAGGAGTCGAGGCGCATCCGCTTCGGCTGCTAGAAATGTTAAGAGTAGGTTAATAAAGGTGCTTTTCTTACCGCTTTTTATGCCTCTCCTAAGAGGGAAAGGCATAACAAGCGGGGTAAGCGAGCACCAAAAGCCTACCTCTAATGAGAGAGCAAATCACTACTCAACATCAGCAAGTTCCAAGTCCACCGCATCTTCTCGTCCACAACATCAACATCTTCGCCACCACAACTCGTCTTCCGCCTCTTCAGCAGCGTCTTCTGCCTCTTCAGTAGCATCATCAGCCAGCCACTCGTCTGCATCTTCATTTTACGCACGTCAGGAAGCGAAGATTCGCAAGCGGGAAGCAGCATCTAGAAGGACAAGGGCGATTGACTTGACAACCAGTGGGGCCTTTGTGGATTGCCTGTATCCGGAGCAAAATGCTGTGTCGCCAGTGAAAAAACAAGTGCTAGCAGCAAATGGAAGGAGAAGTTGCAGGTATCAACATGTCAGACATTTTGTTGCAGTTCTTGCGTTTTGTAGATAAGAATTAAAAATATATCGATCACGCATTTATTTTTATCTACAACAATAAATCCTCGTTTTGACATCGACTACACCATCAAGAATTCAATCCTTTTTGTCTTTTTTTAACCTCAAACAACAAAGCATTCTTTCACAGTCTATCTTCATCGACTCATAATTTCCCTCAACGCACAGTCCAACCCGCGCTACTTTTACTCGTCGGTCTGGTGCTGGGTGCAACGACGCCTCTAAAGTGAGGGCTGCCAGCCAAGCCAATCAAGAAGGCAAACTACTCTACCACTCTCTCCAAGGGAGACGAAATAATAACAGTGCGCGCGTCTACGGAGATGGTGCCACGCAGTATGGGTGATACAGCAAGAGTACGGAGATGGTGCAACGCAGTATGGGTGATAAAAATAGATCGAGACACGTTGTACTTTGGAAGAGTTTGAGTTAGTAAGTTGTAGAACTTCAATGTTGTCTGTAGATGCAAGAGGTTCTTTGTTATCACAGAATGTGTGTACGATATTAGGGACTCTTGTGGGTCGTGTCCACCAGAATTCTTAGACTAACTAGTTGGAAGTGTTGTCCTACCTGAACCTCATTCAAAAGTTAGATTACCGGATCAAGTAAGTTCCTAATCCCATAAATATCTCTAACTGAACAAGGAGTGCATAAAAAATGATGCGTCTGTGGATGACAGTGAGATAGTCGCAGTCGCTGTACAACAAGTACCGAAATTATATTTGATAAGTAAAAGTATGCTAGTTGTTGTTGTACTAGTACTTCCAAGAAAGTAGAACGAGATCAAATCATCACTTGTGTCTTCGATGAAGTTACCTAGAAAAAGGAAAATGTACAAGAACAGAAAACGCACATAGAAGTACATGCTGAATGCTTCAAAAACTTCAACTATCTTCGACATAAGGAAATTATTATTGAACCAACTAATTAGGAAAAAGTAATGCTCATGTACATGTTGTAACTACATCGATCCATCTGACGACGTGGACGCTTGTCCTGAATGACCAAAACATAGAGTTAACAGAAGTTCTTTGAGAAGCATCTGGCTGCTGGCGTTTGCAGGTCGTCGACCGTGGGCTAGAATTTGAGAAGAATCCACCTCCACGAAATCAGGATGATGTTTTCGAGTCCACGATCCTCAAGATGATGTTTGCGTGCCCACGATCCTCAGGATGATGTTTTCGAGTCCACGATCCTCAGGATGATGCTTTCGAGTCCACGATCCTCAGGATGATGTTATTTGGAGGTCCTCCTTTATCTTCTTCTTTGAGTGTAAAACTTCTGAAGTTGCACCACCTCCGGCTAGGCGCATTCACTCACTCACTCACTCACTCACTCACTCACTCACTCACGACTCACGTAGGACAAAGAAGAAGATACTCAGATGGAATTGGAAGACCAAGTTGATCACGTCCGAGGTGGAGGTTCTAACTCTACTTCTAAGTAAGTGGTCTAGGTCTACTACTTTGGTCCGAGTTTGAGGTGCTTGTTTTTTTCTGGTGGTGAAGCTCTGACGTCGATCACAAGCAATAGAAAATTGTGATGGAAACGAAATGCTAAAAATGTGGCCACCAGAATTCGTATGTGTACGACGACCGATGTGAAAAACACAAACAAAGAGATGAAAAAATCGAGAATGAGAAGATGCAAGGGCATTTACAGTTTCTCCCATATTCATCAGTACAACTAGTTGAGACGAGTCCAGCAGACAAGAATTATACACGTCGTTTGGAAACCTACAAGAAAAGCAAGTAGACATGCTGGAGGTCTCCTGCTAGCCGCGGATTCCACTTGTCAGGAAGTAAAAATCTTACAAAGCAAGCATCTATATCTAACACTAACACCAGATTTATTGAAATTTTTCTCAACATTCATCTACAACTCCGATCATCAGGTGGTTTTTCTTTTGAGGCTTAGTTATTGTTTCACATCATCTATATTTGTAAATATAATCTCTAACTCTATCATCTTCATAGTACTAGTTTCAAATCATTCTCCTGTTATGTTCTTTCAAAATCAGATTCGCTCTCTTTTTTGACGAGAAAGAACTTCTAGACGACAGCACACTCACTATGTATTGCCTCTTCGAAGTAGGTCAGGGAATAGATGGACTACATACTCTTCCGTATTTGTTGTAAAAAAACACAGCAAGTCTACTTCTAGTATTGAAAGACGATCATACTCAATGGAATGTTTCATCTGATTCTACTATCTATATCTTTCCTTTCTTTGTGGTCTTATGGAATAGGAATGATATATCAAGTTCGGAGAGGAGCTGGAGCTCTTCAGCTAGGATTTATATGTTGCTTGTTGTCTGTCCACTACTAAGATCCCTATTCCAATATTGTTGTGTCTGTCTACTACTTTTGATGATTATTTCGCCAACAACATACTCCTTGAAACAACAGCGGAAAAGAAACTGACAAAAATGCGACATTCCAGATGTTAAAAGCTTGACAAACTTACAGCAAGGCCGTAAAAATCCTAATTGAAATCATAATTTTCAATCCTGAACTTGATTGAACCTCGTCATTGACCACATACAACAACCTACCTACCTACTACTACCTAGACGGCGGGAAGATATTTTTTCTCGATAAGGCTAGGCCTAGGTCGAACCACCATGACTAACTTTCTGCATAAGAAACTTCATCCTTTGTTTCTCCTTATCCTGATGAAGAAAGATGACGGATGAAATCGATGATGCTCCTGTTACACGCGATGTGGTGCAATTTCACATCCGTCCCGACCTGGCTGTGCATCCAAGACAAGCTAGAAGAAGCAAGAATAGTAGAGGAGAAAATAATGATCGTCGTCAGAGTCAGAGAATAGGCAATATAGGGATAGGAGAGGAACGAGGAAGCAACACAGGAATCACAGGAGAGGAAAGGATCCAACAACAAGCAGGTCAAGGACAAGGTGAAGCTGCGGTACTCCGACAAGGATGTGATTATAGCATACCGATATTAGAGGAACCTCAACATGATGTCGTTAGAAAGGAGGATGCTGTTCCTGAGAAAGAGGATAGAACAAAAGTCAGGGATACAATAATCGTCCCAAGAGAGGAGCATTATAGTGACCACGACTCCGAACTACACTTGCCTCTGCCACGCAGCAGCACCACTGGTACTTCTCGTACTGATATTATGACTTCCGGATATACATCTTGTTCAGAGTAGTATCTTGGCCCTCCGTGTAAGGGGAAAACGGGTTCAAGATGACGCTCAAGATGGATTCCCGGAAGGTCTAATGATTATGATGGGTCCCTTAAAAATCACGAGCTGAACAAAGACCCTCGCGAACGGACATCCAGAACTCGAAAAGAGCATCATCCTACTCATCCTCGAAGGGAGAGCCGCAAGGATAAGGACCATGCTTAAGGCTTGCCCTTATCCATCTTCTGAGGCATCCTGAAGAGACTTTTCAATGGGACAAAGCACCCAGGATGCGCCTCAAGATGGATGCGGGTGAGCTCTAACATGCTGTCCAACGAGAACGGAAGGAGCACCGCGACCGAGATCACAGGGACAGGCATGACGATCCTGATCGAATAAAGAGTAAGAAGCATCATTCCAGTCGGCGTATAGGCGAGCTGACAGGGAAAAGCTTGTCATCACAAATGTTTGCGACTACCTCAACATCTGGTGGCTGTAATCAGAATGCGTCGAAGACGATGACGATGACGATTCTAGATCATCCTCTTGTACAATCAAGACAGGCTGAAGAGGACGATCAAGATCTCCAAAGGGCACGTGCAGCAGTAGGACCTGCTTCTTCTTCCTCCGCACTAGGTCCAGCCGCACTAGCGCCACAGCCTCTCGTCCCTCGTCAAGGTCAACAAGAAATCATAGTCGGCCAATCTCATGCGTCTTCTTCTTCCTCGCCACATCCACCTAGATTTGTTTCTGCACAAGGCACTCCAGATGAACGGCCCATTGTGCAGCAACCTCCTATGCCAGAAGGAGCAGGAGCTCAGGGGATCATCTCTCCCTTTCCCGACCAACCGAATATACTAGTACCTCCCATGGTGCCAGGAGCAGCTCACCAGGGGATCATCTCTCCCTTTCCCGAGCAACCGAATATGGGCCTCACGTCTCAACATGTGTCCACAAACATCAATCTAGTGACCACAGCCTCTTCCACTACTTCTAGTGGTGCTCAGCGACGGACAAACAAAAGAGCTAGTTGTGATCGATATGACATGCTCGAAAGCGGGACGGCTCATGTTGTTTCACAAGGACATCAAGCTGTAACTGGTATTATAGACGCAACCTCTCCTCGTCCTCCAATATTATCTGCCAGTTTGACGAGTGCAGCTAGGATCACTGCAGGCACAGGATACTCATCTTCTTCAGAAGCGCTGGTTGTATCAAAAGGAGATGGAGGTCACTCTTCATCGTCACCGTCGAATAAGAAGCAGAGCTCTTCTTCTGGAGCTGGTGTAGCATCTCCTGGAGGCAGTCGCGGTGGTCAGCAATTATCGGGAGAAGCAGTTGCTGCTAGAGGATTTCTACTTAGCGAACAAGAACAGAGAGAAGAATTATCGCCAGGAATGTTGACCAGGAGGCTGCAGATGCGGCACGACAATGCGGCTATTACATCAAGAGGACCCCTCTCAGCCGGCCCGAGCTGCACGACCAGTACTAGAGTAGCTGCTGTACGCCAAGCAGATAGACAGCACCGATTGTCACGGAACAACTCTTCTCGATATCAGCATGGTCCACCAAGTAGAAACTTCCATCAAGAGCCTAGAGACTCTCTCAAGTTGAGATATTCTTGTGCAGGCAGTCCGTCAAGCAGTCGAGGAGGAGGCGCGCCACTGCCTTTACAACAACTTGGGAGAGCCAATACCAGATCAGACTGCCACGAGGGTGATACTGCCGCAACAGCGACTTCGTGCATCTACGATTGCGATGACCACCTTGACGAGCCCTTATCGGAAGGTGCGCAGTTCAAGCGCATAAAGAACCACAGTAACCAGAACCAGATCATTTCAGGATCAGGAGAAGCTAGACAAGAGTCTACATCTTCTAGACCACACTCTGGAGATACAAGAGGAGATGTAGCCAAAGACGTTACTACCAAACTGTTGCAGAGGCAGATGTTGCAAGGAGGCGGAGGCCCGGGTGGAGGTGATGTTGCCCAAAATAAAGCTAGGATGACCATAAAATCAGCAGCTGCTGCAGCAGAGATGATAAAAACGTCTGAGGACGCATTGTCGTCCACCAATTTGAGGGGTCTCCCTTCAGGACCAGTAGCAGCCACGCTTACCGGTTGTAGTACTAGTAGTCGCAGTTTGACATTGGGTCGTGCCACAACGACCGCTTCCAACAATCTGCTGCTAGGTGGAGCAGGAGTCTCGACTTCACGCGAGCTACTGAATCCTGGGACTAGTACTACCTCATTGATAGGAGGTGGCGACCATACTACATCACGCTCACGGACATCGTTCAACAATTCCTCCAGTATTCTCCTCAGTTGCACGACCACGTCGTTTGGCGGCGGTTGTTCCACGTCCATGTTTACTACAACTCGGAGACACAACAACACGAGACAACAGCTAGAGTCATTGGATGAAGAATCGCTCATGCTGGATGGAGTAACTACACAAAATGATGCAGATCGCAGCACTACGGGTGGAGGCGGAAGTACGATGATGGATAGCTGTAGAGCAGTGAAGATAAGAAATGCAGCTTCGACTTCAAGACCCTTTGCTCATCGAGAAACAAGAGAAGAAATACGCGTTGAAACAGCTTGTATTGCCCAAGAAGGGAGTCAACACCATTGCTCAACATCAAGAACAACATCATCCCACGTAGGTGCCAACTATGTCGAACAAGCGGCTGATGCGCGCACTTCAGCAAGAACAAACCACGTACTACAAGAACAAGGTAAACAAGCCACGACCACTCCGCATGATATCAATCTCCTTTCTCGTACTCTATCATCCTCCTCTTCCAGGCCACCCAGACTACCTCAGAAGAAACCTTCCGCATCTTCTAGCAAACAGGCATTGCGGATATCCTCCTCAGCTCTGGATGCCAGTAGTTTGATGCAGAAACTGTCTGCTTTGTCCAGCCTCCAAGAGGAAGAAGAACAAGCATCTACGACGCCTTCCGTGAGGACGCTAAGCGCGCAGCCGGAAGGTGAACAAGTAGACCATCAGAAATCATGCCATCAGAAATCGTCATGTGTTTCTCTCTCGAACCCAGAACAAGAACTTCAAGCACCACATGCTCCGTGTCTACAGGAGTTGCGTCTCCCCTGTAGACAACAAGGACCCCGCACAACAAGTAGTAGTAGTACCACGCCTATTATAATAGCGTCTGCGTCATCTCCTTCTATTGCAGGAGCACCAGCTCCCGCAACTACAGGATCAACATCTTCAAGACCGAGGGAAATCCACTTAACAAGAACGACCCGTGCTCTAACGACGGTTGGCGAGTTTATTGATCTCTCCGGATCATCTAAAGCTCCCACCTTAGAGGTTGAAGAAGAAGAGGTAGGCCAAGTACGTGGAGACTGCCTTCCCTTTTCGCCGCTGCCGAAAAGTGGTCAAGGTAGTAGTTCTGGAAGTGGCAGAGGTCGGGGAGGCGCGATCTGTCGGAGACATGTGGATGCTAATGATGTGGGAGAAGTGGATCATGCAATAGTACATGTTGCTAGTGCTAGACGAGGGCCTAGGGGACCTGGAATTGTAGCACGCACAATGGGTGAGGCTCCTGAGGGATGTGTGATACAACATCTTACTACCCGAGGAGAGGAAGAAACAGCTCACGTTGGTAAAAGCAGTGGTGAAGAACCAAGGGGAGAACATCTTCAAGCGCGTCACGAAGAGCTACTAGAGCGACTTTGCTCTCCACCTACTCTTCATCTACAAGAAAAGATACAACAGGATGGAGTGAAAAGCATGAGCAAGAACATAGCTGAAGGCAAAACCTCCATAGCTGAAGGTCGACTAAGCGACCGTAGCTCGTCAAGCGGTTCGGTTACACAAGATCCAGGTATTGGGGTACATGATCACAAAGTCACAGGTTCTTCGCCTTGTTGACCATAATGCAGTCATAGTTAGGATGCTCGCCAAAGATGCAGGAGCGAAACCGATCATATGGATATCACCTTACAACTGCTACTGGTTTGTAGCACTTGTTCGGTTGCGAAACGCAAAAAAAATCTTCAAGTTCAACTTCTGATAAAACCTAACTCCTACCTGTAGTTCTTCATGTTGTTATCCACCACGACGAGTACTATTAGATTATCCACGACGAATACAATTAGATTATCTACTGATTTTCCAGTAATACCATGACCACACGCATACAAAATGAACGAAGCGCTACCATGAATTTAATACACTTACACACGCTCCTCGCGACACACTCGTATTACAAGTACAACACTTTTTACTAACTTGAGCTTCACCTTCATGTTTGTTTCATGTTATTTGTTCATCATTGGAATTTGTCTCTTGGCTTTCCACCTCATTGGGTATCATATTCATCAACTTTTTCTCGATTATACAAACATTTTCTGTCATGTTTCACGACTTGATGAACGCGATAACTTCAGTTTTCCCTCGAATCCGAAAAATTTAACCACCTCAACCAAATTTAACCACCAGATAAGTGACCAATTAAGCTCGACGACACATTCTTGATTACCAGGCAGATCATGCATCATTCTCTATCAATTAAAGTCACCTAAAGAAGACAGTAAGGCATATTACGCTCCAACAAAGTGTAAAAGAAGAATCAAGAAGATTAGGAAGTAGGCGCATTGAAAAAAGGGTTAAGAAGATCAATGATAATTCTTGAACTTGATCCTGATGAAGAAGAATGAGCAGAAGTCTTGTGTGGGGTCCCTAAAAAGACTGTGGTATAGACCATCGAATGAGGGGCTCAGAGAGGCATAGACCACATGTTCTCTGGAACTCATGAACAAGTTTTGGTTTTCTATTGTGAAAAATCTTTCTTTTTTTGGCGCATTATCAATCCTTTTCACCTCCTCTATCATGCTATTTGAAAACCTCCTCCATATTGATTATAATGTTATTAAAAAACCGTGGTTTCGCAATGAAAGAAAGACCTTCGAAGGGGAGGTCGCGGCCATGTCCACAGAGTACTGCAGCCGCTTGGTCGTGTTCAACCTTGAGCAAGAAATTCAAAAGAGCTAGAAAGATGAACCAAGACACCGACAACGACATGTCCTATAGACCAAAATATGACGAGAGAAGTTAATAAAGTGTTGCTGTTCCGAATTTCGGAATTCGAAAATACATGATCTTCGAAATTTCTAAGCGCTCAACTTGTTCAATCTTGCTCCTGTCTCCTAATTTCAAAAAGCAAGAATTTCGATTCGTAGCAACGGCACGAACAAAAACCAAAGCCTCCTCCTCCAAGAAAATCATATTTAAAATCAACCGAAACCTCCGAGAGAAGAATAATAATATTGTAACATGGCTGCTGCAGACGTGCTCCTTGAAGACGACTCGTCGGACGACGATTTGGACCTTATGGGTCCGAACTCATTGCCGGACGAGTATCGGGACTTGGTTTTATGGTGAGGTTGTTGATGAAAGAGAATTATATATGTACCAGGGAGGGAGGCCCCCCCCCCCTGTGGATGGATCTGGGGTGGACCACGCCAGAGGGGTCCAGCCTTGCCACCTTATTGGCCAGGCCTGTCGAGGGGCTGCCGGGCGGGAAGGCCTCAAAGCGCCCACTTCTGACCCCTTCCCGTTTCTTGCCTGTACCCTACAGACCTGGCAAAGGCAGGGCCCCGCTGGCTTGTTGCATGTACCCGACAGACCTGGCAAAGGTGGCAAAGGCCGGGCCCCGCTGCCTTGTTGCATGTATCTACCGACCCGGCAAAGGAGGCAAAGGCAGGGCCCCGCTGCCTTGTTGCGTGTACCCTACAGACCTGGCAAAGGGGGCAAAGGCAGGGCCCCGCTGCCTTGTTGCGTGTACCCTACAGACCTGGCAAAGGAGGCAAAGGCAGGGCCCCGCTGCCTTGTTGCATGTACCCTACAGACCTGGCAAAGGGGGCAAAGGCGGGAACCCACCCCCTTGCAACACGACAAGAAGGCCCAGCCTTTGCCACCTTTGCCAGGTCTGTAGCGTACATGCAAGAAGCGGGAAGGGGTCAGAAGTGGGCGCTTTGAGGCCTTCCCCCCCGGCAGCCCCTCGAAAAGAGGGGCCGGGGCGGGGAGTTAGGGGGGGGGGGGCCTCCCGCCCTGAGCCCTGGAACATATATAGCATTGACTGGTAGTGGTGGCGTTTTTTCTCAGTGTTCTCTAATTTCCTCCTTCTCACCGGTCGAAACGCGTGCCCGTTCCATGCTTGAACGCGATGTCGACCAGATCCTGTCACGAAATGCGGCTCTACTGCGTGATTCCTTCGACCCTTTGCAGAAATATGGTCGTGTTGCGGAAGCCATGTCCTCGTCATCTGTGGAGGAGCCTCCACCACGAGGACTCTCCAAACAGCAAGAGCTGCAAGAGAAGCAGTTTAATCTCAACCAGACTAGTTCAGGTTCGCCTCCAAGATACCAGGAGACCAAACAGGAGTCTTATCACGACGAACAAGACGATGAGCAGATGAATGACGAGGCAGATGATGATGAACAACCTTTATTCGACTACGTCGTCCCGCCACCACGTCAATCATCAATCTCGACGTCAAAGGAGCATGACAGAACGATTGGGAGCAAATCCACAAGAGCTTCGACCAAGGAGAGCGTGCTGGAGGAATTTGCCTCTTCTGGAGGTGGAGCAGCATCGTCGAATAAAGTAGCTCTTCCTGAAGAGGTGGACGGGGATGAAAGCGTACTAGAAGAAGATGTTGATCATGATGTTGATGAAAGCGTACTGGAAGATGTTGATCCTGAAGATGGCGAGAACAGTGAAGAAGATGACGATGAGGCAGAGAAAGAGAGCGATTCAGAATCAGAGGCGAGTGTTCTCAATACAGCGGAAAAAGAGGACCTGGCTCTACATTATGCGACTGCGGCTGAAGAAAATGAGGAGAAAGATGACGACGCCCTTGCCTCATCTTCGGTTCTTTCCGTGTTGAAGGTCGAACTGCCACGCGTGACGCTGGTGGATGAGAAACCAGAACAAACTCCAAGTTCAACATCTTTGCGGCCCATTACCATTACCAAGTTCAAGACAACAAAAGAGACTATGACGTCCATACCAATCTACGAAGTCGAGATGGATCGTACCTTGACCCACGCAGATTCGTTAGACAATTTTACAGGTTTCCATCCACATCGCCTACAACAATCATCAGAAGCATCATCCACATTGTCTTATGCAGACAATAAATCTCTCGACAAATCCGATGTGCATCACGGATCTGTCTACTACTATTCGCGCAGCGAGGATGCTGGAGGTGGTGGAGCTGCTGCGAAAGCTAGTAGTAGGAGAATAACCGGCAGCACTACTAGGAGCACCCCAAGGAGCTCCTCCATTTCTGGTACTCCTTCGCAGTCGGCTGTAAGAGATGCTGCTCTACTAGGAACAACCAATATACCACCTGATGACCACTTCCCATCTGCCAGTAGCCAGTTTATGTCATTTCCTCAGGCGCATGCACATGCTGTCGATGTGCCACAAGTGCGAAGGGTGCATGGCTCAAAGACGTCGACTCCGCTACAACAGAGGGAAGGGCCTACTTCTACAACAGTTGCTGGGAGAGCTGCTCCTGCACCAGGTGGCTCTTCGAGTTCTTCATCGTCCAGTACAACACCTAGAACTTCCTCTTCTGTGAATACCACCAGCTGCAGCAGTGGAGGACCTTCCTCAAGAGCAAGACAATTCGTGATGCCGTGCAACAGAGCAAATGTCCGTTTGGTCGCCTCTGCAAGAGCGAGCACGACAGTCGATAGAGTCCAGAGAATGGATTTCGAACCTCCAGATCGTAGTCTGCTAATAAGTGCTTCAAGAATGGCGACGAGGACGACAGGACAAACATCTTCAGCTTCCGTACCACGACAACGACGGGCTCCGGCTCCGCCGATAGTTGTTGACGAGTCTAGTGGTGTCACGGATGCAGCGTCGCCAGTAGCTAACGATGTTGTGAACAAGCCGAATCTACCTGGTCAGAAAATCAAGGTTGTTCCAACGAGGAAAGCAAGTGCAACTGGTGCTACTGCAGCAAGCATTAAGGCCTCTTCCAACTCGCCTAGTGCTGCACGAGTAGTCTCGTCTAGTGCTGCAGCAGTGTCGTCAACGGCGCAACCATCGCCGAAACCCTCTAGACGAGCCGCGCCTGCTCCGGCGCCTGCATCAGAGTCAGTTGCAAGAACAAGAACACCACCACCTACTGTAGCTTCCTCTAGTTCAAGCACGAAAAGAGTAGTGATGAAGCAAGACGCTCAAAAGACTTCATCTTCTACTGGTCCCATACAGCCCCGCACTGTAGGGACGAATGCTAAAAATGTTGTTGTGGTACCGACCACTACAACGACCACATCAAGCAAGTCTAAGACTTCTGCTTCATCGTCAACGACCACATCAAGCAAGTCTAAATCGTCAACGACAGGAGGGAACACGACCACAGCTGCCAGCCATAATCCCAGAAGCGCGTCTCTGAGAACTCCAAGACCAGCCATGCAGCAACGTCCTCGAACGGCAGAGACGACGACAGCCACAGAAAGACGCTGCATTGCCTCTTCTACTTCAATCCGAGCTGGCTTTCGAGAAGGAATCTCATCTGCTTCAGCTTCGACTACTCCTAAAAACTACACGTCTAACCTTCGAAACGGCATCAACTGGACATCAGGAAGTTGTAGCGCAGGAGGTGTTAACGGCAAGAATGTCCCGCCAAGAGGTCCGCGGTCAGGGTCTAACACCTCTACTAGGACAGGAACGACAGGAGCTTCTAGAAATGTCGCAAATATCAGAACGCCAAGTCGAAATGGTGTATCTTCAGGTCGCTTGCAAGGACCAGCTGCTGGCGGCACTTCCTCCTCGTCGTCCAAACCGAAGCCAGAGTGGAACTCTACAGTCACGGATTTGAATCGCTATAGGTTGGACCCCAATGTGCAGCAGCGAAAGAAGACAACGCGAGTTTCTACGAATTTGACACTGGCTACTGCCGAAATGCAAGGTATTGACTTGGCTTTCGAGTTTTCTTTTACAGTGCTGTCAGGATATCTTGCAACGTCGACGTTGATATGGTCCAATTCATCACTAGCTTTCATAACAAACTTTATAACTTCCTAAATCTCATACTCATCCATTGTGATTACTTCAACAGAAAAAATCTCTTCGATGAAACGTGATATCCGACCTTTTCTTGGTGGTCCTCGCGAGGGAGAACGACCTAGCGCTGTTTTCCGCTCCGCCGTTCAGACTGGTCGGATTCCGTCTGAAACACCAAGAAGCCGCGACTTCGCGACAAGAAGCACTATGCAGAGTAAATCAGTATCATCGGTGACTGGAGGAGTGAGTGCTGGGACAAGCAGTGGTAGTAGCCATTACAACTGTGGGGTGAAAGGGACACATCGTCCTAATTCTGTAGACCGGGAGCTCGAGCATCAACTTGATCACTTTCATGATCTCGATGAATTCCAAGCTTCAACTACAGAACAAGCAGGCCAAAATTTCACCGTCAACGATGCAGAAGCAGATTTTCTGCATGGTGGCATTGCGCCTAAGCCGTTATCTGCCCTGATAGACGAACAGCTAAAAGCCTTCCGACGACCCGGAGAATAGAACTTCTAGGTGGTCTTCGCATTGGTTTTTTGAGTAGCAGTAAGAAATTTCTGTTTCTGAACCTGATGAAATTAATAGAATGAACGTCGTCTCTCAGGCATTTCTAACCGAATAAATTTCAACTCGAGCATCAACTTAGCAGTCTACTTACTCTAACAAAAGGTATACTTATACATCTAAGACTAAGACGAATACGAAAAAGAAAGATTGTAAATAACATTTGAAGTATCTTGATCTTCTTGATCTTGTACGACTGAAGAATGGCATTATTTTACTCTTGATGAGTATGATTATGAATCTACTCACAGACTAGATGACTCAAAAGATTGCTATCGTCGTGTTTATTTTACCTTCTTGATAGAAGAACAAAGCATTCTACCCTAACAGCAAGATGGACTACCACTAAAACGGTGGACATTAATTCTTAGTGGTGAAAACCCGCATTCGCATAATTACATTTGGATGTAATTTCACAAAATCACATCCTGCAAAATCTTTGTAGTTACAGTTTTCGAGAAAGAGGACTTCAACTGCCTCGTGTTAGAGGCCGCATCTACCGAGGAGAGAACTAAGAAGATGTATTGAGAAAAGATGGAGATCAATAATTCCAGAGATCAAAAATGTTATCGATCTCTAAATCAATCTACTAAGATCCTCTCTGATATGCAATAGTTTACCTTCGACTTTCATCTTCGACGTTTTCCTTGGAACAACGATACCCTTCAAAAAAGTTTGTGGACCCTGCATCTATTTTCTCTAATCTAAAGAAAGGAATCTCCAAATCATTCCTCTTAAGTCGAAAGCCTACAACCTTACAGAAGTTTTACAAACACTCAGAAATAGAACAATCTTGAAAAAACAAAATCACCTCCAAGATGGCGCGGCTCTCTAACTCGAAATTGGTCTTCTTGGTTACCGATACCCTCTAGCAAGCGAAAGGGCGCGATTCCCAATCCGAAGATCGAGGATTGGCTATACTGTTGTCTCCTCACTTTCAGAATGGAGTGGAGGAGCTAGTAGATGTTCATCACAGACAAGTAAGTTGTATCTACTGGATAAGTTATTAATTATGGGCTCAAACACGCTCTCTACAACAGTCTTCTCGGGCAAAAATGCGACCTCGTCGGCAAATAGTTTCTACTTCTGTGAAACGCATTCATTGTCTCCCAAGCGGAGACCTTCTGGAGCCATGGCCCCTGCACGTCGCATGCCAGATATCTCGTCTTAATGTTAATCTTAATTAAGGGAAAATTGAAAGGCGTTATCATGCCAGCTTGGTTATCGAGCAAGGTAAAGAAATAATCCGATTTGCCTGAAGATGCGGACGATGAGGATGACAAGCCCATGCCCACAAAGTATGTGATAAAGCCCATGCCCTGAAAAAGACCAAATCGACTGATCCTTGCTTGTGCCACAGTACCATAACAGCAAACCGAAGAATTCATGGTCCAGAAACAGGTCAGTTTTGTATACGAGGTTTCTTTCTTTGTCGTCGACCGCACTTTCGTCTATGCTGTCTATGCGCCAGACGTAAGCCGTCGATGGAAATTGAAGGAAGTTCCGGTAGAGTTGCTAATGGAGATGGATGGAACGGCTGTCGGCGTGGACGTGGAGTGCAACGCGTAGATGCCTGTAGAGACAGCAAGACTGTTACTCCTTATGCTGGAGATAGAGGGTTACAAGCCATGGCTAAGTTTGGGAAATATTTTGAGCGAGGAAACGAGGATGCGATTTGTAGAAACATTGGCGAAAAGTTTGAAGGGATCATTTGCTTCTCTAGATGTTGGAAGGGAAAAAGGACCGAATGAACTACAAACAGACCGAATGAACTACAAACAGAAAGATGAATGAGAAAAATTGATGTTATTCTTACTCAAACAGGAGTACTATCGACATGATCATCTTCATCAAGGAACAGCAATTATCCTGCCCTCACACCTCTACCCGGTCCTGGGAAAACTGAAAATTTTCATTGCATTTGCAATTGCAGCAAGTCTTCTACATTAATGCGTATACTTATACTTAATACTCTCCTCGCACCACCTGCACCTCGTCCTTTTTCCAGACACTTATTCATAGAAACGAAAGTGTTCTTCTCCACGCATGAAAAGTTGAATGAGAGTGCACCATAGAAGTCAAGTGAGGTTTAGTAGGATTAGCTCGATGTGACTTTCGTAGGAGAGAAAACAGAGTGCTGAGGTGAGAAGTCAGACAGTGACTGAGAGATAAGCAGCCTGGTTCGACTGAGAGTTTTATTGAGTTTACTCGGATTCGATGTACTAATCGCTAATTATCTTACTTGCACTCGTAAATCCAAATCGTTTCGATTGAAACCGACTAACACCGGAGAAAGTTCAAAAATTCGAATCTATGTTAACTCGAATTCGATTGTCAGAAAAACAAGAGCTGCATCAAAAAACAAGAGTGGCAATCTTCACTTTCATTCATTCATTCATTCGAACCACGTAGCAGCTACGAGTAGCTGCCTGGTTCAGTTGTGACCCGAGTAGAGACTAAACAAATATCCCAAAAAAATTTAGAACTCTTGTTGAATGACATGCCAGCATATGGTCGAGAAATAGTACTTCTGATTTTCGAAACTACAAAAAGAGGACATGGATGATGTAGTTCCGCCTCCTAGTCGGAGGTGGCGGCCTCCGCTGCAGGCGACGGAGGGAGGATAGAGCTTTCCGTTTCCCGAAGGAAAACGTAGACGTACTGAACAGTGGCACGAGAACTCAGGAACGAACAAGGGGATCGTAATCGTTGTCGCTTTGCAGTTTATTTGCTCATTCACTACAGGAGCAGCGGCAAACACGACGAGGAAAAGTATCTACAACAACGATCCCGCACGACTTCGACTGCAAGAAGAAAGAAACGACTCTCTACTCAAATCGAATTCCTAGTAGAGCAAGAGTGGCCGAAGAGTTAGACAAGGTGGAGTTAGTAGATCTTCTACTAGAACAAGAGTGGCCGAAGAGTTAGACAAGGTGGGGTAGATCTTGTACTAGTACGTCTGGATCTCGAACAAGCACCTCATCAACTACGGCACATCCAGTTGATCTTTCTGAACAAAATGGCAGAAGAGCCAGGATCACCGACGGCCGCCCCTGCCGGGTCGTCAAAGACGAAGCCAGGCGCTCAAATGATGGAGTCGAGCGGCGTTTTTCGCTCGGTAATGCATTTTCTGTCAGATTCATGGATATAATTATAGTCTTTAATCGATTCTAATTATCTGTGTGTCGGGAAGGAGCTTCTGCTTCTCTCATCACATGCGCCCGTAAGTAAAGATGGCAATCTCAAAAGTCTCAAACTGAATCAACACTCCAGGTCTTCCAGCAAATGCACGTGATAACGACTCACGATTTGATGCAAAGGAAAAACCATCCGAGTAACAGTAAATACCTGACGTCGCTCGTCGCTTTCACAATCGTCTTCAACGCTTTCATGATCGGGCTGGAGGTAAGACTCTCCTTTAGTACCGTCATTTGAATTTGTGTTGTTTTGCTTCCATACTAGAACTCAACTTGCTTCCTCTACCTATTTTTCTCCTCCCTCTTCTACTTACCTAAATTTTTCTCCTCTTCTACCTATCATGCCTCTGTCTCCTCAAACACGACAGGTCGACACCGCAAAGAGCGACAAGCTGGAGCATACGTTGATATTCGTCATCTTTGAAATATGTTTTCTGGCGATTTTCTTAGCGGAAATGATAATAAAACTACAGCTCCTCCAATGGGGTTACTTCTTAGACCCATGGAACATTCTCGATTACCACTTGGTCGTGCTGGGTTTTGTGGATGTACTCATTTCTGATTTTTTGCCTTTTTTTTGGCACTGGCACTGGCAGCCGCGACATGGTTTTATATCTATTTTCATGAAATAAATGACAGTCGAACATCAAGTCGCAACACAGGGACCAAATACTTGTTGTTCTTGTTGTTATCATTCCAACAACCGGATTCCAACAACCGGATTCCAACAACCTCATTCAGATCGTGGTGCGATTTATGTTTCAAGGAGAGGGAGAGATGAAGGTTATCACGGCCTTTCGTATGTTGCGTATGCTTCGTGTGGTGCGACAGATCCGTCTATTGAGAATGTTCCGAGATTTGTGGACTATTGTGAAGGGTACTACTTCTGGAAATAAGATGAATACGTAAATAAAACAATTAGTACCTCCTAATGGAAATAAGATGAATACGTAACAACTCCAGCTAGTACCTAATGAACCTTTTGCTTTTGGTTTTGCTAGGAACTCGAACTTGATGAACCTCAACCAACACCGCACGAAACATCAGGTTTCTACGAGTCCTTGGTAACTGTCTTTTGGGTGTCAGTCCTCCTTTTTGTGGTCTGCTACGCAATAGGCGTGCTGTTGGTGATTGCAGTAGGCAGTGTCAAAGAATTCAAGAATCATTGGCCAGACATGGACGTCTACGTCGGCACAGTGCCAAGAGCAATGTTGACGGTTTTTCAGGTACTTATTGATTCTTGATTGTGGAGGACCTTGAACTTGATCTTGTTATAGTTTATCGGATAAATAAAATTACCCTCCCAAACTCAATCAAACTCGATCCAAATCATGACGCAATCCAGATCATCACGCTAGAGAGTTGGTCTGGTTCCATCGTGCGGCCGATCATGAAGCAGGACATAAGTCTCGTGGTCCTTTGTCTGATCGTCATTGTGCTCTGCTCCTTCGGGCTGCTGAACGTGATTATCGGAGTCATCGTGGAACGCACGCTGTTAGTGGCGAAGGAAAACGACCAAAACGTCCAGAATATCATCATCGAGTGCGAGAAAAGGGTACTTTTATATACAAATTAATATATGAACTGAATGCAACAGGAGTCACTGTTTCTAGAAGTCGCTGGATACGTCCTCTTCCCACCTCAAAGAAGATTCAGGGAAGTCGTAGGTCCAATCCGAAGCGACTAGCATCATCATCATCATCATCATCATCATCATCATCATCGTGATCACGATCGTCATCACGTCCTCTTCCCATCTTCTTGGAACAACACCTTCCGCCCTCTGAGGTAATGAACTCCATGCGCGTCGAATTTCTCGAATTCGCAGATGCTAGTTCAACAGGCGAGCTCAATTTCGAGCAGTTTTGTGAGGCCATTAGAACGAAGAGCTTTCAATCGAAGTTGAAGATTATTGGCTTGCCATTGGAGGACGCAGAGGAATTGTTTTTCCTGTTAGATGTCGATAATAGTCAGAGTCTCTCAGTCGAGGAATTCATAGTAGGCGTGCAGAAGATGAAGGGGCCGGCACAAGGAGGTGATATGATCCAATTGCTAGCGTATGTGCAGAGGGCGTCAAGGCGAGCACTGTCGTTGCAAGCACAAGCGGATAAGCTGATACAGCAGGCGGATGTATTTTGATTGAGCATTTTTTAGTGCTTTGAATTTTTTAATTGAGAAGAACTCAACGCCCCTCTCCCAACAGATTTGCTCCTCCAAACTTATTTCGCTAACACCAGCAAGAATCACAGAAGACATCTTCTCTTCCACATGCTTACTGATCACTTGTTGGAACAAGCTTGCTCCCCTCTCAACTACACCCGCCCTCTCGAAACGTCTAAACAGATGCTCCTCGAACGTCTAGACGACATGTGGGGTATCACAGAAGCTGAGCTGCACGAGAGAGACTTCAGCAAGAGAAGGCAGAGAGAATTGTCCTCGAAGATTGGCCAGAGACAAAACCTTTTGGGCAACCTCGAGAAGTCGCAAAACATGAGAGAAGCGGCGATGCAGCAACCAGTCAGAAAAAAGAAAAATGCAGGTGGAGGAGGAGATGGTGGAGCGGGAGCTGGATCATTATAGGATTAATATTTTTGGGGAGATTTTTTATGCGGCGTTATAGTAGAAAAGATCATACGAAGTAGTGAAGAATTTCGCGGTGCTTTACTACCTCCGAGAATTCATTAACATGATATCAAAAGCTTTTCAGTTGAACGACAAGGAATACCGCCCACGTGCCCCCAGCGTAGGTATACACACGCCGGGGCAGGGCGGAGGAGGTGCTACAAGGATTGCATGCTACTACACATACGTGCTACGCGGTACACCTGACCTTCAGTTGAACAAGAAGAAATATGACGACTTATTATATACAAAAAAGGTGTTTCGCAAAAAGACCTGTTTGACATTGACATTCCTAAGTAAATTCATTGATGACAGAATCGTAAGAAAATGAAAGAGAAAATGTAAAGTTGCTAAGATGACGAGCTTGTTTTCTGATCGAGATAACTAGAGAAGTCCCGCCTCTAGCTGCAGTAGTACCAGTAAGTTTCGGACTGCCTGCTGCGAAAGTATATCTGCTGCGAGACCATAGCATTGTATAGTTTTGGTATATTCATTATCGTTTCCGATTTCCTGCGGAGAACAATTTAGAAGACGCTGAGTTATCGTTTCCGATTTCCTGCGGGGAACAATTTAGAAGACGCTGTATCCCAGCATCACCATCTTCAGAGAATTCATCCATCAACCTACTTGATCTTGAGCTTAGATTTACTGATTCTTCGTTTCGTTTCTTTTCATCTTACTAGTGATATTTTTTCTGACTGCTCTTCGTGATACACTTCACGAACGGAACTCGAAACAAAAAAAAAACACTTGTTAACTAAATTGAATTGTTTGGCTCATTCAAATACAAATAATAGCGCCGTCGACGACCGCATCAAGTAGCGTGTGAGTGCTCGTGGTGCTGGTAGTCTGAAATTAAACTTACTTGGTTCGCTCTGAGTGTGACGACACCGATAGGGACAGTCGTGGTCCTGCTGGACATCATCAGCTAAACGTCCAGGACGAGCGCGATAAGACGATCAGAGCAGTAGCCTGTGCATGATGTAGTAGTTCCTGTGCATGGACATCAGTAGTTAGTCTTAGTCGTGATCCACTTGCTTGTCGCGACTCATACCCATGCTGAACATGTCTGTGTGTGACATCCAATATTTTGGTATCATTGTTCATATGCTCATGCCCATGTTAGGGAAGCACCTCAGATGTTTCGTGGAGCGGATTTCTATTATCATATCATCTACTGTGATAAACGCATATTGATATGGTAGCAAAAGTCATACTTCTGATGTAGTGCTGCGTAGAGGAGCAAGTGACCCGATCTCAGCCGCCGACTGAGTTGTTCAGCACACCCATCATGGTACACACAAGTGCAGGTAAAACATCTAAAACTTCCTGAACTACAGGCGACCTTGCATTGTAATCCCCCTCACAAATAAGATTCATTTCTGCGCACAAAAGAGTTGTCATTAGCTGCTAATGTGAAACCTCTCCGCCTTCCCTCCCTACTCAAATAAATTATAACAGAAAAGAAGAAGATGAATAAAAAAGCATGCTTGTGCATGTGATGAAAGCATAATGCGTGTTGATGTTTACTAGAAAAAGGAGAAGAAAACATGAGCGCTAGTAACCCTTAGAGATAGGGATAGCCGCGACGAGACTCCTTCTCCTCGAACAGGAAGCGTGGGATTGAGAGATGCAAAAAGTGTTCCAGCACTTCCAGAATTCTTGTTGAGTTCTTGTTCTTGAGATTTGTTCACTAAGAGGTTTACAAACTTTAGAACACGCTACAAAAATAAAAGGAAGAAAAAGCCAAAAAATCTTTCCCCTTGACCTTGTACCCATAAAAATTTTGATACAATGAATCACGAGGATGATGTGTAAAACTCTCTTTGCAGGCTCGTCAGATGCACGAAAAGAGGAATGATAATTGTGATTACTAGGTACTTTTCAGGCTCAACATCAGTACAAGGAGTAACAAGAGTAATACATCTTCGCGACACAGGAGACGAGAAAAATTACAGCGTATTGAAAAAGCTCAAGTTATTTTTTCAGACTACCCCTTGATCAAATGAAAATAGGACCCATGTTCTTTGATATCATTTAAATACAGGTGTCATTGACACTAGAAGGTACGGATTTGATGTTGCAAAGTAGATTCTCATCTAGTGCGGCGTTGATTCAAGGTCGTTGTAGTTTGTCGTCGAGGTTCAGTAGCAGTTCTTCTAGAAATTTGACTTCTTGTTGTGGTCGTAGCGTTTCGTATTATACATCTAATCAGCGTCCTCCTGCCCCAGCCTCTATTTTTACAGTTGGTGGAACTACGTTTTCTAGTCAGTGTCGTTTCTTATCTTCAATACAGTCGTCTTCTTCGACATTTCTACCAGCTGTAGTCTCGAAATCAACATCTTCTGGTGTTGGTTTGAGTCTTCCAAAGCATAGTAGTTCTTTCTGTCTTCACAAAGGTTGTGGTATTAATTCCACAACATCAGGTTCTTCAGTAGAACAAAACAAAATATTCGCGTCTTCTACACGTGCTGCGTTTCTCCCCCTTGGCGGCACGGCGGCCGCTGTTGTCCTGCAAAAACGCGGCTTTTTCAGTGCGTGGTGTAAAAGCAAGAGTCCAGAAGTTGTACAGTGTGAAGAAACGAAAAAAACGGGCAGTATGGCTCAATATGATTACGACTTTTTTGTCCTCGGAGGTGGAAGTGGTGGCTTAGCCGCAGCTAAGCGAGCAGGAGGGTTGGGAAAGAGGACAGCAGTCGCGGATTACGTGGAACCAAGTCCGGCAGGAACAACATGGGGCCTAGGAGGAACATGCTTGAATGTCGGGTACTGATGTTACTGAGACATTTAAATGAGTTGCTTATTGCTTGGTTTCTTTGGCGTTGCGTAGCTTCGAAGTTGAGCAATCATGGAGGGTAGGATCATTCGCAAATAAGTCAATAAAATGCTTCCTGTTCTTGATCCAAGAAGTACACCAATCAACTGCTTCTTGTTTAGGTTTACTACAACTCCCCTCAAAATTGAATTTGAAACAAAGGTGCATCCCCAAGAAGCTATGTCATTTCGCCGCACAAGCTCCGGAGTTTCAGCAGGACTTTGCCGCTTTGGGGTGGGAGTTTCAGGCCAAGCACAACTGGGAACAGATGATCCAGTCGATTAACAATTACATCAAAGGCAGCAACTGGGGCAACAAGACAGACCTGAAACACAAGGACGTGAAGTACTACAATTAAGGCTCAACTTTCAATGGTCACCATTTAGATTGGAGTCACTGAGATCGAAGAGGCGACCCCTTCTTGAGAGAACCAACAGGGGAAAACGAAGGGAAAGGGGAAAGCTTTGAAGGGGGTCCCTTCCGTTCAGAGTCAGTGACCCTTGAGTGCTGAGCTTTAATACAACAAGTACGCAACGTTTGTGGATGCGCATACTATTCAGTTGAGGGATAAGAAAGGAGCAGTGGAGACGGTGACAGCAGATAAGATCATGATCTCGGTTGGTGGAAGACCGAACTACGGTGGTTATCCTGGCGTCGAGGAGTGCTGCATTTCATCAGATGATATTTTCTTATGGTGGAAAGATAAAGACTTAATAATTTTAACTTTAAATAACTAAAGACTTACTTAAATTAATAATTTTAACTTTAAACTAAAACTATAATAGTATACATCCACAGTAGCTGCGGGCGCGGGTGATTGTGATAGTTGTCATGTTGATGTTCTTTCGAATGTGCTATATGAAAAAATATCAACGGCATCTTCATATAACACCAGAGAAGTTTTGTTTTTTTTTTCAAAGACCATTAACTCTTTGACCCTCCTCTAATCCCTTGGCAAAAGAAGCCTCCAGGCAAGACCCTCGTCGTCGGCGCATCATACATCGCGCTTGAGTGTGCGGGTTTTATCGCGTCTTTGGGATTTGATACGACCGTTATGGTGCGAAGTATCTTGTTGCGTGGCTTCGACCGAGATATGGCAGATATGATCGGCGGCTACATGCAGGATCATGGAGTCAAGTTTGCGAACGGTATTTGATTCTAGAGGTAGTTTCAGATTTTCAGGTGTTTCTTAAAAGTAAAATAATTCCACTACTAGTTGACACAGAAGAACTACAACCAGGAGTCGGAGTGAGAAGTTCTAAAGAGGAAAAGAACTGCACATGAAGTAATCGCACTCAACATCCATGGTCGGACTCTTCGACTCTTCACGAGAATCATTCCACAACATTTTCCTTTACGTCAGGTATGGTCCCCTCAAAGTTCGAGAAGAACGGGGATAAGACCAAAGTATTCGTCAACGATGAAGAGTTTGGCGAGTATGATACCGTTTTGATGGCCATTGGGAGAACTGGATTGGCGACAAAGTTGAATTTGGAAGCTGCGGGAGTGAAGTATTTATATTTATGTTTATGTTTGTGTTTGTCTTCCTCCCTGATGTTTGAGGTTGTGTAATCTAGGTTCATCTTAGAAACTTTTTGAAGAAGATGTTAAGGTTTACGTTGGATGTTGAAATTTTTGTAATTCATTACAGAATCTGTAGACGTGTTTATTATTTCAAAGTTGTTAACATTCTTGTTCATCTTCCACCCATAGAATATAATCAATAACTGAAATCCACCCATCTTCACCAGCTTCGACGCCAAGAACGGCAAAATCCCTGTCGACTCCCTCGACAAAACCAACGTGGACAATATTTTTGCTATTGGCGACATCGCCTTAGGCAGATTGGAGTTGACGCCAGTGGCCATTCAGAGTGGGCGATTGCTCGTAGATCGATTGTTCGACAACAGCAAAAAGCCTATGGACTACCAGAATGTGGCGACGACCGTTTTTACACCAATCGAGTTCGGAACCGTTGGCTTGAGCGAAGATGATGCTATTGGTACTGTCATGGATGATTGGAAATATAAGTTCAAGGGTAGGAGCTTCATGATTGGTCCACCGTTTTATTTATTCACAAGAGGATAAATTATTCTACCACTAGGTGGAACTACAGCTACACCGCTAATGCGCTCTTGCAAAATCAACTTTGCTCACACGACACGACCCAAAACTCAACAGCCCAATACGGAAAGGATAACCTCACGATTTACCACGGCTATTTCCACCCGCTGGAGTGGAGGTGTAACCACGAGCGACCGAAGGCAGCGTGCTACATGAAGTACATCTGCGACCCCGCGAAGGGGGATAAAATCATCGGAATGCACGTCTTAGGACCGAACTCGGGCGAAATGATTCAAGGTACTTTAATGTGTCAACGTGCATGATCGCCATGGCCAGCATCTCGTAGCCCCCTTCAACAAGAAGGACCTCAAATAGGGACGATACTTACTAAACACAACTCCGATTCATCCCTTTCAACAAGAATTATAAGGAAAGAGGAATTATAGTACAAGAACATTCAGCAGGAGTTCATCTTCATCTCATTCTCTCACTCACTCTCCTCCTCTAACAAACCACACGCACTCACCTCTCCTCTCTCCTCCAACAAAGGTTTCGCCGTGGCCCTCAAATGTGGCATGACTCGCGAGATGTTGAACGACACTGTAGGCATCCACCCAACCTGTGCAGAATCAATGTGCGACTTGCAGGAGGTCAAAAAGGAAGGAATCGTCCTCGACGGTCCCGCAGGATGCTGAGGCTAAGCGAGCTTCTTGTTCTGTTTGTCTTCCTTAAGGCAATGTAGAATAGGAAGTGCGACTTAGATGTTGTAGCTTTTTACTAACAATTTGGTAGTTGAAGACGTAGGAGGACTGTACGTACATATTATACGGAGTGCATCTAGTTGTACCATTTTTGTGGTACACGAAGAGCACGGCGAGAAGGCTCCGATAGTGATATACTGTATTTCTTGTCTTAATCTACTGCTGACAACTCAACAATTGTCGTCATCATGTGAATGACATCTCGTACAAGTACGTGAAAGTGCTTGTTGTAGTACTTAATTTTTCAACTAAAACTATCTTATGATTATTAATTCAACCAGTGTGCAGAAGACATGATTCCTATATTCATCAAATTCAAACATAATCAACAAGAACGAATGAAGATGATGTGATGAATCTGAACTAATTTCTTGTAGTACCCTACGTACCCCCTTCTTTTTGCCTTCTCGTTAATTATTATATCTACTCCCCGTAGAGAAACGACGAGGCACGAGGACATTAGTCTATATCAGCATAGGCTACCTCTGTTTAGGATTTTTTGATACCTTTCATCCGGACTCTATTTTTTTCTTAATTCTACGGCTATTTGACGTGTTTCTTCGTTATTTAGGCCCTTCGTTCATCTTCTATCACTCGTGTCTATGATACAGACCTTGGCTCACTACTACAAATGGCCATGTGTGACGTTCGAGATGACATGCAGATACTAACCTGTATCTGGCTGTCTATATTAATCGAACTGATTTTTGGCGAGAATGATCTGGATTTGGATACGTAAGCAAAGAACAAAAACCTGACTGCGAAGACGACATGATACAACAATTGGTTGAAGAACAAGGTAGGCGGTTACCTGATAAATATTACGAACGTTCTTTGCGATGAACATGAGATTGAGAAAATTCCCAATACCCACCGATGAGATTTTACTCATCTGTGGAGTCGTACAGATTTTACTACGTACTCTGTTCTTCGTTGCGCTGAGTGCAGTTCTTGCTCCTCCTGAGTGCTGAGTGTGAGTCTCATTTGATTTATTACTTTTACATACATTATTCCTTTTCCTTCTCGTTCTTGCTCCTGTGTGTTATTTTCTTCTGTGGTCTCCAGAAAAAGTGCATTGATTGTTCCAGTCGGTCTTTTTGAAGAAGAAGCTCTACGGAAGATGATCTGTGAACAATGTTTTCTTTGATAGAATCAGATTTGGAGTCACCCAGGTAGTTTTTGTGGCCCGCCTTCAAACTCCCCTTTCCAGCTTCGGCTCCCCGCCAATGTGTTTGAAAGAAAATAAGGAGCACTAGTACTAGTACTTCTTGAAGAACAAGAAGTTCCTTCGTGTTTGAAAAAATGAAAACGAAACAATATTAAATAATTATCCTTTGTCCCCCGTTCGGCCTGCCCCCGGTTCAGCAGAAATAGAAGATGCGCCAAGTACGTGCTGAGTATATTCTGCTTCGCAGCATGTTCTCATCAATCGTCCTCGCCTTTGAGTAAACCCTCACGCTTTCAACTACAAGTGGCCCCTCGAGAAGGATTTTTACACGACCAGCATTGACACATTTTTGCTCTTGGAAAACATCAGACACGAAGAACCAAACCGGACGATGACCAGACTGGAGGAAATGCAACCCCTTGAAAGCAGTGCGGCGATTGGAATTGGGCATGACTCTCTAGATTTCGCCGAAGACCTCGAAGGACAGCACGAAGAGCGCGGAAGCAGAACCCGGCAAGATGTTCTTACTCGTATGGAAATGAAATAACTTTCTTTTTCATAAACCCCCAAAGCCCAAGTATGATGTATTTTCATTTACCCCCAGAACGCCTCAACATCCGACGACCCTCCAAAGTTCGATATGGGAAAGGAGATCTTCCCGAGCTCTATAGTGTGGTGCAGTCTGTGTGGGATCACGTGGTTCTTACCTATGGTCGGTCATATGGGCATAACAGACGAAAGCGGGGAAATCTATGAATTCTTAGGTCTAGGAGCAACGAAATCGGGAGGCCTTGCGTTCGGACCGGTTTTGAGGTACTTTGATGGAGGACGAAGAGATCAATACATTCGGAGTAATATTTTTGTAGTTCATCTACATCTACAATTACATCTACTGCTCTACGAAGAAAATCGAAGTCCGCGATGTTGATTTAGAGGAATAGGAGCAGCTCTATAAGATAAGAGGAAGCTTGTGACTCTGCAAGATACATATTTATTGTTTTTTGTCTTCTGAACAAGCGAAAGAGTTTCTTGAATTCGAAGGCCCCCAAGGAAATTGTTTGTTCTTGGTTTGCGTCTCTCTCTCTCTCTCTCTCATTACTCCAGGTACATCCCGCTGAATCGGAGACCTTCTTCTAGGGAATCAGAAGACAAAAGAAAGATGAGATGGAACGACGCGGTAGCCCTTGGAAACCGCCAATGTCGAGGAAGGGGACACAAATGCCTGTTTGACAATTGTCTTATGAAGCAGGGATACGATAATTGAGTGACTCTTGTCTTCTGGGTCGTCTTCTAGTAAAGAAGTCAGTGTTTTTATTTTTAAGGTGATGACAAATATTAATAAGATTCAGATAGATCCAGGAGGTCCATCTAATAGGGTTTGAGGCATTGTTGCCATTGGGCAAAATTGAAGATTTTTCGCGTCTAAGATCAAGATGATGTTGTCCCAACATTTCCGCTATCTCCTAGGCATCTTCATAGACATAGAGTACAAAAATCCTAACATCTTCACGATGATCTGCTCCCCATTTCATACTCCACACATACGTCGCGGACGTGCTGAATAATATGGAATACGCGAACTTCGGCAAGTGGAATAGCGTCATTCTGGCGATGTGGGTATTTTTTTGTGGAAAATATACCAGTCTTCCAGCTGTAGTACTCCACTGGCTGCCGTTTTTCATCATCGCTACGGGCATCGTGATCTGGCATCACTGAGATGAATAGTTGGAAAAAGGAGGGGTAAGACTTCACTGAAGAAAAAGGAAAAGTGAGCAGTGGTCGCAAAGAAGTAGTCTAAATTAAAGTCCTTCATGGAAGGCAATGCAAACGCCTCATGCTAGGCGCATTCATTCATTCACTCATTCACTGAGATGAATAGTTGGAAAAAGGAGGGGTGAGACTTTCTGATCCTGGAGGTGGTACTTTAAATTCTCATATTCAAAGGATGACACCCGGTCATACTAAGCGTGGAGACAGGATAAGCCAAGCTTTTCGATGGAGTTTTAGTCTTAATAAAGACCTGAAAAAAAATCCTGAGGCCTTCAGAAACTACCAAATACCTGCATCACAACTTCTACAATGCCGATGCCGTGCAACGCTTTCGCTTCTAACGGTCTCAGTTATTATTAATGCTCATCACGTTTTCTTGACATGATCTTCTAACCATGGCTGCTTAGGCTTGGTCAATGTCCCTCCAGTCTTGTTCTTGTTCTTGTTGTTCGTAGAGTTATAGAATAGTCTAGCCGTCCAACGGCAGAGATCTTTCTCCATCAAAAATTATACGCTCTGAAATGTCTGCAAATCGAAGAAATTTAGATCTTCTAATGTAGAAAATGATGACTGGAATAAGAAAATGCAAAAAGAATGATCCGAAATGAAACAGAAGTCATATCATAGAGGCTCCTTTTATCTTTGTCGCTGTGAATAATTATGAATGACTACGCCTACGTCGAAGATCTTCTGAAGATCCACCTGTCTGAATCGCAGTTGCCATCGACAAGATCCTCACACGTTGATCTTGAATACAAAATCAGTGTACCGATTTGATACTCGTCCTTTTTTTCGAGATCTTCTCCATCTCAACATGTTTCCTTTTTCCATCCTCCACCAGGATAGCTGTCCCCTCATGACTTTAGATGTGAAATGTACTTGGACGTCCTATCAGGATCTACATTATTTTCTCGTTTAAGTAGTTGTAGTTGTGCATCTACATCTTCAAGCGTGTAGATGGAGAACCCATTGTACCTCCACGGCACCACTTAAGTAGCCCAAAAGCAGGTTAGCTCCCATGATCATTCTCGACATCATGTAGAGCTACTAGTTCAACAAATATTCCATCAAAAAATGGACCAGCGCGAACGAATGCTGTCGTGTCTGCCAGACGATGCAGGTGAGCTGGAGGCCTTGGGCCTTGCGCTACCCAGGACCAGCACTGCCGAAACTTCGACGTGCACAACTTCTGGCTCCTCTGGTTCTAGTGCTATTGCATCATCTAGTTCTAGCGCTAGTAGTACAGCAACTTCAACATCAACGTCAACTTCATCGACTTTTTCTGGAAGGATACCAAACTTTCGGATGAATGTTGGCTCCTGTGGTGGGCTTGATGGAGCAGATACTTACACTAGTCGTACGTGTGGTAGTAGGGCAGGAGCTGCCTCATCGTCCTCGTCTTCGTCACTGCTCAATGTCCCGTCGTCTGCTCCGCTTAGAGTCCGGGTACCAGAGAAGTTCGTCAAGATGCTTAGGAAACGAAGAATGAAGGGCCTCTCGGTGAAAAACGTGGAGCCACCTCTACTCAGTGTTGTGAAGCTGCCAAAACTTCCTGTAGCACAAGCACAAAGCAATGCAGCGCGAATCCCAGAACTCTCAACCGACACACTTGTCCAAAAAATGCAAATCGAGGATGAGAGTGTAGCACCACAAGCAGGAGGTCCTCCTGCTCTAGTACTTCAGGAGCAGCAGGATCAGCCAGAAGAAGTAGTAGACGTAGTCTTTTCTGGGGAGAAGCAGCAGAATAAAGGGGGTGGCAAAAAGAACGGGGCCAAAGCAGGTCTGATCTCCAGAGACACGATAAAGAGTCTGCAGAGCGCGATAGCTGTGGCGAACGGAGAAAAATTCGGAAAAGGTCGTAATAGAAAAGGCAACTCTTCCTCTACTTCTAAGGGAGGTAGCGGCAAAAGTACAGCTAACAAGACTTCTACTACCACATTGGACACAGCTATTGACGAAGCAAAAGCTAAACTTCTTAGGGAGAGCGAGAATAAAGAACTTCTAAAGCTGAAACGAGATGAAGATCATGATGCCTCTGCTTGTAGTTCAGGTGCGGTTGTTCCCGGTAACGAAGTCGGACAAACTCTGCGGGACATCCTGACACAGAGAACTTCAAATCGTAACTGGCGCTCAGGGATTGCTAAGCGGGTTTTGTCCTTCTTAAAGGAACAGGCTGCAAAGCGAGAGGCAGGTCCGAAGAAGCGAAAGTTTGTCATAGATGTTGCGGAGTTACTTCATTCAATACCACCTGGTGGACAAGGCCAAGGGGAAGTCGGATGTTCATCTTCCCTTGTTGAGGATCATCTTCATGGGAAGCATGAAACTTGTTCACCTTCTTCCACATCAACATCTTTACCCCTAGTTTGCGGTCGTGAGCGTATCCCTTATTGCACTGCCAAGTCGCATTTGCCCTTGACTTGGTGCGTGCGTCCTGCACAGGATGGTTCTGGCGCTCTCGATTTAGTGCCGATTTTCCGCTCTCTCGTTTTCCAGCAAGCAGGCACACCTGACCAAGTACCTAGAGCACTGATGGGTGATTACAAGCAGTACGTTTGTCAAGATGTTGAGCATGAACATCAACATGATCAAGCTGCTAGAGGGAGAGCGGCAGGGACATCAACATCAGCATCACGAAAGCCTTCACGGACAGGAGTCCAAGCCCAGCTTCGTGCTCCCTACACGATCGAGGAAGCAGAGACCCTGATTCGTCGTAGAAAGCTCCAGCGACGACGCGAGTGGCTCCAGATGGAACGGCTTGCTCTGCGCGCTGGCTTTACGCTGTCCGAACGGGGTCCGCCGCCAGGTGCTGGCCAGGTAGACCAATGGACAGCGACGCACTGGGGTGGGAACCGTGAAGACCTAGACCGCGGTGACGAAGGTGACGGTTTCGCTGACGACGAAGCCGATTTGTGCGGATGGGATGACGATAAAGTGAAAGAGGAGGTGGAATTGAACAAGCCAGAAGACGAAGGTGGAAGTACTGGTAGTGTAGTTGCTGATGCTGCTAGACTAGGTGCAGGCGGAAGCAACGATAAGGAAAGAGAGGATCTTCGAGATGGAAAGAAGTCGAAAAAGAGAAGATCAACATCCTCGTCAGGTTGTAGTAGCACGTCTGACTCTGATGATGGATCCACGTCAAGTAGTTCAGATGGTGAGCCAAAGACCAAATCGTCCAAAAAGCGGAAAAAAAATACTACTCGAAGTGAAGATGAAGATGACTTCAGTGACTCTGAAGAAGACGGTTCTTCCACGAGGACTTCTTCTCAACGTGGTGCTCAAAACAAGCTCAACGTCAAGAAGAGGAGAAAGAGAAATGCAACAACTCCTTCTACGTCCAGTTCCTCTACACCTGCTAGTAATGATCGTCTAAATCTTCAGGATGAGGATGAGGACGAAGAACTCTCTCTAAACCTCTCTCCCGACAGCCTATCCGCAGATATTCACGCAGCATTAGCTCGATTGAAGAACCAAGAATCGAACAACACGGCCGAGGCCATCATCAAGTCTGAATCGCTCTCTAACCGAACTGCCGTAAGCGAATTCACCAAAGAGGAACAGCGAAAGCAAGCCCTTGCCGAGAAGAAAAAGCAAGCTGCGAGAAGTGCGAAGAACAAGAAAACTGTGATCACCAAAGCGGATGAGAAAAAGATACGGCTATTTGCGAAGCTCCAGTCGAAGCTGTTGAAGCATATCCAATCAGACAGTCAAAGAGGTCAGATAACGCCGAAAGAGCTCAAACTCTGGATGACAGAGGAGAAATGTAGTTCGGAAGAACAAGCTATCCAAATTCGTAACTACCTCTACGAAATCGCTTCAGCAGAAAAGGATACGTCTAGTGGCCAATTGGTTTTCTACTTGAATGCGGAGCACTATGATTGGGATCACGAGGTGGTGGAATAGGGTTAGGGACTTCGAGTATTCATTTTTTTTGAGTCGCAGACTGACGCCAGAGGAAAATGCCTTCTCTCTTGTTACCCTTACCTCCGCGTGAACACGATTAGTACTTACCTTTACTTACAACTTTGTCCCCGACAAGAGCCCCAACCTGATGGCAGCCCCAAGGATTCCCTCTCAACCCAGCGACATCAAAACCTCAACTCCGATTGAACACAAAATCAGAAATTTTAAAGACTGTCAGGTCCCCGTTCTACAGATGTTCGCGTCGTAAGATTCGATACTTTGCTCTGATCATGTTGATTAAATCCTTGATTTGTCCTCGACTAGGACGCGGCTGCTTGCATCAAGGCGTTACTTAGCAGTGTGCTGTGTTCTCATTCGGACACCGTAGCCATTTTGGCTCAAGACTTTGTCTTGTTGTAGCCGAAGATGGTGGTCTACTTCTATCTGAATCAAAGACGACAAAGCCGCCACGTGAGGACATTCTCATTCCTCGAGAACAGAAATGATACGCACAAGCAAATGGTGTCCCTGTTCTTGGTGATCTTCCTGCTGCATGAAGATTTTTCCGATGATGATCGTACTGAGAATGATCTGCTATTGCTCTTTTTCCACCAGCTATCTTCCTCACCTAGTAAAAATGTAAAATGATACTAGAACTACTAGACAAGAAGGATCGGTTACTGTACCTCCAGACTATTGCTAAGTGAATAGCCATCTGCTTTTGGTTGTTGAATATTTCTCCAAAATCATTGACTTAATCAGGAAAACAAGGCGGTGTTTTAGAAGATAGAGGTGGACGAGGTACACCAGGTAGAGGTAGTACTAATTCTACTGGAGAACGAATAGATCTTGAATAGGCTTTTTTAGAGTGGTCTGATTTCATTCTCAATTATAACAAGTGTTGTTGAGGAGCATCGTAATCACAATTTTTCAAGTGTCTTAGCAGCTGCAACAGCAACATCACTATTCATTCACTTTCACATTCAAGGAATTTTCTTAATTTCAGTTCAGAATCAAAAAAATGACGGAAAGTGATGGAAAGGGTGACTTCGGAGGGCGAACCCTCTACTGCGGTAACCTCGCATGGAAGGTCGGTTGGCAAGATCTTAAGGACTTCTTTGGAGATAAGATGGAGGTACTTAGAAAGACTTCTTTTTTAGAGATGATAGGACGGTGGAGGTATATTAACGTCGAAAACAGAGCCTTTACAGAGTCTGATAAGGAAGTAGAAATCAATAATTGAGTTATTTCTATAGTATAAGCAACTCCAAAACTTTGACTTCATTCGACTGTGAAAATTCTCCAACATCATCAACAGCAACTGCCAGTCCATCTCCTTTATCACCTCCCTGATCCCTCCCACATCAAAAAAATTACAACAAGGTCGAGCACGCGGAGGTCCTAACCTACAAAGACGGCAAGAAGACGGGCTCTGGTGTGGTTCGATTTAAGAGACCCGAAGACGCTGAAAAAGCCATGAAGGAGTTTCAAGACAAGCCATTGAAAGGCAGAGAGGTCTTCCTCCGACCCGACGCTAAGGGAGGAAAGGGACCGGGAAGCGCGAGTAAAAGCACACAGTTGTTTAAGTAGAGACTAGTTCTCATTCTCTTTCTGTTTCTCCTCTCAGAATGGGATATTTGTTCATCTACTACAACAATTTCTCATTCAATTACTGGTGACTCTTCTTCTATGTTCTCAATTTTTTTTGATTCAATTTCAGACTATACCACGTCTGCCTATCTTCTCTCCTACCCACAACACAGGAAAGGGCCAAGGAAAATACTTGTCAGAGGAAGCGGCTGCTTGCCAATTGTTTGTCGGTAACCTCAGTTTTTCGACGAGCTGGCAAAACCTCAAGGATTTTATGGGAGATGTCGGAGACGTATTGATGTTCGTGTTTTTTCTATGACGTAACTAATAAATATCTTACAGCTCTTAGGAGGTGCCATTTTTTCACTGAATGGCCTCATACATAGACACCTATTGCTGCGTATATCTATCATAACACTACAGTACTACCTAAAAACATCAGGTCGAGTACTGTGATATCCTCACTGACAAGGACGGAAGAAGTGCTGGCAGTGGTCTAGTACGATTTAAGGATCCGGAAGACGCCAAAAAGGCTATTGCGGAATTGCAAGATGAGCTCTTAGATGGCCGCAAAATTAAGGGAGGTTTCGTATTTTTATAGAGTAAGTAAAATATCGGGTTTCGAGAAGTTCCTCGAGTTATTAAATAATACATCATGATTATTCTCGACTTACGCTTTCCGATATGTAAAAATATGTAACTTTTTACATGAAGATCCACCTTGGTATTTTCTCCATTTTTCAAGGCTGCACTGACAGTAACATCTTCCTTGGCCTTTTGCTGTTCTGAAGAATGTAAGTAGAAATATTTGCGCAACCTCTAACAAGGTCTTTGTCAGAGAGGACAGAGACGGCCGAAGAATCGAAGGCAAGAGCAGCAAGGGCAAGGGAAAGGGGAAAGATGCGAAGGGAAAAGGCAAGACCTCAAAGGGAAGCAAGGCGAGTAGAGAAGACGAAGTTGCGGTAATTTAAATAAACTTTATCATTTTTGTACTATGTGTTGAAACAACATTTTGACTACGGGAGTTATAGTTAAACTTGTATTAACCTAGTACGGCTACAACGAACATTCAGATTCACTCACTACTATAAATTTAAGGGTAGGATAAAGGTGCTTTTGTTCCCGCTTTTTATGCCTTTCCTGGGTGAGAAAGGCAGAAAAAGCGGGGTCCACGGGCACCAAGACCCTACCTCTAATAAATCTCCTTGTTCTGCTTCTCTGACTTGGAGCTAGACAACTCTTACAAAAGTGTTCTTCTTCTAAAAATTCTTCTAGTCAATATCAAACAAGCAAACCTCATCTCGTCAGATGTACGTCCCGGGCCTCGGCAGTGGCACGTCGTGGAAGGATGTCAAAGACGCTTTTTCCGAGTTCAAACCAGTCCACACTGAAACGAAAATGATGGGAGGATCTCTGTATTGATGTTCTTATACTTTTTACTTAGTCTACTCAGTACAAGTACCTCTTGCTGTTTGATCTTTTCATTTTGGTGCGTAGCTGTTGATTCACTCTCAACATTTTGATTCTTGTAAATGAATGATAATTTGAAGTGTGGTTACAGTTACTCCTCCACAATACAGATGCGGAATCGTGAAATTTTCAATAAATATATAGGTGCGGAATCGTGAAATTTTCGGATGACAAAATGGCAGAGAAGGCATATGAGGGTATGTGGCATGTGGAGTGTTTGGGTGTCAAAAAAATCGAGCCGACATGGGACAAGCCGGAATGAGCTGATATGGGATAAACCGGATATGGGATAAACCGGACTTAAGTGAGAGGTCTTGCTTTTGTGCTCGGACGATTGACAGATGATAGCTAATACTAGTTTTGTGCTCGGACCTGCTTTGGCTTATTTTAGTTGCGGCTTTAAAGTTGAAATGTGGAGCTCGATGAAGTTGTCGCAGGAGCAGGACTAGGTAGCTAGCTGATGAAGATGTCCTCAGCGGAGGAAAAATACAAGTTATAGATACTGATACATACTACAACTCCTACTCGGAATCCCTAGAAAAATGTGTTACAAATACAACTGATACGATACTGAAAGAACTGCTACGACTGTATCCATAATCACTCAAGAGATGTCGTTGTATACCGTCAACTCCTTTGAATTTTCGTCATGATTCTCACACTCCTATTAACTACATTCAAGGTAACTACAAGACTCTGACGACCTACATGTAGTAGCGTCTGTACATTTTTTTCTTTGTTGGCCAACATGATCATAATCATGTTTCATGATCCTCTTGTTTGATATCGATATGGACGAAGAGGACGAACTCCAAGAACTCGCTACTAAAACTAAATACTTCCAGTTGATATGCAGAAGCAACCTCTTCTATTTCTAGGATTGGGGAGAAACCTGTTGTACTCCCAATGGCTGTAACATGAAGAAGCTTTATGACGAATTTCTGTCATGCGGGTTGATGCTCCAGTGTAGTGACTCTATTGTATACTTACCCAAAAACAAGCATCTCCAGTAACAAGATATGGTACTCGTTGTATCCAAGAAACCCAATCTCATCGTCTACTCAGCATATTCTACTTCTAATTCTAGCTGTAGCTGTAGTGTTAAGTAATATTAACAATGTACTTCTCTTCTTGACCATCATGATGATTTTATTTACTCCTGATAAGTCCTGGACTATCCTCAAATTTCTTGAAAAAACAGCTAATCATTTGATTTTCATCAGAAGCAATGCCAAGCATGTATCGACATATTCTTCACGGCACGAGCAACATGAATACGATTTCCTCACACGCGCGTGAGGAAGCAAGATGAGAACGCCATGACTCTAGAAAGGCATTCTCAGCATGTGAAAGCAGAATTTGAAAAAGTGCCTTTTCATTTTTACTATACCCAGAGTTCTTCATCTTGGGTAAGCGCCGTAAGTGGTACAACTACAACTACAACTAAGAAAGGTGAGGCGCCTCATCAAGATAAACGTAAGAGCAGCAGCAGCAGCAGCAGTTGTTTATTCAGTGTTCGTCGTGATCGTGACGACGATTATCCAAGGTTAAGGTGAATAACATGATTCTTCGGTGCACGCACTCGCACTCCGTTGCTCCTGTGCCATTTGCTAAGAAGGAATCATGATCTTGCTGGTCTTTAGTCTACAAGTGATCATTCTGATTATCATGTATATGCATTGCTCGATGTGTTTCGCGGATAAGTATGAACATGGCATGTATGTTCCTTGGATGAAGACCTGGAACTTCAATAGTATCATGGAACTTCAATATTATCAGGAGCTTTCATCTTCTCACGCTGGTTTCCATGCACGTACTCATTTTCTTGCCCTTCAGTATCTTCATCTCGTCCGATACATTTTTTATGTTTACCAGACCATTGAATTTGACATACTACGAAAGTAAACAAGAACAAGATGTCGCGTTTCAGGGCAGGCCAATTTGAGTCCGTCTGCGACCTGAAAGTGCAGATAATGTCGAGTTACACTCGCAGTGAGCTTGGCAGCGTGGGTCAGCTGGGCGGCGGTGCCGGTTGGACGAAACCTACGAACATGGGCCAGACGCACCTTCCAACCGACAGATGCCGGATGCACACGACTGCTATCTTAACTGGCATTGCTTGGGCCTTGGGAATACGCCGCGCAAAGGACGGAGGAAAGTACAAAGGGAAAGCTTTGGAGCTGGAAATCGGGAGTAGATTCCTAGTCGACTTCTTCAATTGCAAGGCGGTGGTGGATGAAGAAGATGTTGAGGCGGCACCCACTCAGCAACAACAGCAGCAGGAGCACCAGCAGCCACAGCAAATATTGGGCTTGAAAATACACCTGGCCAAATTCGAATACTTGCTGGAGTTTGCGCGCAGCTACATCTTGCGTCTCGAACAAGATCTTCAGGATCCTCTTATCTCTTTATTTCCGTCACTTTGCGTTTCTGAGTGGAGCCGCAAACAGCTTTTGAGGGAGTTGAAGGAGAACACAGTGCCATGCCTCGAAAAAATTGTACAAGTCCTCAAATGTTATGCTGCTGCTTGACGTCTATCTCAGTTTTTGTTTCACAGAAGTTTCACGTTGTTCAGGCTTTGTTTCGATTCCATTATACTTCTAATGCTAATGGCTCAGCTTCATCTCCAGTAGGGAAGTTGATGTTTACAGCCGTCCAAGACTGTGGTCGACATTTCAACAAGGAGTGCACTGGCACATTGCCTCCTGGGCAAGTGGCAAAACTTCGCCAAGATAGTGTGCAATCTGGGGCCTTCGCTATCTACCGTTGTGCACATGAGGACAGCAGCGACCTGCTAGAAGTACGCTATCCGGGAATCGACGCCGCAGGCAAACGAGCCTTCTTGCTCATGGAACGCACGCGAGACATCACGGTTGAAGAAATCGCTTTTTTGCATGCATTTGGCGCGACGATTTCTTGTTCCGATGCAGCATCCAAGAACACAGCAGACAGCAGTGGTGGAGTATCCGCAGCAAGAGCAGCTCTAGGAGGTATACATAGCTAGAAACTGCAAGTGAAGATGGAGCTCCTGAGTGAAACAAGTTTTATTTGTTGGAATGAAGCAAGTCCAGTTTCATAAGATAGATGTTCAAGCTTATTGATTGAAGGCTGTATGCTGGAGATCTCTACTGCAACGAAGTTTGCAATGCTTTCCATAAGCCAGCAGGTGAAGATTCAGATTCTGTTGTACTAACTCATTATCCTTCACTTACACTTACTGTTGTGATTATGTCGTGTACTGATGCTGCTCTATGGACCACAGCTTCTTTTCCGTTCTTCCGAACGCGGTTTTGGAGCCCAGAGTATTTGGCCACCGCTGATCCTGGTTTGTTTTGGACGTTGGTGCGACATGCGAGCAACCTCTACTTGCCGGCAGAGGCCATGGGGTCGCTACTCTCCATGTCAGCCTTCCAGTTCAAACCGAGTGAACGCACGAAAGATGAATATTCTCCGAAAGAAGATCAACTCCATCTGAGTGATCACGAAAGGGCTCGACGCGACGCAGAGGTACGATATGCAGGTAACAAAAAGCAGACTGAGCAGTATCTTCAGGCGTTGAATTGGACGACATGTAGTTGTTCTAGTACTTCTGCGACCTCTAGCTCCTCATCTCCTGAGACGAACAGTTTATCGAGCTCTAGCAGCTTCCTCGAAGGCATCGTAGCGGCAAGTTTGTCCAGATACGCACTAATTGCTAGTGGAGAACAAGAAGATGAAAAAGACCTCGCGACCCCTGCATCTCCTTCGGCATCTGCAACATCGAACAACAAAAACAAGCAAAATGACGGGACAATAAATGCAAAAAAACAGCATAAAAAAATGAAGAACAAGCATTTGGCTGTTGGTGTGAATCCTGAGTACCCCCATGACAAAAGCACCAAAGTGGCAATGGAGATCGTTAATGCCTGCGGAAGCAAAACTTTCTTCATGAAATCGCAAGAGGTGAGTTCGAAACTACTAGCAAAAGCAGGATCAGGTCCAGAGTCCTCGTTGCCGGCCATCTGTGTGCTGGAACGCGAGGAGGAGAAAGCCGGTCAGTTCGGACAAGCACAGCTAAGGCACAACGAGCAAGCGCAAATGGTGAAGGAGCTGTGCAAGAAGAACCCTGCTCTAGAGGAACTGTTGGCTTCAATGACCGACGAGGAGAGCGTCACGAGAATCTCCTAGAGGGATGACACTAGAGATCAGCTGAGGCCTGTCATCGAGCAACTTGCGACGAAAGTAATGGGACCACGACCAGGTGGGATGGATCAATATGACAGAGACAGTCCTAGAGCAAGTGGGTCGCCCAGCACCAGCAATTTTGGAGGAGGAGGAAGCACAACCAATAATCGCCATGAAGACATCGACGACGTTTTGAATAACTCTCTTTTCGGGCCGTCGAAAGTGAAGCTCACTGGTCAGAAACGGGTCTGCTGGCATTGCCAGAACGTAGAAACGGAGCGTGAAAAGCATGCCTGGGTAACTTGTCCGAAATGCGATGTGGCGACCTACTGCGTTTCCACGCACATGGCCATGCACACTGCTGAACATGAAGAAGAGTGTGCCTACTTTATGAACAAGATAGAGATTCACTTTCACATTGAGACGGATTATTCTTGAGAAGATTCCTCATATTTGAAGTAGATTTCTACTTGATATTGTTTAAGTAGATTCCTCGAATCTAGACCTACTTAGCAGCTCGTAGTTGGAGTGAGTGTGGTGAAAAAAGTAGACGAGTCCACATGGTTTATTTGGTTTTGGGTTCGGTTAATATAAATCTTGTTCTTTAGAAGCATCTCGCTTTTCTTGTTCTTCTTCACGTAACAATAGATCTTTCCTCCATATTAAGTGTTTTACCTCTAAGTCCCTCTGCAATGCAAGCGCCCCGACGGAGCCGGACGAGGAGGCGCGATTGGACTTTACTGATGCGGAGAAGCGCAAACTAGATCGTCTTGTTCCGGTGATGGTTCTTCCGGCAAACGAGGCCGTGAAACCCTATGTGCGGTACCTTCCGCGTGACCCTCACGAAGCACGGGAACGAATCAAGAGGCTGCTAAACTGCGAGCACTTGGTTGAGGGCAATGCATTTCGCGGTTTTCAACCATCTACGAGCTTTACTCCAGGTGTAAATGACGAAGAATCGACTCCAGGAAAGCGCTTTTACAATACTGAGTTCTGGCTTATCCAGGAAGACTTCGTCAAACAGCATCTCAAGGGCGCTGAAGTCACCTTAAAAGAGTTGAGTGGCAGTGCGTCGCTGAATGGCAAGAAGGGTGTTCTGACCGGCGAATACAAAATGCCTGTTGGCCATCCGGGAAGGGCGAAAGATCGATATGCGGTTCGGATGACGGACGACAAAAGTATGAAATTGATCGCTGGCGCCAATCTGTCTTTCGCAAATACTAAGATTGCTGACAAATTCGCTGCGTCTAAATTACTCAAGCAGAACGCCCGCGCAAGCGCCTTTCTGACCGCATTGAACTCTATCCCACTCCCGTCGGAGCTTGGCGGGAGCGTGTCATCTGCTGCAGCTTTTTCAGGAGGAGCGGTCACGAATTACATTCACGTAGGAGACCACTCGGAGCTGGCTGTACGTGCCAGAGGCGACGTCTACATGCTCAGAGTGGGTCCGTGTGAAGAGGAGCAACAACATCAGCATTCCTCAACTAGCACTTCTAGCAGCGAGTGTCCATGTCCAAAATACGAGTCCGCCTCGTCGTCACGTTATCCTCTCCACACGACACACGTATTGCACACACATCTCGGAGGCTGTGGCATTCTATTCCCTCAGGTGGATGAACCTTTGGTCGGAAGAAAGAAACAACTACTCCCTTTCGATCGTAGGCTGTATGACAAAATTTGTGGTATCTTCAACATCATCCCGCTTACGAAACGCGTAGCCATGGGCATGGTAATGAAGAACGACGAAGAAGGACAAGAATTGGTAGCTAACACTATGCGACCGATTATCCACGGCCGTGGTGAGGGAGGCAACACCAACAGTGCTTCGTCCAGTAGGTCTGCTGGACAACGAGAACGACAAGGACAAAGGGAACCAACCCCAACAGTATCGGAGGCTGAGATGAGCAAATTGAGTAAGGATGTCCGTGAGTGGGGTATTAACCCGCCAGAAGAAGAGCCGAGCACGCTTGTCGGTCAGCGTGTACACCTGGTCGATTACGAAGCGGACCCTCACCTGAATGGTCATGGCGGAACGGTTGTGAAAGTTCTAGACTATGGGCACTCACAGTCTCGCAGCTGTTCGCCAGGACCAGACAAATTGATGTCTCCCACGTTGCTAACTCTGCCTTCAGCATCAGTTGCATCGGACGATGGCAAACGGAATATGAAATTCCTCGTGGAAATGAATCACATCAAGGAGACTGTCACTGTCAGTGGAATGAATCTCGTGTTTGAAGACCCGAAAAGGAAGGACGCGGAGAGAACTAGTAACACAAGTAATAGCAAGATTTAGAAACCAACTATAGAAAGATGACGGACACGACTGACACACAGACACACACTCACATGATTGTAACTTCTAAACATTTAGAAAGATTTTTCTCTGAAGTGATTGAAAATTTGATACTTATACTAGGTATTAAGAATTCCAAGTCGTGTAAGAAAAGGTAAGGACGAAAAGGATGTAGTCAAGGTCAAGGGACCATCTGTATGATAAAACGTTAACCATTCGTCCAGGCCAACACCATCATGATCATTCAAAGAACTAGTCGTGTTGTGAATGGTCCACTTCCGCTTATTTAGGATGAAGGACAAGTTTGGAGATGTTGAGTATGAAAAGTTGGACCACTACTCGTAATTCATCGTGTTTTTTTTAGCTCAATGATCCCATTCATCTTCAAACATTCTCTGTAGTATCATTATGGTTGTATCTTCCCCATCGTTGTGGCCGTTCTAGTTTTCTCTGGACCTTGATATTATAACACCACCCATAGGTATGGAGAAACGGAAAAATATAAATGAAGTGTTTCCTGTGTAAGTAGCTCTCTAGACCCAGTTGCGATGCAGAGCAGCAAGTTCTGAGTTCTAGGCTCAGACTGTTTTTTGTTTGTTGTAAAGAAAATAGCAGCTGCCAGTACTTTGGTCCTCCTCGGTCCATCTCGTAATTTGTATCGATCCATGTCCACCAAACCCCCTCCGAACACTAAACACTTACACAGGTATTTTGCGGACCATCATCATAGTGACATATTATTCCCAGTTTACCTACCGTCTCGGTGGAACCAACAGACTTATATCGCTCAATGTTTTCGAAAAATGTTGTATCAGTATCTCTACTTCTTACGCTTACTTCTGCAGCTTATAAATAATGACCGCGGGATGTCGTCTACCTGCAGTCAGCAGCTGCAGGTAGAGAAGATTCGCCGAGGACCACCAAAAAAGTAAATCGGCCTCTTTTTCGCAGATTTTGGCGCTCGTGAAAATGCAAATCGCCAGCCCAGAAGATTACGCACGGCTGCGAACCACTGAAAAGGAGTCCAAAACCATTGAGAGACTTATAGAGAATTCCGAAAAAAAACAGGGAACAGAGAAAGAAAGATAACTCTACCTCTAGACACTCTACCTCTAGACTCAAACACGACAAAGAGTTGTGAACAACCTTTGAATACTCGGAAAAAGAGGAAGAGCCGCGGCTGGCAAATAGTCCTAAGGTAAAGGTAGTTTAATAAGCAAAAAGTCGAAAAAGAATTATCATCATGCCCAAGCCCGTTCTCTTGAAAAATCGTGGTCGATGCCGCGTCCAGCAACAGCGAGATGGAACGTGGCGTGTGTGGGTTCGAGTGACGAAACCTATCGCAAACCCGAAAGGATACCTGAAAAGACATATGCTTGTTTATGAATTGAGGTAGGGATTATATTGGATATGGTTATGGTTGCTTGTAGCTTAAGGATGTCTACTTTTCCAAAAGCATTAGCATATCATGTTGTGCTCTATCTATTTCTATTGCTCTTATCCGAAACGGTAATACTTTTTTTGGTTCCACCAGTTACAGAAACAAAAGCTGCTTTCATATTCCCGACACCGGAGCAAAGCGGACCTGTCTGAGTGTGGAGGATGCAGTGGAAGTTTTGAAATTGAAGCCACTGGAGAAGAAGAGCGGGGAACTTTCTACAGTGACAGTGAAGACGACGAATGGAAAGTATAACAGAATAAATAAAAGAACATCCTCTTTCCTCATCCTCATCCTTCATATTTTCGAACTCCAATCTGATGTTCCTGGTGATGCTCACAATTGCATTCTAACTCCAATGTGCAGGTCCGAGCGTGAGCTTGCAAGGATACGCCTTGAAAGCTACGACTTGTCTGCTGCCGAGGTGGGTATTACCAGTGCTGCTATGGGTACGGCAAGTACGTCAGGCATTGCATCATCCTCCTCCACAACCAGCACCGCAGACAATGGTAACAAGACGACTCTCGTTGAGCTCACCTGCAGCATTCGAACTGGGCTTCTTGAGGGCCACGGAATCCTCGGTAGAGACTGGATTACGGTCGCCCAACCGGTTTGGGAGTATTATGTTCGGAAAGGAGGCGGCGCTGGGAAGAACGCACCAAAAGGTTCAACGATTCAAATCGGAAGTACAATTTTACCTGCTGTTAGTGGAGGTGGTGGGTCGTTCTTAAACAAAAACAGTACGTGTACCACGACTACAGCGATGAATACTAATGTACTAGCAAGGAAGACGGCGAATACTAATGTAGCAGGAACGAGTTCAATTAATAGTAGACGCTTCCAAGAGACTGAAGAGGCTATGGCTGAACCTTCGAGCTCATCGTCAGCTAGCAGTGACGTCGAAAATAACAACCGTGGAACCTCCTCTGGAAGTACCCTATCCGCCTCTAGAAGAAAGAAATCTCTCCTCCAAGTGCGACAAGGACAACATGAACTACAAGAACATGAACTACAAGTACAAACTACAGAAATAGATAACGTTGTTGATAATGAACTGATTATGATGAACTACAACTACACAAGCGAGAATATGAATCCATCGAGGAGCAGGAGCCTAGAAGAAACACCGGGAATTACACCTGATGGCCCTGTCTCGGGATTAGGTGGCGAAAATGGAGCTTCGCAGCACATGGTCTTTCTTGAAGATGCACTGATCTACAACGAAAGCGATTCTTACATCCGTGCACGAGCGCTGAGTGGGGATGACAGCGACGACTGCGATCTTGAGGTCGATTATGTTGGCGGAGATGACTAATAGGTGAGAAGCAAAAGAGCATCCTCACCTTCGATTATAACTCTTATGTGAAAAAATGAATCCCGTCAAGGATGATGTGCACGTACGTAACGTATGTCTTGATGAAAATGAACAGAATAACACAAGACGCACTCGTCGTATTCCAGAGATACAAGTAGTAAGCATACGACTGACAAAGACACTTCTCTTGCATCCCGGCTTCTGAGAATATAGTTCTTCTTTTACACATCTTAATCTTTCAATGATGAACGAGCTCTTTCTACTTTCATGCTCGGAGCTTTATCCTTGGCGTTTTCATCGTCGTTGTAACGTAACGTCCGCGTCGAGGCGAAAACAGTGTTCGTTTCTACAGAAACCGAGGATTTTTAACCACTCCGACTGCAATAAACTTACTAGTAGAAGGGAAATGACACGACGAGAACCGCGATCCTGTTAGCAAAAGAGCATGATCAAACTGATCTATTTAATATAATTAGCAGGTTTGTTCCTTTTCTTCTTTGAGCAGCCAGTCCGTCGGACGAAAAGAGACAGCGCAAAAACAATTGCAGAGAAAGAGCAAAAAAACATGTCCGCTTCCGCATCATCGTATCTGATTGTTCGTCCCTCTCCCGCGACGAACTATGCTTCGTTAATGCCATCCGCAAGAACTCCAGTTGCGGCAACATCAGGACGCATGATCGCAGGCAGACGATGGCCACAGAATCACCTCCGAAGAAAGGTCAGAACCCCGTTTGAGGATCGTTTCCCTGATCCTTGCCGTGATGCGCGACCTAGCAGACATGAACCTAGGCATAAGAAACTACGAAAGCTCTTGCATGTTGCGACAGAGTTGGAGAAGCGAGAGACGAATGAAGAATCGGAACGATTCTTGCAGTTGCCAACATCACAGAAGGAATGCCCTGTTCGGCAAATTAGTGGAGCAGGCCCTTTTCTTTCATCCATTTTGACAACGAAATCATCCTCATCAAGCAGCTCTAGTATGTCCACTGCAAGTAGCCGCGACATAGTACAAGCGGCTGCTTCACTCACCTTCAAATCTTCAGGAGAACCGAGTCGAGGTCCACGACCTGCTTCTGCTCTCCCTAACACTGCAAATCAGCAGCATTTCCACGCAGACGATAAGAAGGAATACAGCACCATTCAGCTCACCCAATTAGCCAAAGAGATCTCTCGCATACCTGAGTGGAAACAAGACATCAAGGCCTATTTCTGGGAACAGTTAGTACGCGGGACAGTGTTACGAAAAGAGCCTTTGGACAGCGCAGCAGTTTATGTGCTTTTCGTGACTGTGACAAAGCTGAGGAACAGTGGGATTGTTAGGGGTAGGTTAAAGATGCTTTTCTTACCGCTTTTTATGCCTCTCCCCCTTAGGATGAGAAAGGCATAACAAGCGGGGTAAGCGAGCACCAAAAACCTACCTCTAAGATTGTGGTAGAGGAATCAATATCAAGACCGCGGCCGAGGCCGTCAGCACGAAATAAACGGACCTCTAGCTCATCTCGTTTTCCTCGAACTACAACTAGTATTACGTCTCATTCGATTCCAGAGTATGGTGCTTTCATACAGCACCTGTGTTCGAGTGTTGAAAGATGGTTGTATCCACCGAGCGAAAGTGGAGGACGAGGACGAGATTCGCCCGGCCTAAATCAAATTACGGAGGACCCCGCAACAGTTACAGATTTCACGACAAACGTCCTCGCACAACAAGTACTGGAGGATCATCTTGTGCCCGCCGGTTCCTCGAAGACATCTTTGAGCAACACTACAACTACTGCATCTACCATACCTACTACCAAATCTACAACACCATCATCACTAAGTGGAGGAGATTCGCCCGGCCTAGATCAACTTAGTACAATACCATCATCACTAACCGCCTCACGATCTACTTCTCCTTCCACCTCAGCCAGAACTCCTATCTCAGAGCTCAAGCCCACTCATTTGTGTGGAATTTGTGGAACTTTTGCGAAACTGGCGGAACGCATCGCGGATCCTTGCACGCTAGCCAGCATGCGAAGGATCACCCAAGGTGTGACACAGCTCTTGCTGATGCAGGAGGAAGATCGAGACGAAAATGGACCTCCATCCCGTTCTAAAAGAGAGAAAATCAAGGTGTCTGGCCAGGACCTTGGCTATCTTCTAGATGCCTGTCGCGCACTAGACCTGTATAGTCCGTCTCTACAACAGGCAGTTGGGAACATCGTGAGGGCAAACTGGGACATGGCTTGGAGCGACTACGGACTCCAGCTGGTGACTACAAGTATCTCACCAGCAAATGCTAATGTTAATATGGTCGGCTTTTGTATTTATTCATCTCACTCAGGTTCATCTTGACACGACCCTTTAGCTTTACCCGTGTTGTATTCCCTTGAAATACAAGGACAAGGCCATCAAGATTGGGGCGGGACCTGGATGAATTCTGGCACACTCTAATAATGGCTCGAGGATGTCGAACTACCTGTTTCTTCCGCGTTCCGATCGTTTGGCTTGGCGGTGTTTGAGTTACCGACTACGCGAAGCTTTCCCAGCATTTCCAGGGAGTGGCGTTGTGCAAGTGATCAAAGCGTTTCATAGATTGAGAATGCGTGACATGGTACTGGAGAAATTGGCCGTGGAGTTGCTGGTTGGTGGAGGAACTAAAAACAAAAAGTCGCTAAGCTCCGAGTTGTCAAGAACACCTGCTCATAATGATCGTTTGGAAGATCTCCTGTTATACGAAATGACCCCCCACTTTGCTCAGCTATCGGCACAGGATGTTTTCGATGTCTTTTTACACACGGATTTGTTGAAGGGGGCAGCACGATACAACGAGGACCTACAGCTGCAGGGTGGAAATGGATATCGATATACTCATGGAATGACATCAGCATCGCAAACACAATTGGCCAATCTACTCCTAAAACGTATCCCTGACCTACGACTTCATTTGGACGCCACGAGGCTGTTGGATGCGATAACCAATTTGCCTATTGCGGATCTGGACCAAAGGGCGTTGAAAAGAGCTTCAGCCGTACTTCTAGGCTATGCGTTTCGGAGTGGGAAAATCGCCAGTCGGGATGTGGCAACGTCGTTGGAAAGGTTACCAGCCTCTTGGCTGACAACCGAATGGCGAGACCGAGTGGAGGTGACGAGGGAAAGAAATGAATTGGCGGAGAGAAGTGTGATGACGCAATTGGAAGGAGGACGCTCATATGATAATCCGAAGCTGCTTCTTCCTCGACAACCGAGGAAAGTATCAGATGAAAACTGCGCGATTCCGCACATGCCTACTAAAAATTCCGTTTCTATCCCTGGCACAACTACAACAAGTGAAAACGAGGACAGGCGATCTACTGAAGTACTATCTTCGCTTCTCAATCGAACTGAGAGGTTGCTGGATAGAGGTTTCCGACCAAGCTTGCGGGATGTCAAATGTCTGACTGAAGCATTTTTCTCAATCGAACGAGATGAAGAAGGCAGAGGAGAGTGGAACGCTTTGCGCAAGAATAAGCTGCTCGATCTATTGTTCCGAGGCGATTTCGTACCTGAAGTTATGATGTCTAGTACGATGGCGCCTAGACGCTCTCACGACCACCTTGTCGAGAGTGTATATCGAAGACTGTGCCACAGTGGCATTTCGAGTCTTCTTGTGGCGGCGACTGACGCCAACAGGTTCTTGATGTCGCTTCAGCAGATAAATTTCCTTTGTGATTTGAATGTTGCTTCACCTCTAAGTGAAGAATCTTCACGAACACATCGCATGAATGATGCTTTTTTATCCTCCTTTAGTTTGTCTTTTATGCAGCGACTCACAAACAAGCCTCATAGCGTGCTACAGGTACAGAAAGACATATCGATATCGAGTAGAGCATCATCAATACCTACGAGAGATGTTGACCAATCAAAAAAGACGAGCATAAGTAGCATATCAGATGAATCTGTCTCTGCGATCTCAAATCAAGTTCGTCGCACTTTGATCGCACTACTAGGTAAGCGCCGCGTCGTTAGCGACGTATGTCTAGCGCACGGCGGCGAACAAGAAAGAGACTTATCTTCTAGTACAACGAATTTCAGTTTTCCCAAGTTTTCAGTCGCCTTCCTTCTAGATCTAAATGGCAGAACCGATATGAATCTATTGACGCATAAGCGAGGAGGTATTTGAATTACGAGTCTTGGACGAGTTGTCGCGATCGAAGTGGTCTTTGGCTGAAATAGATCGCTTGTGATTGTGTTCACCTTCGATGACAAATGGCATTTCTACGGACGAAGAACCAAAAAAACGACTACGCAAGAACTCCTAGAACGAGAACGCGCAGAACAACAAATCAAAAATACATCCAAAACTGGCAAAAGGACACGACGAGAGTCAAGAGAGAACTTCATGTTGATCGTGCAGGATTCAATTATAAATTGCAGCTGCTATTGCTACTTCGCTTTTTCCAGAGTAAACACTCACATAGGTAGCAAGCAACTACATTTAAAAAGAACAACCATGGCACCTTCCGCTTCTGCTCCGATCGCAGCCATCAACAAGATGCTCGCCGGCCAGGACATGGATATTATGCAGCTTGGCCCGATAATAGCAGCATTCGTTGCTGTGGTAGCTACTTTTTTGTTCTGGTTTCAGACCCAAAGAGGTGGAAAAGTCCTGATCCGAAAGAAGATCGGGTTGCAAATCTCACACATCGAAGAACTATCCGAAGACACCAAGCAAATCCGTTTGGCGTTTCCGAGGAGTCGAATGCATCTTGGATTGCCAGTGGGAAAGCATTTCAAGGTACTTTTTACTTGAACCTGGTTTTTTGCAGAATCGTCGTTTGAAAAATCAGCTGCGAACATCTTCCTTCTATCCCCTTATGTAGCACTTTCAGTTCCAATTAATTTCGCATTGACTGGAACTAGTACAAATTTCAGAACATAATTTTTATTTTGACATTCATGTACATGTTCATCTGCTTCTTGTTGAGTCCAGATCATTATTCTTATCACTCACTCGCACTCAGATTATCCTTATCACTCACTCGCACTCGTCCATATCTATTCCACCCTTTCAACCTACAGATCTTCGCCCCCAACCCGGGAAAAGGGCAAGACACATGGAACGGCCGCGAAGACCCAGAGTCTAAGAAGGCTGACATCGAACGCGCTTACACACCAGTGACAGGCGATGAAACTCTCGGCTATGTTGATCTGGTAGTCAAGATGTACCGAAAAGGCGACGTGAAAATGCCAGATGGTAAGACGATGACATGGGCAGACGGAGGCAAAATGAGCGGATGCTTCTTGGACAAAAAGAAAGTGGGAGACTACATCACGATAGACGGACCCTTTGGCCTCTTGAACTACTTGGGAAGAGGGGAGTTCAAGCTGCCGAGTGTTTCAGGTACTACTATTCTTTGTAGACTGCCTCACTATCGAGGTGACGTCGAATCAATCTACTGGCATTTCTTCTGCTCCTTCTGATACGACCAGTTCTAGTTCACTCTTACCTCCCCCTCACCAACCAAACAGGTACGCGCAAGTACCAGCACGTCGCCATGATGGCAGGCGGTTCGGGACTCACACCTATGCTGCAGGTTATTCAAGCAAGTCTCCGAGATCCGGCTGATAAGACAACTTTTTCCCTACTCTACGCAAACAAGACGGAGTCCGATATCCTATGCAGGGACTTGCTAGATGCATGTGTGAAGCAAGGCAAAGGCAGGGTGAGAGTGCAATACACCTTGGACTTTCCGCCAGCGGGATGGGACGGCGAGAAGGTATTGTTTGACACACTGTATAGAATGAATGAACTACTACTTACAATTTTGAATATGCACCTTCTAGTTTGCATCTAGTTTATTGATCATGTATGTTGAATGAACTACAGAATTAGATTTTGAATTTGCACTCTGTATAGAATGAATGAACTACTACAATTTTGAATGTGCACCTTCTACACGCAAGTGAAATCTTGATTTTTGTTGGTTCTCTACTCACTTAATGTCCTTCCAATCCAGGGCTTCATCACCCAAGAGATGATTACGCGAAATTTGCCAGCCAAGGAGAAAAGCCCCTTGGTTCTCCTGTGCGGTCCCCCACCAATGGTCAAGTTTGCGTGTCAGAACAACCTGGAGGCTTTGGGATACGATAAGAAGGACATTGCGAACTTCTAGGTGGAATCTAGAAGATCTAGTACTAGTAGAAGTAGTCTTTTTACGTGTGGTTTTACACGCAGACGCATTTCTAAGAATTTTTCGATAGCATGGACTATCTCAAGTGTAGACCACCCTGTAATATGTTCCCCACTTTCATCCCGCTTGATGAATTTGTGTTCTCACAGATAATCCCATGCGCATTCATTTAATTCATTCTGAAAGAGAAACTCATTTCCATATTTGGAGGAAGTAGAGGAAAGCTTTCTTCCAAGCATTATCAAATTCAAAATTTTGCCTGTCCTGGTTGAGGGGAATCGTGGGTAGTGGTAGAGAAGTCAGTTCATAGCACTCTTAGAGGTAGAAGTTTTGGGAGAACAAGACCAATGAAAATCTACCCGGATCAATTTATCAGTCTGTTATTTTCATGAGTACTGAGTAAATCTCCTGATGATGCTAGAGTTGGGTGAAAGTGTAATTGTAAAAATCTTACTTCTATGTACTATTCTACATTTTCGCACAAAGTTGTTTGTCATAATATTTTTTCCATAGTCTACATCTACTTCTTTTTCACGCGCACCCACTTACGAGGCCTCTTCCACCCCCCGCCCCCGCCCTCGCCTCGCCCTCGGGACGAGGGCCGGACTTAACCAGATTCTCATCTTGTTTCATACTGACATCGACATGTAAAAGCAGATACGCAAACGCAGAAGAGCAGGACCAAATAATCGCTGATAAACCAGGATTTCGAGGCAGGTAAGGCTATCTGCACTTGCATTCCACTATGATGTGTCTAGTTGATCCGTGTTGTGCCTGTCGTGTGGCATTTGATTATTATCATTTGTCATTGTCTTAAAAGACTGACAATGACACGTTGGTCAAGAGCAAGACAATGCACTCCCACCATCGCCGGGCAGCATCCTGGAAAACACGTGGGTCATACTAATTTTTTCTAGTATACCGCCCGCCATAAAAAAAAAAAAAACAAAAAAACTTGTAATTGTAATTGTAACATCAAGGCATGAAGAGAGGGTAGAGATGAAGAAGAGAAGAGGATGATCATAATGCCTAAATTGATGGCAGACCACGGCGAGTGGTACTATACTTCCTACAATGACCTGCTAGGCTTTGAAGAAGACCCCCTTTCAAAAGCTTCTTTGAGGGGACCAGATTTAGTTATAGTATCTAGATGAAATCAATTAAAATACTATGTCAGAAGATAATTCAAAATCGAAATCTGTAGATCATGAGCACTAAAAACACATCAACGTTTTTTTCTCCACACAAACTAAAAACCAAACGCAAACTCCAATGGCCTCCCCAACCAAGAACCTTCCAGCAGCGCCCATCATCCAGCGCATGCAATTTTCCCATGCACCGAAGACCAAAGCTGTCCAAAGAGCCTTAGCGGAACACCTAGTAGAGACAAAACAACTCGATTACGCAGAGAAGCATAACGTTTCCATGATGAATTTGAAGACGGGAGGCTCGAGGGGAGGTCCCTCGTCGGCGTCGGTTTCGTGGATGTCGGATCAAAGGGTACAACGTGCTTACCTTCACCAATCGCACCAATCGCCATTCTTCAGTACAACTAGTCAAAATCTTAATATTTGTGATGAATGATTCAAAATCTTATAATATTTGTGGTGAATCGCTAGCTATCTGATGAATCACTACTAGCTACATTTAGCTTTAGGAGGTTTCAAATGATGATGCTGATGGTTAGTGAAGAACAGGATGTTGAATATGATCTTTTTTCACCCAGGGTTTCCACCAAAATTCCACCGACGACTGGAACGCGAACGAAAGCTGGTCCCCGTCGAAAACGAGTCAGCAAATGAGTCAGACCTTTCACGGTGGTTTCAGTTTTGGCGGATCGACGTCCTCCACTGGTCCTAGACGAGGAGATGGTCCAGGTGGTCCAGGTGGAGATTCTAGAAGTTCTTTCCCATCAATGTCCATGCCTTTTCACAGAAAAGACCTTCATGCTGGTAACTACGACAAAGATGGCAGGTTTTTGTCTCAGACCCCAGTCGACCAGTATGGGAGGATTCTAGTGAAGAATCCAAGACAACAAGAACATAATAAGGAAACAAGGATCCCGGAAAGAGCTTTGCGAGCAGCGGCAGTCACAGCAACAGCCTTTTATCCGCCAGTCTTGCGGAAATTTCATGAGGGTTTGCCGGTGATAAGTGACCCAGATCCGGATCCGCCCACGACGTTGAGAAAACTGGTGAAGACGTATCATCGTGGAAGTGGCAGTGGAGGTCTAACCTCTGGATCGAAAACCAAGAGCGGAAAGGGAAGGCGAGGCGGCCATTCAGGATCAGCTCAGCATTAGGGCAGAGTAGTAGAACAGGAATATATTGCATTAGGGCAGAGTAGTAGAACAGGAATATCTAATATATCTTCACGAGGAAGAAGGCCACCACGCGAATAGTCATCGCGCAAGTACTAGAGTCTCAGCTATTCGAAAACTCAAAATAACCGTGTTACTGAATGAAATATGCATATGGGAGGTACAGGTAGCTAGCTTTGACAAGGCTACAACTCTTTCTTCTCATCAGTATCTCGGTTATTCCGATGATCAGTTACTTGCTTATTTCAGTTTTTCGAATACTCGCACTGATACTTCTGACTGTAAAGTGTAGTAAGTGTAGTCACGCGCAAGAAACCGCCTCACGACTCTTCACTCCTCTAATGATTACTCCACAAAGGCGCTCAGGAAGAGGAATCCACCGCATTGATCAGCAAAGAGGAACGCCTCAGACGGGAGACGGTCAAGAGACTCAAAACCGATTTGTCCATGATGCGGAATCATCTATCCAACCTCAAAACGCAGTCACGGCAAGGCCATAAGTATCTCCAAGACATGGTGAAGGAGTATGACAATCCTATGTCGGAACGGCGCTACGAGGCTGGGGATTTGCGGATTTTTCATAGTGTGACAAGTCGAAAATGGATTCGACCTAGCGAGAGGTTGTACAACGAACCAAGGATGGCGACTTTAGAACCGCTGGAGCTGAGGGAGACACTGAAGGAAAAAGCGGGAGCAGGAAGAGAACGTACAACTTGGAGTTTGTTTTGTGATTTGGTGAAGATGGTAAAATTTGTACTAGGTAGTTGTCTGTAGGGCTTAATATGCTTTGTAGTAGTACGTTGAAGGTTGAACTTGATCATCCAGAAAGAAGGATCAGCTGTAGCTCACAACTGCTCCTACTCCAACTCCACTTACCAAGAACCCAGATACCCACGCCACCCCTTATCGCGGATACGAAACCATCAAAGACGTCCGTGGCCTCTCCAAGAAAATGAAGACAGCCAGTGTCCGTGTTGTGCCAGCAGGCGAAACGTTCCTCACCAATGCTATCAGAAGCACCTATTTCCACGGTGCCAATGTTGACGGCCCAGCGAGTCTGAAATCCTTCCACCCTAGTATGCAAGTGAAGCAACAACCTGTGGCGGTGTACGACTACCTAAATCGAGGCAACAACAATCATGTAGAGAATCCTGGCAACAAAGCAGATGACGAAGACAGTGGCTTCGGTGACGTAGACGACGAGGAGTATCCCTCTAGAGAGATGGACCTTGGAGAGCAAGAGGATGGGTATCTATATATAAGTAATTCTCGTCTTTGTGACTGTGAGGAAGCACTACTAGTATAACAGTTATACTATAACAAATAAAACTCTCTTTCTCTTGAAAAATATTGCATCCTCAACAACGTCCTTCTAGTTGTACTCACCACAAAATCAGCCAATTAACACCCGGACGGCCGCCGAAAAAAGGCGAAAAGCGCTGGTTTGCAGGTACGGATGGGAAATCGCCAGAACATGCCAGAGGACCAAAGCGGTCGCCCACTACGAGAGAAGCCGTAAAGAAGAACAGGCATAAGCAGGGCGCCTCTTCATCAGACGCGTTCTCGCGATATAAGACGCACAAGAAAAAAGCTGTCATACAGAATCCGGATGTGCCGAGGGGACCTCATGATGCTTAATCGTGTGCTTCTATGTGGATTCCAAGCAACATTCCGTTTGAACTCAAGAACTCCATGATTTGGATCTGTAGATACTTTTAGTTAGATTGAGAATATTGAATGGAAGTCGTAGTCGATTCTTTATAGTACATAATTTCTTACTTCAAAGGAGGTGCCGACGACGTCAATTTATGCACAGCTATGATGCACACCATGAAGCACAACACACATCCTCTCGATCTAAACGAGTCTCGCAATAACTCCTACTCCATGCTTTTGCAGATTTTTTCATAGATTACCGTTTGATTGCTCTTCTACTTCATAGCTCACCTTGACCTCGATTTCGATGAGAAAAACCTACAGCTATCCAGTAAAAGTATCTTGACATCACAGAAGAAAGCCAAGGGTCCGCAAGTCCCAGGAGACACCGTTTATACCTTATCCTTATTGATTTAGGACATAATGAGATGCGAAATTTGTCGCCGAAAACGATTTGTTAATGCACAGGAAAGCAAAGGCGAATCACTTATAAAAATACGGAGCGTTACAGTCAGAAGTCCGTGATAGATGTACTCGTGTCTGTGCGGATGTCGTGGGCTTTCCAAATTCTAATTCATTCACAGTGTTCTCCGGTGACGTGATGCGAAGTGTGGAATTCACCTTCAAGATCAATGGTTGGTGTACAACAGATCTTTAAAGAGAGATACGAGGAATGCTGCAACATTGAAGTACTCATTCATACTAGCAGATTCAACAATAGCAAGTACTAAAAGTCTCAACAGAAGAGATACAGATAGCCACTAGAGATTTTCTCCTACACGGACTTCAATTATTTGTTTGGCAATAAGAATAAAAAGGCTCTCAACAGCTTCTATAATTGAACTAGTGCCGTACACAACCCGTCTCCTCATCCGTACACAACCCGTCTCCACGTCCACCACCTTGGAAGGAACAAGGAAGCATCAATAGTAACTGTTGACGTTTCGTTTTTCCTCAGGAGCTTCTACGAGGAAAATTTCCTGTCCTGCTGCTTCTTCGGTTCTGTTGCATCTTGCAAACACGTCCTCTCGTCCGCATCTACTTCGAACGAGGTCCTTCACCTCCCTTCCAAATCAAAATGCTGGCCCGAGAATCAAGGAAGCCGTCTGCTACATCAGCCTCAAGGAGCTGGAAGCTCTTTCACAGTAGTTGCACGTCTTTTCTCCTGCTTCACTTCCTCCCTGGACGAAATCTGCTTGGCGTCTTTGCGACACCTCATACTGGTGCCACGTCGTCAGTCTTGTCATCATCTTCAAATGGAAATTCCCAACGCAACCAGAATCATGCATCTACTTATCCTTCAAGAAATTACAAACGCCGTCCATCTTCTACATCTACGACAGGATCCCACTCATCTGACATCGATATCATGTTAAGCCCTAGAAGTCCATCCACCACTACCACCACTAGTGCAACCTTGAGAGCCAAACACGTAGCAGCTTTACTCGCGAACACAATGCCGAGACCGCGACCAGAACTTCCACGTGCAAAGATCTGGAAACCACAGGAAATGTTGACACGTGAAAGTACAGGGAAGATGAGCTTTGGGACAGAATCGACCGCTGTAGGAGACCTCGACAGCTCAAGTTTACGGCTACTCGCAGAAATCCACCTTGTTCCCCAGCATCGTGTGCCTGATGTATCCTAAGCAAAAAGGGGCACCAAGATGCTTCTCAAGATGGATTTCTTGTAGCTCTAACACGCGCTCGTCGTAGCTCAGGAGTGTCGTCTTCATCTGAGAGTGGTGGCACGAGAAGTCCGATCAGTAGTAGTGAAAGCTTATCTTCATCGAGGACAAGGACACAAGGACGAGCAAAAGGAGGACGCCGTAGCCGAGCAAAAGAAGCATCTTCTGTTGGAGGAAAAAGTCATGCTTCTCTCCAAGACGCACCAGATTCACTAGGAGAAAACAGCCAAATCATGGTGGGGAACCAGCTGAGGCTGCATCCAGTAAATGATCCTATGGAAAGTGCTGGTAGTGGAGACAGCTTTCACTTTGGAGATACCGATACGAACCGGAACAAGAATCACAAGAGACGAGATTCATCTTCTGACTCCTTTTCTCTGCTCGAAGATGGAAGACAGACTATGCGCGGTCATTTTTCGCAGGACTATTTCAAAGACGCCTTTCCAGAAGCTGGGGTCGATGCTCCCTTCGGGAGACATGCGAATCATGTGGATTTACGGTCGTCTGAGATGAGAGGAAGTGCTATTAATAGTACTGCTTCATAGCTGAGTGCTAGTAGTACTGCTTAGCTGAGTGCTAGTAGTTGTACTTCTATTTAGCTGTGGTCCAATTTGATCTACTAACTTGTCATGCGGCGTACTTATCATGTTATCGTGCCCGTAGGAGCTGATGTTGATGATAGAACAGAAGTTGTTGAGATGTTGATGTGTCGTGAACAACATGATTCTTTCCTTCCACTCCCATAGTACCCTTTTGCTTTTCTAAGTGCTGCCATCCAAAACGGCTTGCGCATGTACGGTGACAGTATGGGAACGGTGCCTCCTGTGCCATCTGGTTTAGACCATATTAGTCCTCTACGTCTTAGCCCCGAGCCAAAATCAACAACCCAATATTGGAGTGCTACTGAGGAAGACGGTTCGGATCATAGGAGGAGCAACCTGCGCGGTCGCGGTAGCAGTCCTTTGGAGCAACCGGGGGCTGATGACTACACGGGACGTCGTGGAAGTGGACTAGTTTTCAACCCATTATTAAGGCTACCGCTGAATCATGTCCTTTACACCATGATCCTTGGCTCCTCTTTTTCAAGGGGGAAAGGGTAGAAGATGCGACGCGGATGAGGTCAGGAGGGATGCGACGCGGTAGCTCTAACATTAGAATACGCCATCCAAGCTGGTCAACAAGATGGGGCTTTTAACCCAAAGTACAAAAACAAAATGATGGTCCCGGACTATCAAGGACCACCAGTTTCGTTGTCGGAGAAAGTGATTGCGGAATTAGAGACGACACCCCATAATTCGCAGAACTTGTATAGTGAACCGTGGTTATGGCTGAGGCTGATGGAGTCTAGAGGAGTTTTGTTTCATGGAGAGTCTGAGACCAAGTTGAAGTAACCACTAGCGATTGTAGTACTACCATGTTCAAGAAGCTTGTCGCTGTCGTCTAGTGCTGGTGTCCTACTTCGTTGTAAGTATACTTTTTCATGTAGAACTTGACTTCTACAGCGGCCCTACCTTTCGCTAACTTCCTCCGCCCGTTGGAAAGCCATTCAACGACTCGGGAGCGGCGCCTTTGGTGAGGCTTGGCTGGTCCAGAACCTCGCCAACAACGCTTTAGCAGTGATGAAACGAATCCCAAGGAAGGGATACGAAGGACAGTATTTAAGATGGAGCGACTTTGGCGCCTCGAGTATGCACATTGACGATGCGATCGAAGGACTGAGGGATGAGTGTGGTTACGGCGAGGGATTCTGATCGAATTCTTGTAATTCAAGAGAGTCTCTGAACTGCAGCATGAGTGACACTATCACACGACATCGTCGATTTCCTGCATAAAAGCCATATGATCCAAAGCATGTTCGCAACTGCAAGTGCTAAAAGTAAGTACCCTCTTTTTCCCTTCCAGAATCCAGCTATACTAATTGATACTCAATCTAACGCCTCTGGGCCGCTTCTCTGCAACGGTTTGGACAGAAGTTTCGATATGCTTCCCGATTTTTATTCATGCAATGCATGGAGACGAACATTGCTCCGAGATTCGCCAGAACGCATCCAGCTAGTCACCACGAACTGTACGTAATCGTAAACTACGGAGGACAGAGATTGGACAAGGTGCTATCTTCGTGGTTCTAAGTAACAGTAAGTAAGTACGTAATATTATTCAATTGATACAATAGACTTAGTCTTCGATCATACCTCTCTTTCTCGGCTTTACTTCGAAGAATTTGAAGGTCACTACAAGAGCATCGGGATATGATCAACCTCAGGTCGCCTTCACGACAAAGGAAGCCCTTCTTGGCGTGCTCTCCCAGCTCTCGATGGCTTTGCACTATCTTCAACTATCTGGAATCGTACACCATGATTTGAAGAGCGCAAATATTATGTATTCGGAGAATTTGCCGATGCCAGACAACAGTAAGCAGCTACAGGTGGACAGAATTAAGGCTTCAAGAATGAATGAATCTTAGCCATCAACATCTAAGTCGTAGGCGGCCTATTTTTCAAGGGAAAATGGACTCCAGGATGCTCCGTAGGATGGATTTCTCCACGTTCTAACAGAAGGGGGCATCAGTCGTCCGGCACGAACACGACTGCGCCAGTGGTTGGGCACGTCGTTGTGATCGATTTTGGTGGAATGATCAACCACAACGACTCGCCTGAAGTGTTTTTGTTATGGCTTTGATGATTTTTTTTAGAAAGACCTTGATGCAGTAGGAGTAATACGAGTCGAGTTAAACGAATATCAAAATGATCAGACGTGCCTTCATGATCGTGAAATAAATTAATATTTATATATTATTCCACGAACAAGGTATATTCCACGTATAACTTTATTTTCGTGATTGTCGTACCAGAGTGCAGTAATTATTAAACGGCGCGGCTCGTATGTTAATCATGTTTGACAAAAGAATCGATAAAACCCTAGAAAGTGAAAGATGTAGAAAAAGAAAACCAACATCAAACATAGTACTGCTACTGGTTCCTTTTCTAATCCCGAACGCTCCCCATACGCCTGGATTCGCGCCAAAGGAGTTTGATGACGCCATCAGGGGTCTTGGGCGCGTAGAGAAACAGAGGAATGGTCCTGCATTTGATACGTTTTCGATGGCTGGCGTCATGTCCGAGATCATTCTGGGAGAGAATTTGATTTTACGCCATGCTTGATGTCAATGCAGAACTCTAGTACTGCTCCCCCTCCTACTTACTTAATCGACGCATGCTCTTCAAAAGTCGGGCCCCCCAACACAGGTAAGCACTCGTCATCAATAATGCTAATGGTTGTTAATATTATGATTGAGGGATAAGCCTCCCCTGAGATGGTGTAGTGGGTGGTGATCCTCGACGAAGACGATCCTCCTTTTGATGCGACGAAGATATTAGCCTAACCATTTAATTAATGAGTTTAAAATCGCGGCGCAACAGCGATCTCCTCCTCTAATCCCCTACCGTTTCGTCCAAACCGGACGTTTTGGCCGCCTGCCCTTCAAGGTGGACTGGCGCGGATGGAACACTCTTGTTGGCGACGCGAACGCCTTCAAGAACTTCGTCTTCCACGTTGCACGAAATGCGAAGACGAATGCTGCGATCTTATGGATACAACAACGCAATTCTAAGTAGAGAACTAGAAATACAAGAGAGCGTTAATAGAAGTAGAAGTCTTTTCATCACTTCTACAACCTCACTCCTCTAACCCTCAGAGAACGCCTGCTCCGCGAAATCGACATTGAGAGACCGAAATTCTTTGACTGGTGGCGTCAGATGTGGAGCGTCGTGATTCAGACCCGCGTAGAAGCCGCTGATGGCATGTGGAAGATGCTGAATAATGTAGAGGAGGGGTAGAGGATGGCTGCACTTCATCTTCATAACGGCTTAACGTGGTACGTAAAGATATTGCCCAAAAAGCTTTTTATCTGGTTTCTCGCTCTCCCTTTTTTGTTCTTCCTTACAATGTACTGATTGATGCCGTCGTTATGTAGTAGATACCTCCCATGTAGTTTCAGTGTCAACATGTAGTAGAAAATCTTCTTGGCCTATTGCTCTTGTTCTTGTTACCTCCTGCTGCTTGTCGAAGAAGTCTCTGTGTCTGTCCATCTTTTTTGCCTATAGCTCAAACGTTTCTGTAAAACCTGTACCTGTGTCTTCGACAACGCTCCTCACATACCCATCATGCATTTACACTGCTAACCTATGTCTCTAATTGCCATCTTCGTTGAATACAAGATAATTCGTCAGCCCCTACAACTAGCAATAATGAATTTGCAGAATATGGTACTGTACTCTCACATGAAGATGAAACTGAAGTACTGTGTTGAATATGCCAGCAGGAGATCATGCAGATGTTTCTAGATAAAACAAGATCATGGATGTAACTGCATGAAGATTGATAAGATGTTGAAGAATCTAGATGTAGCAATACTCAACGAAGATCAACATAACAACCTGTCGCAATACTAAATTAGCTTTACCGTCAGATTCGTCTTCGTGTCTATTAGGAGTTGTTCAACAATCAACATACCTCTACATAATCGTCGTGGTCCTCATCCACAATCTCATATGAATCGTCCTACAACATAGAAGACATTGACATACATGGTGATAGACTATAAATGCTATTATAGCATTAGTTGTTCTTTGAATTACATAGAAATCCACATGGTTCGTCAATATGCGTTTGTCGTCCAATTTCATAAATTTCGGAAATTCTGAAGTCTGCTAAACTCAAACCAAACCACTTTTTCCCACAACATAGGATCCACAGACAAAGATTTTTGTGTCTATCTGTTGTTTGCAAAACTCAAAGGTGAAAACCCAAAGGTGAGCACGAGCAGCACCCACAAAACGCCAGAGGGCAGGGAGTTGCAAACGCATGGCAAGCGGAGGCGCAGACCGAAGCCATTCTGGTGTTATCTTGCGCTGCAGAGTGAAAAGTGAGAGGCTATCTAAGTGCAGCAAAAGAGACAGCAATAGCATCTCTTGGGATGCAGTATGATGATGAGACAGCAATAAAAAAGCAATTCCACCACTAGACATTTACCGATGCAAAACGTCTTGCCCAAGAAGACCAAGAGCTTAAACTACAGGTAAGATAAAAACCGATTCAATTTCAAACAGAAGCAACTCGACGATAAGAATGATGTCACTTGTTCTCTTCGGGTCACTAAAGCGGCCATTATCGCTGGCTCTCCGACGCCCGGCTCGATCAAGACCCCTGCTAAAGACTATCGCGCTTCTACTCTTAAGACTTCACCCAATCCATCTTTTAGCTCATCTTTTAGCTCATCCTCATCTTCGAAAGCAGAAAAGTGGACACATCAGATCATGAGTGGACACAGATGAGGATTGTAGTCTAGTCCTGATCACGAATGATCACACATGACATGAGTTCTAATGCAACTCACAACTCACCTTCTCTGTCCTTTCGTGCAAGGCTTCACCGCCGTCTATCCACAAGGCGACTCGCTAGGACCGTTTCTCTACCTCGGAAATGAAGATGACGGCCATTTGGAAGAGGATTTGAGATTGTTGAGGATAAAGCATATTCTCATGATTGCGACTGGTTCCAATTTTCCCCTTGCTGTTATACTTTTGGATACTTTTTTTACTTGGAATTTATTATTATAGTATACATAGGAGGTGATACGAATGCACTTGCACGACCTTATAATCATTTTTATGAGTAAGTGATATTAGTGACTACGGACTACGTCTACGTACCTACACCTAATGCATCACCAGCCAGCCACAACGCAACTGACGGCCGTATGGTTCTGGAGAAACAGAGAGACCGTGTGAACTATGAGTTTCTTCTCCAGCCTAAAGACGACTATCAACTCTCTACGAGTGAGATTATGCGAGGTGTCGAATTCATCGAAAAAAGTTTTGCCGAAGCTCATGCTTTACCACAACTGGGAGACGCAGGTCTACCAGCTGCGCATGTTCTGATTGTTTCCAGAGATGGTTGCAACCGAGCCGGGACTATTGCTTAAGGCTCAACTTTCAATGGAGGTCATATTTTAGATTGGAGTCACCATTTATAGATTTCGAAGAGGCGACCCCTTCCTTCTTGAGAGAACCAACAGGGGAAATATGCGAAGGGAAAGGGGAGAGCTTTGAAGGGGGTCTCTTCCGTTCAGAGTCACTTGCCAGTGAATGCTGAACTTTAAACTGCAGCGGCGTACGTGTTGAGGAAATTGAAGTTGTCGGTGAGTCAAGCCGTGAGCTATGTGCGGCAAGCGCGTTCTTGTTTTCAGCCGACAGAAGTGGTGGAGGACAATCTGTATAGCCTAATAGAATCGCCGGATCAAGACGACGCAGAGGAAGGAGGAGAGGAAGATGAGTATGGCTGCATGGAATTGGTGTACTAAAAGCAAAAGAACTAGAATCAAAAGATTTCGATTTGCATGAATACATGGAACAAGCAGTCGCCTCGATCCTGAGTACTGCCAATGCCTGATACAACGTGTAGAAATTACTATTTGTACAAGTACTAGGTAGATATTTATAGGTTTGGTGCGTACAATAGATGCTTACGCTACTTGTAGGTGTGAATGTGCCCATCCTTCATTCCTCACACGCTGCCATCCATGCATCGCAGCCAGAAAGGCGAGTCAGCGCCAGAGTCACAGACGCTATGCGTGATGAGAAGAAAGCAGACTACATGAACCGGTGTCAAATGCTCCACGACGCTTTTTGGTACTACGGCGATTTAGAACCGCTGCAAGGTGGTGAGTGCCTCTACGATATACCCACAGCAGCCGACTGTTGCCAAGCCTGCGATGATCATCCCGAATGTGCCAAGTGGAGCTATGGCTTGGCAGGCAAAGAGCGAAAGAGGTGTTACTTGAAGCGGTCAGGGGATGGGTATTTGGCAGATAGGCCACACTTTTTGAGTGGAAGGACGACTTTGCAAAAGAAGAAATTACGGGTGAAGGATTCTGATGAGGAGGGTCCTGGTGCGGGTGGGAGTGGGAGTGAGTTGTGAACATCAATGCTTGTGCAACGCTGCTCTCAAAAAGTCTGCAAATTCACAGAACTTCCCATATTAAGTACCTTTTCTTTTCGCATTTTTCACGTTGTCGGAAAGATTATAAGCGCCAGCGGCGCTCCGGAGTCCGGAGCTGCTAGAGCTTCAGCTATGACTGATGCAGGTCTAGCTGCAGTTGTTCCGCAGAGATTAGCGTGAGTGTCGCTATTTGTGTGTTAAACAGGAAAGGCACGCTTTGTAGCAGCGTACGGGACCTTTTCTCGACAATGCAGCAACTGCAAAAAGAAATAGCCCAAGAAAAAAGGCAGTCCCAGCAGAAGCAAGGTGTTGTCTGACAGCTTTTTGAACTGATCTTCTACATCCTCCATATCAAAAATTGCGCACCATCAATACTACGTACTGTTGGGACTAGCGAAGGTGTAGTTCCTGTAGATGCTTACAGTTTAGAGAAAAAATCTAGTGACCGTAATTGAATGGATGCGCAACCGCGTAGTTCCACACCTGCTAAACATAAAGATCAAAGATCAAGATGCGCGTCGCCACCTCCACCTCACCGCAGAAGGTGAAGCAGCACATCCCTTCTTCAGGTGACCGCAAACTGAGCGTCCAAATCGTGGACGCGCAAGGCTTACAGACCTTAGCCCCGCATCCGATCCGCATACGACTACAGCTAGTCTGGCCAGAAGATTTGCTGGGGGAAACATATGGGAATAAAGTGACGCCGTGGACTAGCACTTCTTCATCTTGTACTAGTTCTAGCACTGTACTAGAGCAGCATCTTCAACATCACGGAAATCTTCTTCGTACGGGTAGTTGTACTAGTACTAGCGGTCCGAGTTGGACTACACGCGGCTGTGTCTTCCCCATTTCTCCAGATTTACAACGGAAAGCAGCAGACTTGGTGCTGCGGATCAGCCTTCAGGTGAACGTTGGCAGTTCTGGAGATCCGAACAAGCAAGAGGAGTCCAGAGCTACAGTTCGCAGCTACTTTTTCCATAGAGGTGAGATACCAGATGCAGTGCGGGATCTGGCATCAACGGAAATGCGAAATTTGGATCGTCTCTTTCATCAATACGATTCGGCGGCTAGTGTGATAAGGAAGTGGCTAGACTTTGACGACGAGGTGAAGTTTTTCTTGGTGTTACAGGTGTTTAATCCGCCTCAGAGTGGCGGGGAGTCGACGCAAGAACGTGCGCTGCCTGTGAACAATCAGAGGACTCCGTATTTAAGGCTGTGTGCCTAATAGACATCTTTGGACGGCGCATCCTTGAAATAACGTATGGAGGAGTAATATCCTAGTAAGCGAATACTCCCCCATACTTTTCAAGGATGCACCTGAAAGATGAACTACAGACAGCTCTAACGTCTATTGCATCCGCCAAGAATAGCGCGTCGTCATCCTCAACTGCTAGAAGTCTCGTCTTCCCATCGGGACCGTCAGCATCATCTTCTTCATCGGCTTCATCAGGAGACGAAGGAGCAAGAAATAATGTTGCTAGTACTAATGGAACAAGAACGAACGGCGAGAACAAGAACACTAGTCGAAACCACAAGCGATTCGAGAGCACTCTGATATCAACAAAATCAACTCCTTCAGCACTGGACATGTTAGGTGGCAGCAGGCGGCGAGCAAGTACAACAACAACTTTTGAGCAAGGTATGAAAAGAAAATCTGTTATCATTATCAAGTTTCTGAAGTAGAAATAAGTACGATAATGATAACAGATTTTGGCTTCATACAAGGTATTTGTATTACACAACAGAGTTGTACTAGTGCTACACCGGTTCTTCTGAGTACTTCTCGTGCTACACCGTCAACATCTTCTTCATCGTCTAGTTGTACCGAACCATCAACAGGGCAACAAAGCAATCCGGGTTACGGCTTACCATCCTCCATTACGCAACCGCAAAGCCGCAACAACTATGGCGACCACGACCACCACAGCCTCTACTTTATGGACCAGAATCCGTCCTTTACCACGACCAGCCCCAGACTTAACATCTTCACAATCAACGACATACCTGATGAGGAACAAGGTGGAGGTACCAAAGGAGCCATTAGCAGGATGTTTTCGAACTTCTTTGCTGCTTTGCCGGAGATTGGCATGCCTGTTTACAGCGTTCCCACGTTGACAATTGGCAGTTCAAACCGACCGGGAGTTGAGGTGTAATGAAGACTTTTATACCTGGTACAAGACCTGATAATGAACAGATGACCTACAGGCTATCTCTCGCAGTATGTCATACCCTTGCAGGTTGTAACACTTGGTTTCAGGGCCCTACACTGTTAGGCTGTGCCTTAGTTGTTCTACAGGGGCTATTGTAATATAGTTCCCTCCGATAGTCGTAGGTTTTGGCCGTTGTGATACGGTCTTCTTGCTCCCCTGGTATGTAAGTTTTATAAATGATGTTATTTAAGTAGTTGAATGGGAGGTAGCATGTAGTTCTATGGAAAAAAAAAAACCTATGGAAAAAAAAAAAAAACACCTAGCAATCTGGGGCGAGTGAGGCCCTTGAACTTGAAACTTGATAATGTATGATACTTGATCATGTATGAGGATACTTACTCTTTACCAAATAAGCCTCTATCATCTTAGTCAGCATACTGTATGGAGAATGTTTTCTCCCCAATCCAAATCCCACAGGACCGCCACGCTCTTCTCCTCGTCGTATCGGAGTTGGATGCAGTCTTTCGCAAAAGTGCGAAAAACTTCAACATGCATCTCGAACGTTTACAGCCACTGGAGCCATATAGGATAAAAGGCGCCACAGCTGCTTTGGCTATACCTACAACTTCGAAACTACAGGTGGTCGATGACGAGTCGCCTTCAAAAATAGCGACGCAGGGCCCTTCAGCTGCAACTAATAGTAATACTAGTACTAGCACTTTTACGACTCTGATAGAGTTTCTGGAAACGGTGCTGGAAACTTGTTCATCGACAAGAGGCCCTTCGACAATGCCGGACAGGGACAATCTCTCGACCGGAGGAGAAGATTTGCGACGTCTTGGCGACCGATTTCGACGAGCGACTACTGTTATGAAGCGAGACTGTTTTCAATTTCGATTTCATGTTTCTCATGCTAGGTGTATAAGTATACAACGGTCTTCTACCTTAGATGGGATAGTTTTTTGTTGTTGATGGAGGGATTCCAGTCTAGAAGACATCCTGATATTATTCGTCTAACCACCACTCCGCAGACGCCGAATCTCTTTCCGCTCTCCTGGAATCCGTCACTCTCGAGCATTCCTTGCTAGACGCCGACTTCAACAAGGTCTTCACGCAACTTCGCGTCCTGGGCAGCGAGTACCAAAGCTTAGCTGGTGAAGTGAAGAGCAGTCGCGTGAGCACGCTGATTTGTACCATTGGAACTACGTCTTCTACATCTGGGGGTTCCTCTAGTACGACCTCGAGCGCTGTTGGAACTGTGGCGCTGAGAGGAAACACAAACATCGCATACGGAGACCTGTTCCGATGGGCAGAGCAGTGTCGAGAAGCATTACAAAATAACGACCGACTGCGGTTTAGAGTGGCGCGCTACAAAGAACGCGTCCGGACTGTACAGGAATTGCTGCAAGACGTAAGGCGAAGGGTGTTGCAGGGACCGCCAGGATTGCCATAAACAATGAAGAGCCTGCTTTCAAATAACGCATATTACGCTAACGCATCTTCATATTCGTGACCATGGCCATAAATGATGATCATCTCCATGATTTGTACGACCACTACCTGTATTCTAGTCCTTGGATCATGCTGTCACATGTTGTCACGCGCGCAACAAATCCGAAAAACAGATACAACAGCTATGTCAATCCTGCGAAGTTCTTCATGTAGAACTAGAAGTTCTCCACATTCATGTTTGTAGTTGTAGAGATCATAGCCACGACCTCTTCAAAACATTTGAGGATCGATCTTGAAGATTCACGATCCCGCGTGCCTCGGATGGATCACAGTTCCCGTTCAAAATCTTTTCCTGTCTTATCCCGTTCCTGGATCTCTATTGCTTAATGTGGCAAATTCGATCCAGAAATTTTTTAGGTTCTGAAGATGGATGCAGAAAGAGTAGATCCACCAACAGCCTGTCCACGCTTTCCGACACTTTTTTTACCTTTGTCAATTTCGTTGAAAACAGGTGGAGGTGAAGCATTGATTTCGTGAAGATAGGATGAAAGCTGTGAGTAAGTAGATAACGGCGTCGCAATCGATGTAGCATGACTGAATCGATGTCTCATGACTTACCTCAGTGATTGTGTTACTTTCAACCACTGAGCATGATACCGTAGCATTTTCTCACTCCTTCTTTGTTCGTTGATTCACGATTCGCATCATTATCGCCCTGATAACCGCATCGTATTCTCCTTTTCCTTGACCTTGTTTTTTTTATACCACTTACTTTACTCTAACTCTTACTTACACGACCAACTCTAAACACAACCAACGACATCAAAAAAATGGCGACTTTCTGTCCTCAATGTTGTTCACTACTTCTAGTGGACAACCTCAAGTCGAAACTGGTTTGCCAAACCTGTCCTTACCAGTTCGTGTACACGCAGAAATACTATACGAAAGTGGAGTTTTCAAATAAGCAGGTAGCGGACGTACTTGGTGGGCCAGAAGCATGGAAGGACGTCGAGAAAATGAACGCTCAGTGTCCGGCATGTATGCATGGAAAGGCGTATTTTAGGCAGATGCAAACACGGAGTGCGGATGAACCAATGACAATATTTTACAGATGTGAAAAATGCACACATTGCTGGAAAGAAGATTGACGAGGACACCGAATCACTCTTCATCTTGTCTCATTTTTACCCACTCCCACACGCACCTTTCCACCCCCGCTCTGATTTTATGCGCAACACCCTGATCATATCATCTCAATACAAGTCCATCATCTACTTCAATACATGTCCTTAAATTGGCAGCCCTTGTTCGAAGTTCCATGGATCAACAGATATGATCCAGAGGATCACGGAAACACCGAAAAGCGTCATGCATCATGGATCAACTAGATCAAATCCAACAAGATCTTCTGATGATCACTTCTAGAAGTTCGAACAAACCCAAACGGTCTGTGTCATATTTATTTTGCTTCAACATCTGCTTCCGGTTCCGCTTAAGTTCTTCTTAATCTTTTCTATATCTTCTAATGTCTTGTTTTCCAATTTTTGCTGCGCAGCTCTCCCTTTAAGCTTAAAAGATTTTATACATAGATACTAGATGCATCTCCATCTACTTTGAGGATATTGAGACACTTGTTTACTGTCTTACTCACGTGTTTCCATTTCCGATTCCGTTTTAGAGTTAAGATTAAGTTGTATTTTCAAAGAATGAAGAAAAAAGCCTCCACTTCTCCTGCATCTGCAGTCCCTAAGCAGGGCAGCAACTCGTCCACTTCCGAACAAGGAGCAACACCTTCCTCCGACAAGATGAAGGATTCCCGATTTAACTTCGGGAGCGCACGCTTCAAGACCGCTCCTCAGGATGTGAAGAAGGTGAAGATTGACAAGCGCTTCGCCAGCATGTTCCAAGACAAGAAGTTCCAAGAAAGCAGCGCCTCCAAAGTTGATCGCACTGGAAAACCTAAGAAAAGCCTACTTGAGCAGGAAGCTGACGAGAAAGCTGGAGCAATGTCTTCATCATCTAAGAAGAAGTCTGAGCACCAGAAACGCATGGAGCGGTTCTACGCATTGGAAGAGGACGATGTTGAACAAAAGGATGTTGCCGAAGATGTACAACAAACTGCCGCCACACCAGAAGATGACAAACTTTCTTCATCTTCAAAAAAGAAAACCCCGAAAGGGATGAAGGTCGAGCGTCTACTTCCAGCTGAAAGCGACGACGAGGAAGATGAAAACGACAGTGAAGATGGACAAACGACTGCTCTTGGAGGTGCTGATGACGCCGACTCTGCATCAGAAGCTGGCTCTGATGACACAGATTGGTCAGATAGCGAAGAGTCGTACAATCCAGACGATGAAGTGTGGGCTACGGCTTTGGGGGAGGATGATGTGGTATAGACTTGTCGTGGATAGAAGGAATCCATTGGTATATGGATCATTTGTGGATCAGTAGAAGGAATCCATTGTGCTATGAAATCACTCATGATGATGAAAAACTAGATGCGAAGGAACATTTTTACCCACGTTTTCTATTGTAGAACCAGAACGAGAAGCACAAGCACATCATCAACACAACACTCACATCAAATTTTCAAACCTCCTACAGGAACGCTGCGAAGAGGACACTGGTTGTCGTCTGGCTTTCCAAGCCCTTGATTGGGACACCGTTACTGCCGAAGATATCTATCTTGTTGCTGCTTCTTTCGTTGAAGATATCCGCACTAAGACAGGCAAGAGCGCAGCTGGCGACTCCGCCATTGGAAGAAAGTTGTTAGGCTTGGGGAAGAAGAACAGGAACGGCAAGGCTGGTGGTAAAGGCGATGATGGTGGTGAGGAAGGAGTCACAGCAAAAATCGTGTCGTGTAAGATTTACCGTAGTGAAGCGGGTGAGAAGGCGATGGAGTATGAGGCGATGCACGGACCGCAGGTGGAAGGATTAGAACCAGTGACCGTGGGGAAGTCGAAATCATCTTCATCCTCCTCTTCATCTTCAAAAGTAGGCAAGAAACTAGGAGGTGATGAGGCCGCTGACGGGGATGTTGTATCTTCCGATGAAGGTGATGACGAAAAAGCCAATAGTGAGGACAGTGAAGAAGCCGAAGAGCAAGGCCCAACACCCGCTCAAGAAGAAGCTATCCGAAAGTACAACTTGAAGAAATTGCAGTACTTTTTTGCCGTGCTGGAGTGTGATAGCCGAGAAACCTGTGGTCGACTCTACGAAGAACTTGACGGGCATCAGATCGACTCCCTCTGTAACGGCAGACCGCTAGACGTCCGCCAAGTCCCTGACGAGATGGCCCCAGAACTAGCTAAAAGACCTGTTGTAGACTCCTGCACAGGCCTCAGTGCGGAATACGTCGAATCCATGTCCAAGACGAACGCTCTGTCCGAAAACGCAGCGTTGTTAGCAGGTTTGTCGCATACAAAGGCTCATTGCAACTGGGACGAAGCGCCTGCTAGACGGAAGAAGGATTTGATGAAGAAATTCTCGAAGAAGGAAATGGCTTTAAACGACTTGGAAACGTATCTGGCATCATCATCTTCCGAGGATGATAGTGACGAAGAAGATGGAGTGCATTCGTCGAAGGCTTCCAAGAGTAAGACTGGTGCAACTAGGAATGAAGGCGCCGGTGACTCCTCAGACGATGACGACATTCTTGGTGGTATCAAGCGTACTGAGGCAGAAGCTAGGAATTTGGAGAAGAAGAAGAAGAGCAAGGCAGCTCTAGAAAAGAGGAAATTGCTCTTGGGCGGTTTGCTAGGTGCTGAATGCAGTGACGAAGATGAGAACGAAGATAGCGACATGGAAGCCGACGTCGACAATGAAGAATCTGATAGCGACGAACTTCTTATTCAAGATGGTAAGGCTAAGGGACGAACCAAGCCAGAAGATATGGATGTGGAAGATAGCGAGGAAGAAGAGGAAGAGGAAGATGGTCTGGAGGATGTGGGTAGTGACGACGGTGAAGAAGGTGGTATGGAGATGACATTTAACACCGAAGCCGACGCCCTCACCAAAAAGCTCACAGAAGAGGCTAAGAAGACAGGCACGATCGAGAAGAATGGTGGAAAGGTGAACGCTTGGCAAAAGTTTCAGGAGCGCAAGAAGGAGAAAGCTCGTGAAAGAAAACAAGCTGCCAAGGAGAAACTGAAGCAGACGAAAGCCCAGATGAAGGAGCAGTTGGAGAAAATCGATTTGGAGAAGAAAGGGAAGAAGAAGAGCAAGAATCACGAAGACGATGCTGCTGATGGTGAAGATGATGACCTCCAAGAAGCCGATAATTACGATCTTAGTGGCGCTGACGACAATGACGACGATTGCGATTCCGATGCAGAGCTGAGACCCAATCGCAAGGATAGAGCAAAGAAGAAGAAATCACGAACAAAAGGACAATCGTCCGCAAACGGCGATGAAGACCAAGACCCTTCTGCCAAGAGTACAACTGTTGGTGCAGTAGTGGAAGACAGTCGATTTGCCAAGATGTTCAAGAACGACGCCTTCGGTATCGATCCGACGAGACCCGAGTTCACGAACACTGATGGCATGCGCGCTGTACTGAAGGCGAAGAGGAAGGTGAAGACTTCAACAAAAGGAACTTCTGCCTCAAAGCCAGCTGCATCTGCCCAACCAGAATCTTCAGCGTCTTCTAAGAAAAGACCTGCTGAGGGTGAGGCAGCGGAAGGAGGCTTCAGAATGTTTGGGAAGAAAAAGAAGAAAGCAAAAGTCTGAATTTCGGAGATGTACACGATCCCAAATGTTGCAACTACTGTGAATTTCATTATAAGACGTTGTACCCGATGAAAATTACCTCACGCAGAACAACATGATTGCACATTGAATTGAGATATTTGCGCAAATTCTTGATGAACAAGATCCCTAGACCAGAATCATCAGTCTGCTTCCCTCAAAAAAACATGTTGCTTCAGAAGGCAACATGTTGAACCACCAGTGTCTATGAGTGAGACTTGAGATACGTGAGAGCTACTTTAGAGGGGAAACGCGCGACCCGCTTCATCTCGAGAGAAGTGCTACAGACACAGGCACAGAAAGAAGAACAGAGAGACCCTACTCCTACTAGTACAATTACAGGAGCATCCCCTACTACAACTTTTTTTTTTCAAAAGTGAACATCTAGAAACGGACATGACAATGAAATCGAAAAGGCACGTCGTCGTGGCGCTGAATCGTAGCTCTGTAGTTGCTGGTTACTTACTGTTACTTCTTTTGAAGGTCATGATCATCAATCCTCGTGCTCGTCGGTAAACGTAAAATATCAATAGGCTCCTGAGGCATTTCGGTGTAGCGTCCTCTGACGACACCATCAAAAGTATGGCGCTGAGCAGCGGTGGACGAGAGTTTCTCGATCCTTGAGTGTTACCCAAACGTGCATCTTCATCAGTGCGGCACACCAAGATGATGCTATTCTGGCAGGCGTTGACCTTGTTCCTGCTTTCGGGCGACCTTCTGCAAGCAGTGAATGGCCTGCGCTTTTCGCCTGACAATGTGAAACGTAACGCTCTATCGTCGTCGTTCCTAGGAAAAGGAAACAATGGGACCTCCATCACAAGCACAGCCCTGCAGCATGGTGTGTCGAACACGTTAAAAGGTACGAAATCCTCCTCAGCAGCGTCGACCCGTCCACCAAAGGTCCACTACCTCTTCCTAGTCTATAACCATATCAACAATCAAGAGTCGTGGCGACGCTACTTCCAAAATGAACAGGATGAAGGACGAGCAGCAGAACAGGGTGGGGAAAAAGGTGACTATGATGAATTACTTAGAATTGGTGACTTATAGTTCTCTGCTATCTTCCTTCTTTTTCTTTTTCTTCTTCTTCTTCTTCTTCTTCTTCTTCTTCTTCTTTGTGATTACTTATGATTGATTATCTACTTTGTCAACTGTTTTCTAGGTAGTTTTTTTGTAGTTTCTCATTCTCTCCATGTCCATGTCCAAGGCGAGGTGAATAGAGTGTACATAAGGGGAATGTGATCTCGAGCGTGAATGATCATCTTCTAAGTCGACAAAGTGGCCGCCGTCGAAACCGATTGGCAGGCCTACATCCACTGCAAAGATGGCTATACGTGTCAAATGCCCCCGTTCGAAGCAACGTTGATTCCATCAGTTAAGAGGACACTCAAATTGTTCAGTGAACGTACTCCCTTATTTCAGTTTATCGAATGGTCTATACAGATGATGTTCCTTGTGTCCTGCTAGGTAGTCCTTCACATCAGAAATCACCTCTTACCTCCTCTAATCCCATCGCCTCAACCTACTGTGCCGATCTGGTCTCTCCCATGATTGCCCTACTTCGAGAGGCACTGAAAAATGCGGAAAGCAGCGATCAGTTCGCCTTCTTCTCCGACTCCACACTGCCCGTGAAACCGCGTCAATACGTGCATGAGACGCTGTTGGCTTTATGGCTGGCTAGTTTTTAACAAAGTAAAAGTATTGATGTTATTGACAAGAAAATCAGAAATATAAGAAACAGTAGAGTCCTCGTGGTGATCCTCATCAAGGAAGAAGTAGTAATATTAAAGTACTTGTTAGTGCTAAAGCTAATGCCTCTATGCAGCTATTCCTATCAGCTGCTCTAATCTCCGACCCAACTCTATCCGCCTTCTGCATGTTCCCGGTTAGTGCATGGGCTCGCAGGCCTATGGCGGATCCGACACAGGGTTTTGAAGTGGCGGCGAAACATCATCAATGGGTCACACTGTCCTACGATGCAGCCACAAAACTCGTGAACACTTTCAATGTCAATGTACTACTGAGTTTTTCTTTGCTGCGATGCTGTTGGAAATGATAAATGAGTGCTTCAGTGACTTCTCTGTTTACTGACCTTTGATGCCACCAGACTGACACTACTTCACCAATGACTTACTTGCTCTACTGTAAGAAGTTAAACTTTAACTCACGACGTATGTCATTGTCGTAGACATAGTCATCTTTTCCTTATCAGGACATCCTTTACCAATCGCTACTGTCGTCGTTTAACTTGGTTGGCCGAGTGTGCATCGACGAATACTACATGTTTCATGCACTTTTCTTATGATTCTTGGCAATCGATTTTTCTCTGCTCTACCTCGAGTGCAGCTGTTCTTGAGTAAGTACTCCTCCACCGTCCAGCCATGTGGTCTACAATCTCGATATACCGATTTGCCTCTTCCAGGAGTCCTGCCTGACAACTCCACTGCTAATCTTGCTTCACCAAAGTCACTTCTCTGCTTTCAGTTTTGGGCCATGTCTTACTCTAATCTCTGAGACTCTCCAGAATGCTCCTGCTACTGACTTCGTGCAAAGAACACTGCTAGACAAGTTCGACGCACAGCAGGCGAACCGTGAGGCCTCAGGAGCTCAGGCGAGACATTTGAAAGCTGTTGGTATTGTAGTTTCTGTTTCTTCGAGTTGTAGTTTCTTAGATTTGCTCGAGGACAATCAAGTTGTACCTTCGGACATCTAGGAGATGTTATTGTTAAGTATGCCTAATATAATCTTCGATTTAGACTCGGTTTGGGACTCGCCTGCCTGATCCTGAAGTCATCTACGTCTTACCTACCGCTTGATGAGGCGCGACTACTTAGTAGGAATAGCCTTCTTGAGTTTTCCTTTTCTTGCTCCTGCCCCTACTCAGCAAACTGCGTATTTGCGTGCGCCTTCCACTGAGGCTGCTTTTGCGCCCTCCACTGGAACATGTAGTATTCGTCGAGCAGCAATGCATCAAGATGATCGGAATGACGACTTCACAACAACTCATATTAAACCTGTAGTTTACAGCACCACCTCCAATCTTCGCACAGCCATCAACCGTCAACAACCTCAACCCTCCTCACACAGACTCTCCACGACATCATGCAAGCCTTTCATATGAATCATTGGGCCTATCCACAGAACACTGGTTGTCTCGACGAATACTACCTGTTTCAGAGTGTCATAGGCATAGTGCGTGGCGTCAGTGATTTGTCTGCGTTGAAGTTTGACTCTGCATTTGGGCAGGGGGTTGTTGGTACTACTTCTTGTAACTTGTTTGTACTTCTACTTGTAACTTGTAGTTTTTGAGCTGCCATACTCATACATGAACTCTTGGTTGCACGAACTGCACTGCTTTGCCTTTGTTGTTACATCAGATCGCTGCTACACGTTGGCTTGTTGGAACGTGCCTTCGAACCCAGTGATACCAGCAATCCAACAGTACCTGCAGAACTATTTAGGGAGAAAGGTAGTTATCGTGAATACTAGATTACTAACAAGTTTTAGTTTACGTATAATTGGTATAATTATAGAATAATTTATAGAACGGATGTAGGATGGACTTGGATGGATCGGATGGACCCCCCTAAGTCTTCCGATCCTACTTGAAATGGTGGGAAGTCCATCCGTTCCATCCGATCCACCCCCTCCCGGATCTGGCACCCCTATAAATTACTCTATTATACCACGACTGGCCCAAGGTTCTCGGCTTCTTCTAAGTCAGTATGCTGGTTACCTGAAGTGGTAGCGCAAGTGACTTTTTCTCATTGACTCTCTGCTCTAACCCCCGGCCTCGTCCGCTACGACGCAGTCACAAGACCAGGAACGCTCACGCACGCGAGTATCGCAGGTCTAAAGGAGCTGAGGAAAAGCAGCTTCTTGTTTCTCCGCAAAGTGCCGGACTCTCCACAGGTGTTGGATTCTTGCGAGAGCTTCGAAAATGCGGCAATGAGGCTGTTGTATAGGTATGGCGTGGACGTCAAAGTCAATGAATGTGTTATGTTGTACTAGTAGAAGGAAAAATGGATATGGACATGTATAAGAGTTGCTGTTGCAGGCATCTCTGGCCGTTGTACTACAACAAGGCTATAATGGGTAAGTCACGACTTCAGACTTAATTAAGTACCCTTTCCACACTTCTATATGTTCCAGGGCGCGGTTGGTCTTCAGGCTCTCTCCCCCACCGAGTTCCACCACAGACCGCACCACAGGGGGGGGCGTCCGGCCCCGAATCATGTATGCTCATTAGCATAATTACCGTTCCCTCACAAGTCGCAACACCAACACCCACTACCCTTTTCCATATCTCCAGCCACGTCTTACCCGCTCTAGAGGGACCAGCACAGTCGGATTTGACGTACTTGACAGTGGATTTTCAACAAGAATACTTCGGATCGTGGACAGATGTCGCGAATGAGGATACAAGAATCAAGGCAATGGCTTTGGGAGATGGAGCTTTAGACCATCAGTCGGATGGAGGGCCTATTATGAAAGGACGATTTGTGGTCTACAACTTTTGTTGTGATTTTTGAAGAAAACAAAAATCATCATACGAATCAACATTCAAGAATTTGCCGCTTGTGGTCTATACTCTGTTGATGGTGAAATTCCGTGAAAATGTTGTCCGATATTGAATTTGCTTCAATCAAATTCAAATTGATATAAAACGTTCTTAGGTTTTCCACTCCTCCTCTAACTCCCCAACCACCTCCCCAATCGCCTCGACGGGACGCGAAATCAAGCTGGAGGCGCGCTCTTTGTCAAGCAATAGCTTTGTCTGGACCGGTCATGGCACTATTTGTGGAAGACATTTGAGCCTCCGCTTCCACGATCAGGTGCTAGACGGGGAGCTGAATGACAAAGCCGATACGATCTACTGGGCAAATGGAGCACAGTGGAGGAAAGGTAAGTCCTTGATGTACTAGTACTTTCAAAGAAAAGGATTAGATATAGTAATAGTTTTAGCAGTTACCAGGATACTTCAGGATACTTGTTGATAGTTGCCCTTTTCTCTTTTCTATCTTCCTCTGGTCTGTCTTTTTTCTAGTTAAGTCGGCCCCGCCACAATTATACTGGGTTACAGTCACTTTCATCTTCTTGGCCCACTCTCCACCAGATATGTCCGATAAGGATAGTGCGGTCGAAAAACAGGTCACAGCAATGACGCATCACGACGGTGCCTCACCTGCGGAGGCTGTGAAAAAACTGCCTGGCGCTCTTCCTATGCAGTTTGTCACGACTTCCGATGCTAAGAGGTCCATAGCAACACCGCTATCGACCTCCAAATCGAAAACGAAAACCATCGCAACTCCAGTTGTATCTTCTTTTTCGACGGTCAAGAAGAGGCAGGCGACTAGTTCCACAAGTGCTGTGGAGAAGAGGAAGAAGACGAAGACATCCTCAAGTAGTCGTGACTTCTTCTCTTACAACCTACCAGTTTCGTCGCCAGGGGTGGTCGCAAGCCCTGTCTTTCAAGCGAACTCGACTGCTTCACTGTGATGATGTCTATTGGGAGGTAGAGTACTAGGGAGCTGTGGATGTGGTGTCATATAATTATTTTTTTCCTCTCGAAATAAAACTGTTCAGTTTTGCTGCTAGAAGTTCTAGATGTAGTAGTTGTTGTGGTAGTACCTCACTCATATTATTATTTTTTCCTTCAATGTTAATGTAAAAACAAACGAAGTGGTGAAAAGACGTTTCTGCTTTTGCATTTATGATTTTTCATTCATGAACCTGGACCTACACGGGTGGCAATGTGGTGTGATATTTTTGCGACAAGAAGCTCTGTCAAGAACGAGCACACCATCACGCTTCCAGTTTTATGGTAGAAGGCGGTAGCCATTACACCAGCTAAGCTTGGTCTTCGGTCATCTATGAAAAGAAAAAGAGCAAAAAGCTGACGATGTTGCCATTAATATTAAATATAGCAAAAACGGTAAGTCCTGACTAATACCTCTACCTGAAAATCGAAACCAAATAAACAACAATTGAAAAATTCTAAGTAGGACCTACCTTTCCCTTCGTTCTTGATGAAAGAACAAAAAGATGCCCGCGTCCTCTCGCGTGACTCGCCTTCTCTTGGCCCTCTCTCCAAGCGCGGTCCAAGCAGCACTACTGGCACCATTTTTGCAGAACAACAATGTGGAGTTAAGAGACGCGAAGAGGTGGAAGGACTTCTCGACATGCCCAAGCGCAACCGAACACATCATGGATGACGATTCCAGTACCTACTGCCGCATCGCTTTAGAGTTACGGTTAGTTTATCACTATCCCATGTAAACTCACTGCGCCGACTTCTGGGGTCTCCCTTGACTTATAGTTAAACTTCTGGGGTCTCCCTTGACTTCTACATAGTTAAAAAAAGAAGAAAAATACAGAGGTGGGAGAGAGATAGGGGAACACACGCAACGTCAACCACCAGGCATAGTGCTGAAGTAGAACTAGCGTTAATAGAGGAGTGCCAATGTAGAGAGGAGGAATTGAAAGCGAAGAAACAGGAATTGTGCGGACCGTTCGTGAGGGATTTGTCGTTGGTGACGAAGGATGCGGGGACCTGTATTGGGAAAGTGCAATTGGCGACAGAGAGGAAACAAGGTACCACTAAAACTTGGTGTAAGCTCCAATGGAAACGTGTTCATCTTCGTTTATTTTTACGCAAGAGTCCTACTTGTTTTAGATAGGTGAAGGATATGATCCTTATGTTCAACTTCAAAATCAAACTCGAGCACTACTTCTTTTCTTTCGAGCACTACAACCTCAACGACCTCCCTTGCCCTTCAGACTGCGTCCGTGCCAACCAGGACGCTGAAAAGTTGCACAGAAAACAGATGGTCGAAGATGTCATGAAGGAAAGAGGCTTGTCTCTTGTATCGGAAGATGGTGTAGTAGCTGGTGAAGTTGGGATCAACAAAGTAAATGGTATTGAAACGGATGCCACAGAGTTTGAAGGCCTCTGCATAGACGTGGACTTTGAAGAGCGATGCGGACTTGCTAGAGGAGAAAGCGAGACGAGCGAGAAAACGTTATGTTCAAGTCTTCGATGAGAACTAGAAGAAGAAGAACGAGCAAAACTCATAGATTCGATTTTTATTTCATGAACCCTCTTTCTTCACCCTCTGCTAACCCTGGCTCTGCATTCTCCTCATGTTTTCCCCTCACCCTCCTCTAACCTTCGACATGTACAAAGCTTTGTGCACACCAGGACACTGCGGACGACGGATTGGCTTTCTATTCAAGGAGATCGAGCGAATCGAGAGTGCCTTAGAGCTCTATCGAATCGTAGACGAATCGGCAATGAAATATGGGACTTGCTAGACGAGACTGAAGCGAATTACCATTACTAGAAAGAGGACACGTGGGGTGGAAGGCTGAACATCACTTAGAACCACACGACTGATGTTTTCCAACAATAATCTGCGTCATGGACAACAGCAGTTGATGTGAATTGTTTTTTCCGAAAATCTTTCTTTATTTCTCGAGAGAAAATGTAGTAAAATCAGTAAATCATCCCTACTCTCAGACTCAGAGACGCAGCTCGCGACGACCGACACTTCTCGTACTAGCACAAAAGGCGAAAGAAATTGAAATGGCGAAGACAGTCTTTATTCTTTTGATACCAAGCCTCATGATAATTTAAATTTAGATCAGGTCGGTGCACTAGTAGCGCCAAAATTAGTAATATTGGAATCAGGATATGGACGATTACGATTAGGATTAGGATCGTGAAAAATGTAGTGCAACACCAACATCAACAAGTAAGAGTATAATTGTCAAAAAGATGTTAAAGTTACCTCCCGGCTCCTGGTCCGTTCTCTTGCTGCATCTAGTGGGCTTTGTGGCCCTGCACCAAGTGGAACGGAGCCTATTTGTGCCATTTTTGCGCAGTCATGTTGTCTGTGATCCCCATGAACCACAGCTCGTAAAACATCAAGATGGACATGATCAGCGAGCAAATCCGAATGCAAATGTTGCACGAGTAGAAGATAAAACTTTCTCTTCTCCAGAAGCAGGCGTCGTGGGAGCCGGGGGCGTTCTTAAGGAGGATGGTGGCCGCAAGGACAAAGGCAGCGACGGAGAGGTTGTAGTACATCCCGAGAAAACCGACGCAGCTGGAAACACATTAGAAATCGAAGACTTCGATGATGATGTTGATGTTGATCATGGAGGTCGTGGTAAGATTCTGCTGCAGTTATCATCTTCGACTACAGGCACAAGCGGTAGAGCAAGTGGTGGTAGTGAGAATACTTCTGGCAGTAGTGCAACGGAAACAAAAGGAATAGATGCGATTGTAAGCCAGCTGAGCGAAAATCCAAGATCAGAAGGAGAAGGTAAAGCTAAAGAGGAGTTTACCGGCAGTTACTACTGCAACAAAAAACACGTGGTGATAGAGACTGCACAACAGAGAGCTGGCACATTAGACTTCGTACGCATCCTGGCTCACGCAGTAGCCCTTCCTGTCTTTGGTGCGGTGGGAGACTTGTACGGCCGCAAATATATCACTCACGTAGCTTCACTGGTATGAAGTAGCGTATAAAAGTAGTGTATAATACTCACATGATCACTCAAGAAAAACAAAAGTAGGAAACTGCTTCCTACGTTGAAGAAGAACGTTTTTCTTGAGGATGTTGTGACATACTACTTTTTCCTGTCATAACTCGGGTTGATCGTCTACTTCGCATTGCTGACATCCGCTGCTTGGTTATCAGTTTCGCTTCCTGGGGGCGGCGGCTCTTCACTTGATCAAGTTTTTGGTAGTACTACTAGCACAGTAGCAGTAGCAGGCAGCTCATCCTCAACCACATCTTCATTAAGGCTACCGCTCAAGCATCCTCCGCACAGCATCATTATTTTCTTTGGCCCTTTGAATACATATTCGAAAACTCAAAATAAGCGAGCTACTGACTGAAGTAAGAGAGTCTTGACGTACATTCCTCTTCTTTCAGTATCTCCCTTATTTTCAACAGTTTCAGTTACTGGGTTATGTCAGTTTTTCGAATACTTGAAAATAGACGGAGGACCAAGGTGAGGCACAACTCGGGGATGCTAACGCGGTAGCGCTAACTTCAACAAACATCACTGGTGCAAACAACGTCGATGTTCCTCCTTCTTTCTTCCTCGTGAACGCGATCGTTTTCGTTGCCTGTTTTCTGCACGGTTGTCTCGCGTACTTGACCCTGGCCTTTGCAGTACACAACATCTTGATGGACTTGTCTGGCAGCGACATCACCAATCAGGTGATCCTCTCGACATCCTTCGACATTACAGGGAACATCTGTATCACCGGATCCCAGGTTTTAGTGGGGAAAGTACTTCTGCTTCCATTAAGGCCTACCGTAATTCATCTTAAGAGGCATCTTTCTTGGTCTTTCTTGGATACGTTGGTTTTCAAGGGTCGTAGAAAACGTTAAAGACAGAGATTTTGACTCTCAAGATGAATTTGAGTATAAAAAGTTCTAATTCTAGGTCAGATGCCTGATTTTCCAAAGTTGTGGTTTGTCTGCACGTGCATAGCTTGTTTCGTTTTCTTGTGGCAAAGATACGGACTACCAGAAACACATCCGACACTAAGTAAAAGAGAAGATCTTCATGTTCATGGAGTAGAGCAGCACAACTCTTCTACTACCTCTACTGCTGGGACGAGCAGGAGAAAAGGGAGAAGTGCAGACCATCAACATCAGCAAGTAAAAGACTTTTATCATTCGACGAGTGGCAGCGCTATGGGTGATTTTGATTATGGAAAAAGTTAGTTTTCGTGCGGTTTCAAATTCGCATTCACGTAGTTGTAGTACAGTTTATAGATTAATTATTAATATGAATTTTCATCGTTAGCTGTAGCTTTCATTCTCGTCATTGGAAATGACTCCATTAAGTTGCTTCATCCGCTCTATCAACTCAAATGATACCTCTAGTGTTCCCTGCTTTCATACAAGGGGACGCGGCGTTCCATCTCCAGATGGGAAAGCATTGCTACCTGGCGCTCAGTCGAATATAGTAGGGAAAAAGACGATCCTGGGACTCCTCTTTTCAATTTATGGAAAGAGAGTAGGTGATGTTGACCTTGAGGTCGAAACTCCCATTCATTAGCTCCAATACATGAGTTTGAGTAGGTTAGCCATGATAAAATAGACACTCTCTTAGTCTTAGTCCGGACACTTTTTCTGGTGCGTGCTTTGTCCACACGGAGTCGAAGAACTACGTGCCTCTTTCCCTCATCTTCATACTCCCCTAGTCCGCAACACCTTCCGTATGAATCCCTCGTCTCCACCTGCGTTCATACTCCCTTAGTCCGCACTTTTCGCATAAACGCTTTTCTGTGGCGCACGAGTGGGTTCCTGAGGATATGGTGTGTGCAGATTCTTTTCTACTACCTCTCAGGTGCTATCGATGAGGTGATGGCGTCTTACACCATTTCAGTTTGGGATTGGACTCCTGGTGCGTACGAAAGGCTGTGGAGTAAACTTTAAGGTTTCCCCTAATCTTCCATGTTCGGAAGCATTCTCTCCCAATACGTTTCTTTTCGAGACGAGGAAAACAAAACGGTCCCAGGATAGGCTTCGGGATGGATTAGGGTGAGCGCTAAGAAATAGGTTGGCTGCACGTTGCGGCCATGTGCATGCTACCCTTGGTTCTGAGGTATTTGGAACATGGAGATAGTACTAAGAATGCGACTTCTTCACTTCCGTCGACAAGAGAGGAACATCAACACCAACATATTCCTCCGCGTAGCCGTAACCAAGAAGGAGCGTCTCTTCCATCAAGCAGTCCCATTACTAGTCCTACAAGGCATCCTTCTTCATCTGCAGTAATAAATGGAGGTGGAGCTTCATCGGCTTGTGCGAACCTCATCAATAGTTGTAGTCCTATTGCTAGTCTGGAGAGAGATCTTCAGGGTGTTGGCGGTTCGGTTGGAAACGACGAAAACGCTGGTTTTCACCTGCGTCACCCTTCGCCCCCAGCTAGTTCAGAGGAAGAACTTTTGGTTGACAAGATGAATTTATGGCTACCGCTGACGCATGCTCAACGCCACCTCTGGCTTCTTTTTCAAGGGGGAAAAGGGCTCAGGAATCAAGGGCTTAATATAAGGATGCGACGTGGTAGCTCTAATGAATACTAGAACAGATCATGCTTCGTCCTCTTCCACCACAACGTTGCCAAAGCTGCATGCGCACAACCTAGACATCCACAACAACCTAGACATCCACGGGCGAACCAGTGGCGTTCTCATCTTCGCTACACTAGTCAATAGCTTCTTCATGACGGTCTACACGATATTTGCGCCGTACGACTCGGATACCTACATCTTGTGCTCAGCGCTGAAAGCCTTCCTAGCGTGGCAAGCAAGCATCCGCTTCGCGTTTATCACTGCGAGGATACCTCCGGAATATCGCGCTAGTGGAATCGGCATGATCGCCACGATCAAGAACGTGGCAACCGCAGTCGGCGCTTGGTATTTCTCGAATGTGTTGTTTGACTCTCGAGTACCCAAACACACGTGGGCAGCGGGCTTGATGTTTCGCGTTGCCTTGTATTTCATGATCATCTCAGACGTGTTTTATATATACGCCCTATTGAAGTATCGGAAGCCTGAGGATGCATTGAGGATTGATGACGTTGAAGGTGGGACGAGCAGCACCAAGAGCCGCCTCGTCCCATGGTGTTGTCGCTGCGTGTCTACACTCTGTCAGTCCATGTCGTCAACATTTACGGACTTTTTCTTTGAAATTTTCTGGGACACAGGAGGTTCCCCTTGTTCTAGGATATCAAATATTAAGGGAGGTAGTTGTAGGTCCAAGACGCCAAAGTCGACCAGGAGGGCGGAAACTGTTAGTAGTTTTATCGAACATGATGAAAGGCAAGATGACTTTAATAATTCATTTCACAATGACCAGCAACATCTGAGCCCTGAACGGGAAAGCAATTTTTCCAATTACCAAGTAGAACATGAACTACAATCTTCCAGATATACAACAAGGTCACCATCAACAGGTGATTCAATTTTTGCAAGAATACTGTCAAGATTGTCATGGGGAAGGACACCAAAATCGCCCACTGCAAGAGACTTCACGCAAGTACACAGCCATATGCTTTAATCTATTGAACAGGTAGATTAAACTTGCACGAATATTACCGTGTGCAAGTCGTGTAAGATAAGTGGATAAAAATCATGATAGATATTTTTGCCCGGCACGTGCTCGTGCTGGAGGAGATCAGCGTGGTCCTCCGTGGAATGGGAACAAATGCTTCAAGCGATGAGTCATTCTTGACTGTTCCAGTTACAGTTATCTGTTTTCATTTGATCATTCTCACGGAATGAAATGAGAATGACCGCGATCTGTATCATCTCATGTCCATCTGTCTGTGTCTCCTGCTAGCGCTAGGGCCACTAGAACTCCCTAGAAGGACCTGCTTGTTGTGACAAACATTGCATCACCCATCATCCAGGGATATAGGACCATGCGCCATCACTTCGGTTGCGTGAAACAAAGCAGGATCGGCACGATTAGGGTAAAAAACGGTCCCCCGGAACGCAAACGGGTGGACCCATTACTTGTTCTGATTGTTCTATCTACTTAACACGAGCATGATTAATTTTGCTTTTCCTCCCACGTCCCATTTCCCAACACATCACAACTAGACATAGAAACCTGCAGTTTTTCTTTTTGCGACTTCATTCTACAGCGAACTAGAATCATGCAAACAATTTTCATTCGAACATTTTTTCGACTAGAAAAAAATGCCTTAACTCCATCCACGCCTCTTTTAAACAACGACAACGAGTATTTACTTCGAAGAAGTAGTTTGTGGATAGTCTTCCTCCGCCCAGCAATAGACTTTCTTTTTTTTCGCCATGCAAGAGATGCTCCTAAAACAAGATTCTCCACCACAAGAGAAACAAGATCTTCTCCCCACGACCAATACTACCACCAAGATGTTGCTCCATCAACGTCGTGGACTAGACAATAGTCCTGGTCCCATCTCTTCAGGGCCAAGGACTGCCAGCAGCGGAGATGACCATTCCGCAAGATTAGCACTTCCAAGTAAGCCTCTGAGACCGATGGCCCCAGTCGAACGATCCATGTTGGATGGCAACTCTATGCCACCAAATTTGGGTATTCCGAAATTTTCCTTCACGCCAAATGCAATCCTGTTGTTGGATGACAAGGACTTCGAAGATGGAGCACAAGTGGGGGATTTGAAGTTAAGACGATGCATGTAGATGTAGAAGTAGATTCCACACTTAAGTACAAAGTACATCCCACACTTATGTAGACGTAGATCTACAAACTCACACAGTGAATATTTATATATATAAGTACAAACTGAAACTACTGTTCGTGAAGTAGTTCAACACCTTGATAAGTAGGGGTGAGAGCCTAGCCCTAGCCCTATGTATATAAAGAGATTTCATTTTCTAATCGAAGAAGAGCTCCGCGATTTCCTCTGGGAGCGCTTTGCCAAACCTCATGCTCGCTTGAGATCAGTGGGCAATACCAAAACAAGCAAATGGGAAAACACAGCAACTTCAATTAAGGCTCAACTTTCAATGGTCATTGGGGTTGGTCACTGAGATCGAAGAGGCGACCCCTTGAGACAACAGGGGAAAACGAAGGGAAAGAAGGGGGTCTCTTCCGTTCAGCATCAGTGACCATTGAATGCTGAGCTTTAATTCAAAGGATGACCTAGACTGGGATTATCACTTGAGACAAGTCCATGTAGATGGTCAGGAAGGACCGTTTCTTGGAGGTGATGGCCCTACTGGCTCGAGTTCGGCTAAGAAGGATGGGGATTATGGGAGTCCGGTATTGAATTGAAAGCTAGACGTTCTTACAGTGCTTGACATTCACTTTCACATTCATGTGATGATCATTAAGAATCCTAATTAGGTTTTAGACAACACCTCGTGCTAGGTAAATGAATGAACGAACTCAAGAAATCACTCAGGAACAGTGGATGCATTTTTGCTGTCCACTTGGCTCTGGATTCATGACATCCCAGGTATCTCTCCATCCAGCCCTCGAGAAAAAAATTTTCGGCGAACTCGACTACGAGGAAATGGACGTAAGTAAACCACTGTGGAAAGCGTACCTGGTTCGACTCGGCGGACGCGTGACTACTTCGGATGATAGTATGGCTTGGCAAGAAACAACAAAAATGGGGTGAAATTTACTCAATTTCGAAAGTAGGTGGACTCCTGTACCTGGTGCTTCAGGCAGCTGTAGGAAAACTCGCACCTAATCTACTTCATGTTACGTTGATAAAGCACTTTTGACGCTCTAACACCCGGCGCGTCGTTCGCAGCTGTCTCCTGGTTCGCGTCCATCACGCGGTTTGTGACGGCATCAGCGGGATGAGAATAGCCGATTACTTCTTAAACGACTTGAATGAGCCTGCAGACGTTCTTGGCCAGTCAATGAAGAAGTTCAAGAAGAACAATAATTCTTCCAACAGTGCAACTTTCTTCACATCTTGGTACCATTAAGGCGCCTTCAGGTAATCCATCTTCAAAAGCATCATTTTGGGACCTCGCTGCCTCATCTAAATTTACGAGAATTTATTCCCTGGCCTAGGATGACCCTGAAGATGGATCATTCCGGAAACAAGGTCTAATACCGAAACGCCAACAATCCTCTTGTCAGGGTCCTCTGCATGCCGCTGATGCTCATACTGCAATTGCTTTTTTCCATTTTTCGGATCCCGTTGATGCTGTTCGACATAGTGAGCTCTTTCTTCGCCTTCCTCTACATGGGTGCGCGGCCACGATGCACCTTTTGCTCCTTTTACAAGTGCACCAAGTTATGGACGATCAATTAGATGATAGATCGAGTTCAAAGCCAGAATATCTGATGAAGCCTCGAGTTTATCTTCATGATCATTCCAATGACTGCTATTCAAACTACAGACCAATACCTGCTGGTAATTCTAGTGCTCGCTCTTCTGATCAAATATACAACGATCAACATCAAATCAGTTTCCCCATTACAGCTCTTCATTCCCTTCCGCCAACGGCAACATCAAAGAGGAGATGTGTAGCTGGGGTCCTCGTAAGGTCGTTATTTTCCCTGTGCTGCCATTTGAAGTCGTCCGAGCACTGAAGAACAACCTCAACGTCACAGTCAATGACGTACTCACTTCTGCTTTTGCAGCCGCCATCGGTCGCTACTGTGCAGAAGCGTGCAAGGATGCGACGTTTACCGGGGATAAACGAAAACTAAGAGTAGGTTGAAGCTGTTTCCGTTACGGTCTCTTTTGCCTCTTCTAAGGGAGAAAGGCCGAACGAACGGGAAACAGAAACACCAGAAGCCTACCTCTAAGAAAAAGCGCAGCATTACGAGCACTGACGCCTATGGCCTTGACTAGTGGCGTAAAAGGAGCATCTTCGGAGGATCAGTTGACGAACGCCTTTACGTTCCTGTCGACACCTTTGGCAGTGCACTTGACTGAACCTATAGCGAGACTCGAGTATACGAAAAAGACGATGGATGCTTTCAAGTTATGGTCACGTGAAGACAAACACAAACATGAATAGTAAGGAGTACTACTACTATTCTGATGATAGACTCGTTGTGAAATCTTCTTACATGGAAGTTGTGGAACATTCTCCCACTGTGTCCATTTCCTTACTTCTCTAAGAAAGAAATCCTTCATCGGTCCTCTAGCGTTGTCGCTGACACAAGCCACGGGGAAACTATTGCCGCAAAAATTTCTCGCGAACACGGTTTCAGATATCTTCGAGCGTAACTGTGTCGTCCTGTCGAACGTTCCAGGATATGTCGTGGCGGGAAGTGACAATGCGGCTGTTGGTGGAGGACAGACGGTAGTTTATATTAACACCCCTAGCTAGGCACATACATACTTACATACAGACATACATACCTACATACTGTCTTCTTTTATTGAGTTTATTAACACCTCTAGCTAGGCACATACATATTTACATACAGACATACGTACATGGTCCACACATATTAGACTCATACAATAAGTCTTATTTGTATTTCTCTCCACAGGCTCTTCATCACTTAAATTGTATTTCTCTCCACACAGGCTCTTCGTTCTCGCTCACTATGATTTTGTTGTCTGTAGAAGTGAGTACCGATTCATCTACAAGAGTACTGTCCTCACTCGAGGACCTGTGACGCACATCTCAATCTCTCAACACCTCGTCCAGGTCTTCCCTCAAGAGGATTTCATTCGAGCAGCGAACGACGGCAACGACTCACCCTATCGATCTCTCAAAGTTGGCAACAAGCGCGTGCGCGGACTCTACCTCTACTACTACAACTGCCAGCCGCAAGTGATCTTGACGAGCTACCAGGACAAGATATTCTTTTATGGGTCAAGTAGATTTGAATTGTGTTTGTGCTGCCCTTAGAAGTTTCCTTGATTTATCTACTACGAAAGATACAACTAGTTGTATACTTAAATCTACTACTAGTCGCAGTCTTCTCTAATCCCTCACCCTCGTCTCCGACCCAGCGAAGATCGAGGACGAAGATGCCATCATCAGGTTCTACTGCGAAGAGCTCTACCTTCTTGCCGAACATTGCGTGAAAATGAGGGGTTGTGGTGACGATAACGACGCAAAGATCCTGAAACGATTCTTGGAGCAACAGCCGTTGCCTAGAGCATTAGGCTGAGGGAAAGGCTAATCTGACAGGCGCGACTTCCCAACATATCATCAATCTTCCAAATTTTCCAGCAAGAACAGATCTCAAATGTATCAAATTTTTGACTTTTTTGAAACACACAGCACTGCTGCTCTCAAACTCATACTCAACATAAAAATGAATCTTCATCTTGTAATATCGATGGATAACATCAACGAGAGCATGAGAGTACCAGTACCTCGATAGATTGATAAACAACAACATGAACATGGGAATAGAAGTATAATATTTTTTGGATGTAATTGCGATTGGTTTAGCTGGACGCGGACGCTCACGCTTTCATGTTCTTTCTCTTTCATTACTTCTTCTCTCTCACTACGGCAGCATAATGTCGGGGCAGTCAATGCACAGGTTGTGTCAATAGATATCCAACATTTATTGTCATACTTTTGATGAATCTCGATCGACCCAGAGTGGCGTTAGAAGCGGGAAAGGATACTACCGTGACATGATAATCACGCACATGGTACCTTGGAAACCTGATCCAAGTGTGGCTCTTTGGAGTTGGGGCAGCGACGATCTCGAGTGCTGTTATCGGTTTATACTACTAGCACTCGCAACAATTCCTCATACTCATAGCTCTCGAATCGAAAATAATCGTATGTGCACAGAATCAGATGAAGAACGTAAAATTAGTCGGTGACAAATGTAATATGAGTTTCCAAATATTAGAAGTCGATGGCGGATGAAGACTCTACTCGGATACCTTTGAATAACGAAGAAGAGTGGTGCTGCGGTAGCGGTACTGAGAAGTGTCGAGCAGAAGTAATCGGTGGAAAAAACTCATGTCCTCGTGTTCAGCTGGTCTGTCGACGTTGTTCCCTTCCCATTTTCCTCCCCGTAAAACCCCGAAAAGAAAGTGTCTCTCACTTGGTGCATGTTGTGTCCTCTCTGGATGATTAGCACCAAATCGGTGATCTGCCTTACGTCCTTGAGCTCTCTTCAATCAGATTAAACGCTACTTTATGGGCATCATCAAGCCACAGGTAGAGAAGCGGCTTCGCGTAGATGACCATGATGAAGATGATAGACAGACAATAACAATATGATACTAAATATCTATTTTGTTTTGACTAAGAAGGCAAACGCAAGAAAGAGCCTTCGCTGAAGAAGCAACCGGAGGACGACTCGACGACGACTAGTCTGCCAGGTGGAAACCACGCCCCATCATGGCGCTCTCACGCCGTCCATCCCTCCTAGAAGCTCTTGGCGGCGAAGAAGTTGTCCCATCCAATCCACAACCGCCAAGGGATGGACAGAAATTCCCCGACACAGCAGCATGGACTTTCACCAACAACAAGAGGCCTGGGCCAGGAGGAAGCAGGATGCAATTTCTTAAGGCTCATCCTACTTATCCATCTTCGGAAGCATTTGAAAGTTTGTTTGTAAATGTGACTGTTTTGTGGTTCTCTTTAGAGACGATCTCAACTTAGTCTAAGATTCTCTTAACGGGCAAACGGTCTCAACATGCATTTCAAGATGGATAAGGGTAAGCTCTAAATTTCCTCCAGGTGGTGGAGCTGGTCGTGCTGGAGGTGGAGGAGCTTTAGACTCTTCAATGTCACTGCTTACGCAATCATCAGTAACTGGAGGTGGACATGGGCCGGGATCAAGTTTGAACAGCTCAATCATATCGGTACCAGGAGGTGATTTAGCAAGTATGACTTTGACTGGTGCTGGTGGATCGACAAATAATAATTCTACGAGACGTCGAAGTAGTGGTAGTTTAGCAGGTGCTACTAGTGGAAATCCGATGAATGTACATCAACAGCAGGCTCAGTCGATGCAGCCGCACGCCTCTATCTTAGTGAACACGACCGCTGGTGGGAGCCAATCTTCTACTAGTAAGACGGTCACAATCGCTGAGGGACATGCTGAGGACATGCAAAAAATGGGCATCAAGGCTTCAGTCTCAACCAGTTTAAAACAAGGTGGATTTCTAGTACAACAACCGCAACAACAACCTCAAGATGCAAACTCAGCGAATTCTACGAAGTATAGCGAAGGTTTTCTTTTCACTCCACACGACCAAGACCTGGAAAGATATGTGGGAGCACCTGGGAGAGAGCCGATGCAGGTGAGATTCGATCGACTTGAGTAGTTGTTTGAATTCTAGACTAGTAAATACTCGAACAAAACTAACTAGAAATATTAAGATTGAAAACCGAGTAACAAAAACACTAGCCGAGAAGTATTTGCGATTATTATCTCGGCTGCTCGGTCATTTCAGTTCTTTATCGAATTATACCGTCGTCGATGATGTACTTATATATATACTTGAGTGTCACAACTAGTAACAACATTCGTTGTTGGTGATGTGAACTTCATCTCCCACCACCTCTCCAGGTACCTCAAGCCTTCCAGGACGTCCCAACAAGCGCGTCTAGACCGTTTAGAAGGGGCTCTGCTCAAATTCACCGCGACATGGAGGCAGAACAGGCAGAGCAAGCCGACGCAGCAAAGATGCTCACTGAGCACTCCATTCTTCTATTAAGGCTCGTCTTGGGTCGTCTCGTCTTGGGTCATATGCTTCTTCTTGTTGTAGCTTGATGTTGTAGTTCACCTGGTGCTTTTTCTTCAGAGACGGACTACGTCTTTGCTTGCCGTCTAATTCTGCCACGTCTTAATTCGAAAAAGAGTGCAGAAAACAGTGTGCCCGGCCTCGCGCAGCCTAGTCACGGAGGTAACCTCCATGGAAGAAGTAGTAACAATGGAGGTAACATCAATGGAGGAGTCACGACCAGCAGCTCTTTTACGGTAGGTGGTTCGCGACCATCTGAGCTATACGGATTCGCGAACACGTCTGAGCAGTTGCAGGAGACGGCAGTGTTTCGGAGTTCGGCGCGAAGTTCAGCGACCTCAGTGGACCAGAACAGTCATACGTTTTTTAGTGGAGGAGGCAATTATTTTGGGACGACTGCTGGTTATGAAGATTATGAAAAAGAATATTATCATCAACATCTTCGTACTCCAGAACGAACCCGTTGTTCATCAACAGAACAGATGAATATGTATGATCATCCACCTAATATTATCGAAAGAGACACGAACACGTCTACGTCTACGTCTACTTCTTTTGCCACATGACTTCTTCTAATTTCCCTCCTCCGCATCCTCCTACTCACCACCGGAAATTGCTTCGAGTCGTGCAGCAAGTGGTCTTGATTTTGGCGAAGTAGGTATGAAATTGCAGGAAGCGGTGTTGAGAGTGGTGGTGGATGGGCTTTTGCACATGAAAAATATGCAGCACGTGGAGTTCGTGGATTGGGTTCGTTAAATTAGAAGTAACTAGCTACCACATTTTATCTAAGTACCTTTACCATCGATCAGCAAATTAGAAGTAACTACTTACTTACCACATCGAGTTCGTGGATTGGGTATCTTAGGTGCGGTTCGTTAAATTAGAAGTAACTACTTACTTACCACATCGAGTTCGTGGATTGGGTATCTTAGGTGCGGTTCGTTAAATTAGAAGTAACTAGCTACCACATTTTATCGAAGTACCTTTACCATCGATCAGCAAATTAGAAGTAACTACTTACTTACCACATTCTATCTACCTTTTCCTTTAGTACCACGACTACCACATTGTTCTATCTACCTTTAGACCATCAGCAACATCACAACTAGTACATCTTCTCTGCCTTTCTTCCCAAGATCAAGATTTTCGTGAATTATGCCCTATCATCACCAGGTAAAAGGAACGACCGCCACCCACACACGCTACATACTGCGTGAGATGGTGGAGATACCAGTTAGACAGATCATGGAGCAAATGGGAAGGGAAGCGGCCAGAAACGCAAAAACAGAGAACAAAGACTTGAGGCAAGCCGAAGCGGAAGAAGTATTCTAACATTTATTTTTTAGAAGCGAGCAAGTAGTAGTAGAGGTTGATTATTCTCATTTTCTTGTTGGAGTTAGTTCTGAAATAATCCTTGGATGCACTCGACCCGCTCGGTCGTATTAGAGATAGATGTCCCTCGACATTAGTCTCTCACACTCTGACAGATCTAACCATCTAGGTTTACTGGTTCTATCCTCCTCCGGCATAGAACACTCAAGACGCCGAATCTAGTGCACTAGCACTTACCCATGTTCTAGGCATAGCCTTATAGAAATAATAGCTCAATCCCTTGAAACTAAAAGTTGGTTGTGAGGAAATGATATGATGAAGGTCAAATCCTCAATCGGAGGTCCATTTTGCCAAGTGTTCAAGTCTCATTTGCCGTCGGTCCGAACGACCTCCTTTTTCCCTCGTGTCGACATGATATCTAAACAATTTGCGAAACGACTGTCATTTACTCATTTTGTCATACAACAGCTCTCATACTCATTCTTGATCTTGAAACTTTTTCTTGTTGCATGCATGCTACAATTTTTGAACTGTATTTTCAGTCGAAGGAATTCGACTTGCAAGAAAGTCAAAACTTCAATCTAGGAGAGGTGGAGACATGCACTGATAAAAACGAGGATCATAACTACAAATCTCAACCTCAGGCCGCTCGCACTTTCGCTTCCCTCCGCAGCTACCTACTCGACATATCCCATCTGAAGAACATCACGCGATCTGCTCATCCCAACGCTGATGAAATCAATGCGAATGCTCTCAAGAGTTGTGAGGATGTTCAGTTTTTTGAACCTTTGAGACATCTGCCGGACTCAGCACAAGAGTTGTGTAGGGAAATTGTCAGGGAGAAAGTCATGGGAGTAGCAACGAAATTGACGGAGCAGTACTGAGATTCTTGTACTGGTGATTGTTCCGCTCAGCACTTGGTGCTACCATACACTTAATTCATAGTGGAAAAAATCTAAAGTAGTTAGAGATTCACGACTTGCACTTCTTAGATGAAATGAAAAAAATTAAAATTCAACATCATCATCAGGTACAGCGAAAAACTCCGCACTCTCGAAGACAAGCTCTCTGCTGCTCGGAACAACCTAAACATGCTTTCTGTGAGTCAAACTGGCAGCGTTGTTAAGGCTACCGCTCAAGCGTACATCTCCCTGAGCGTCGTCATTGATTCATCTCGGTACTACTTTAATACTTGAAAAAGGGGCCAACACCAAGTAGGACGCACTCAGGGACGATGCTTCTAGTTGTGCGGTAGCTCTAATCTTGATGGGGTAGGTGCTTTCGGTCAGATTGCTGGAATGGGGGCGCAGGCTCTGATAGATGGATACGAAGCGAGGATAGAAGTCCTCGAGTTGGAGTTGAACGAGAAGCAAGAGGCCTGGGCAGCGCGGGAACAAGATCTCCTGGAGGAAATGAAACAAGTGGGAGCAAATGGAAATGACCAAGCTAGAGCTGAGGTGGAGGCATTGCTTATGGTCGTTTATTTGGTGGATTTATTTTTTATACATAGTTATAGGATACTCCTCCTGGACCGACGAGTGGGAGTGGGTAGTACATTCATTCAGAATCGTATTCGTATTTGAATTTGTTGTCTATTGAATTTAACGCGGCTAAGATTTCAGCAACTTTTCTCCTCATCCCCCCATCCTCCCCAACCATCCCCTTTCATCTCCCAAAATCGCATTTCCGTTTTCGAGACGCAGATTCAGGCGAACAGGGATGAGAACAAACAGCTTTTGGGCAAACTCGATTACATGGAGGCGGAGCTGGATGAGAATAGAGCATTGTTGGCTTCCAAAGACCAAGAAATCGCTAGTGAGAAAGCGAAGGTGATAGAGAAAGAACGGGAGAAAGAATCCCTGCAAGCTGAATTGGAGAAGGGAAAGAAAGAAAAGAGCAAGAAAGAACTGGAGAGAGAGGTGAAGGAGACGGAGGTAGTACGTCGGAGTTTCGTTATAATTGTGATTTGTTTTGTGTAAATCATTTAAATATTTATATCTACTCACAAATAAAATCTGTCACCACATCATCCGCGACCACAGGTTTACCAATCCCTTCTGACCCATCCCCTGTGAACACAGGTCTATCAAAACCTTCTTCGTGACTACGATGCTCTCGAAGACGGCCAGAGGCGACTTAAGGAAAGCGTCGACGCATTACGTGAAACCGATAAGGAAATGCGCGGTTTGACCGCTAAACAGGAGATCGACTTTATGAAAAGAAAATCTGTTATCATTATCAAGTTTCTTAAGTAGAAAAGTATGATAATGATAACATATTTTGGTTTCATAGACTTGGAAAAACAGCGCAAGCAGATTCAGTGGATGCGATTACAGCTAGACGACAGAGAAAAGGGAAAACAAGAGCTCGTCTCCAAGGTGGAAGAGCTACAGAGAGAAGTCAGGTGCTTGAAGAATGGACGATCTGCAGGAGATGATCCTAGTGCTACAGAGGAAAATTTTTCGGGAGAAAGTGGTACTGGAAGTGGAGCATCGTCCTCGTCGAACAACCTGTACGACATCGAGTATGACAAGGAGTTGGAGGCTGAATTGCACATCTGCAAGACCACAGATATGCAGAGGAGACGACAGCGCGAACTGATCGGAGCACTGCAGGGCCAGAGGAAGGACGTCCAGATTTTGCGAGATGCTCTGGATCAAGTCCATATACGATTAAGGCTCAGAGTGATTCATTTTTTTCCACGGGTCATCTTGCTTCTTCTGTTTGTTCCTTCTTCGGATCATTCTGAAGAAATAGACAAATGAAACAACGATGAAATGAACAACAAAGATCATATGTTCTTTTGAGTTCTAATACGATTAGACGAAAGGGAAAGGAAAATGCTTCACATGAAGGACGCGAAGACTAGGTACAAGGAAATCCTTCGCAGTATATGGCGTGATGAGCATTTCTATTTGATGAGGCGGCGCAGTATTGCGAGTACTAGCGCCGGAAAACAAGGTAGTGCTAGTGCGGGTGAGGGGACAACTGCTGGGGGAACAACTATTGCTGGAGGAGCAACATCCTCTAGCTCGTCATCTAGTAGCAACATAGCGAAAGAGAAAGGAACTGGTGCTTCTAGTAAAAATGGTGCTTCTTCTAATGCGAAAGTTAGTTCTGCTGCATCTGGAACAGCGCCATCTTCATCAACAACAACTGACTATTTACAACTGAATGATGTTGAATTTTCGGACTCCGAAAATGAGCTCAACGATGACGACCTAGACCAAACTCCTGCTTTGCAGGATGCGAAGAAATTGTTGGAGATGAAGCAGAGGATTGCTAGGAAGAACAGCAGCTGCGCTGTAAAAGGAGTAAGAATTATGGAAGGCACGAAGGCACCTACTTCTTCGCCAATTAAACAACCCAGTACAACAACAACAGCAACAACTCGAACTCTAGAGCTAAGCTCCAGCTCTGACTTCCCACGCTACAGTGACGGCGCAGTTTTTTCGAGACTGTACACCGACTTCGTCACGCGACTAGACAGCATGCGAGAATATCGAGATGCTGTGTGCACTGCTAGAGAAGGTGTCATGTTGAAGATCTACGAAGCGCAGAAACGCATTGTTGATTTCTTAGAACCTCATGGGCGATTGTCAACACTGTCGGATAGGACATCTACAGCTGCTTACGCAGAATCTCAATATGCAGGCTTCGGAGATAGGGGGACCTTTGGAGGTGGCAGTGCTGGTGGACTGTTGAACACGACAAAAGGCGGCATCGGTGGAGGACGAAACAGTCAGACTGGAGTTGGCGGGACTGAATCTTAAGGCTCGACTTACAGGTCATTTCTGCGTACTTACAAGCAATTTCTTTCATTTCCTTGTTTCTTTCTTGGGCTTCTTTCTAGGATTCCTGGGAGAAATGCAAGTACTTAGCAAGAAATGTTGAATTGTTTTGAGCTCTAAGAATCGTACTTCGCCGAGTTCGTCACTCTCCTAAAAAAAGCTGAAGACCAAGAACTACAGAAGAAGGAGTCTAAACGACGTAGTAGTTACGGCCAAGTAGCAGGGATAAACCAGATTCTGTCGTCGAGTGCGAATACAGGCGGAAACTTCGCAACTACTATACCACAGGGCCCACCTCCGACGTATGCGGTAGAACAGGTAGCACCAGGTCGAGTCAGTACGATCTCGCGAGTCTCAAAATCAGAAATCGTTTTTCCTACGACTACAACCGCAATCGGAGCTGCCAATGCGATGTTCACATCTTCTTCCGGCGACCCTGTTCTTCAAGGACAACTTCTGCAACAGAGTGCTCTTTCCAACACGATGCTAACAAGTGCCATGAAGTCGAGCTACCCAAGTGCACCACCAGGGGTAGCAAGAAGAACGACACGCGACTCGCGACAGCACTCACTGCCGCAAATTTTGCCGGCCAATGGAGTGTCTTACCTGACGAGAAACAGCGGCGCGGCAAACATCAGTCACAGTTGGAGTCAGCAAGAATAGCAGCAAAGATGAGAGAGGGAAAGCGTAAAAAAGATAAACATGAACACATCGTAGCAAGAACGGGTAGTCTATTGGTGCAGATTTTTTCATCTAATTACGATTACGAAGCAGTCCAGTGCATAAAATGAATAAAATGTCAACAATCATGTTCCTCGTGAATTGTCTGTCAAAAAACAGAACTCCTGACAGTATTTCTACCTACTTATTCTTCTGATGTCATTGTTAATTTATCATTCAACATCAAAATCTTCGAGTTACCCGTACGCGTGCACATAAGTCGCACTTAAGATAAAACACAAGTAGATAGAAAACATACACTTATGTATTATATATAAAAAGAAGATACGCTTACTTTTTGGCTAGGTTCATCTTATAACTGCGTGCTTTCGTACTGAAGCAAGTAATGACCGTACTGGATAATCAGGATTTTCTATTTACGTAGCAAGTCTTTGTATTTGTTTCTGCAACCGACACGGCGGGCGCCTACTTTTATCTAGATAGCGACCTTTCCGCTACGATAGTGTGTTGCGAGACCCTTACGGTTGTATCTAAAAAAATGAACAAATAATAAGGCTTGCTGTCATCCTCGTGATGTTACACTTGTCAAAAATCTCGTGTTGTAGTGAAAACGTACCAGCTAGAGGAGCAGCATAGAATGACTAAGAAGCATGATTAATGAAGATGAACGAAAATGACATGCTGATGATGAGACCATTTCCCCCGGATCCGTTGCCGTCACGACCCCGCTCCTCGACCTCAACAACAACATAGTAACACCCATACCCACGACTCAGCTAATTCGTCGCCTTGAACACCAATCTTGCCTTGAAGCCCATGATCCAGCTCCTCCTCGTCCTCGTGGTCCCCGATGACTTTTATTAGAAATTTACACTTTGGAATTGGATGAAAGTTCTAGGTAAACCTCATTATTAGATGTTTATACTGCTGCATACATCCCAGCGTTTCGAAGATGTAATCGCAATCGATCGTATCGAGTCCAGGTGGTTTTCGAGTCAACTTTTGTTAACACAAGACAATGACACCATCAAGACCAAAATAGATTTCTGATGGTGCTGACGTGACTACAGTACTAGAGGTTTTTCAGTACTTGAGACATTTTCTTAGTGACCAATGTTCAAGGAGGGAGAGCACTACATGTCGTCTCCAGGCGACGGAGATGGCAAACAAGATGGGCAGGATGTTGGCAGTGAGGATTTTCCGCAGAATTTACATTCGTTATGGAATTCGAATATAGATTTCTTTGAATTTAAGTTTGAAATGTAGACTTCCTCCTCAATGTGACTTGTCAGAGAAGATGATGATTATTTTTCTTCCTATGCTTTACTTAGAATCACCAGTATCAGATTTATTTTCTAACTTCTACTTCTACCTGATCCTCCTGATTTTTCTGACAGAACACAAATATTAGGACTTAATAAGTCGTCCTGATTTTTCTGACACCAGAAAACAACAACAGAAAACATGATAGGACTTAATAAGTCGTGTTCTAATATCCGCAGCCACCTTCTACCAATCTCTTCGCCTGATCGATGTCGAAGCTCCGGACAGTAACGTGCCCTCCGAATCCGAGGAGGAAAGCGAAGGCATCAATGAGGAGGACTTAGCCTTACTTGGAGAAAGGAGTAAGATGCCCAGTCCAAGTGGCTCATTCATGGGAGAAGATCCACGGGAGGATATGAAGACAGGAAAAAGTGTACTCATAGAAGTACTCAAGAAAAGAGGCTTTTCCCTACAACTTATACTAGAAGAAAGTGTCTACTTTCTTGAGGATGTTGACGAGCAGTACACTTTTATGTCGCTTCATAGAGGAGGTGGAGAAAAAGCCGAAGAGGATAACCTGGACCGACGTTTTGGGACAGCCTAAGATAGATCCTGACACAGTCACTTAAGGCTTGTTACCCTTATCCATCTTCTGAGACATCCTGAAGAGGCTTTTCAACGGGAAAGCGCGCCCACGATGCGTCTCAAGTAACATGGATATTAAGTGTGAGATCCTCTAAATCGCGCTGTTTGGACTGATGGGAGATGGTAGTGCGGAAGGTGATACTGGTGAAGAAGAGGAAGATTTCGATCATGAGGAAACTACTTTGACTAGTAAACAAGTACCTCCAGCTCAAGAAGCACGACTAGAGCAGTCACAGGCTGGTGTAGAGGGTACGCCAGAGGCAGAAGATGGAGGGCAAATTCCAGTTCCGGGGGCAGTACCTAAAGAGCAAGCAAAACCTCCTAGTCGTGGTTCTCGTCGCACACGTCGGGGTGCAGGATCGAAGAGAAGTTTAAGAAGAGAGATCTTCATTTTGGGAGATGACATTTGTTTCATCTGTAGTAGATTTTCAAAACGGATAGAAGAGCTTGATGAGGTCTCCACCAACTCCAGCACCTTCGACCTCATGCCAAGCACATCAAAATCAATCTTCAGTACCAGTCAATCAATCACTCAGTCAATCACTCAATGATAATAACTTCAAGAACTACACATAATCATCAGCCTATTATCTAGATTTTCATCCTAGTACGTGGTACGACTTCAACTTGATTCGTTCCATTCTAACTCCCAAAGTCCGCCCACTAGAGGTGTACGACATCCAGGAAGACCTGAACCGCGAAAAGCAGGACCAATTTCGAAACGAGTACAGGGCATCCGATTGTCCCTATTTCCTAGAGTCTGGCACCAGGATCTTCCGCGAGACAATGGAGGGCCCCATAACCGAAAGCATGTTAGGAAAAGCGAATGCAGAGAGAAATCTAGGAGTCAAACAGGAGAAGAAAAAGGTACCTAGTCCTCTTATACTTATAGTAAGTTGACTTTTTTACACATCCGACTGTGGTCGTTTTCTTTCATGTTCTTGTCCTCTGGAAGGTAGATTGCTGCCAACTCCAATTTCGTAACCAAGAATGACCAAGCTGTTCTTGTGCTCGTCTTTTATCAGTAAACTAAACTGAATGGTTCCGGTATTTTTGGTATAGCCTGAATTAGATCATAAGGGAAAACAAGAAGAGAACCCTTAGGATCAAATTCAGGCTATACCCAAAATACCAGAGCCATACATAAACGGAAACACGACCCTCTTCACACCTCCGTAGTACTTCTGTAGCAACTCCACAGGAAGCTCCCCGGGACCTGTTCAAAGAGGCTTATCGAGAAGCCTACGCTCTATCGGGGCTGGACCGGTACAGAGAGCGGTTAGACATGTTGGGGAAGAAGTGCACCTCTGAAGCGTGGCAGATTCGCGAGAAAAATTCCAACTTCCTGAAGAAGCACCTAGCGCATGTACAGAGCGAGGGGCGACAAGCGAGTGGTGCAGCACATGGCTTTATCATGAAGAAGTATGGAGACGCGATTGAGCACAGACTCATGAGGGGACAAGAGAAGGCAAAGAAGTAAACATGTAACCATGCAGTTCCTGTTCATGATGATTCAAGGTGTGATCCTTCATCTGCTGAAAGTGAAACAAGAATTAGAATGATAAAAAGCAGAAACAGCTGCACTCTCTCCGTCATCTACCAAAATAAGTGCAACTTGCAAGACATGTAATTTTTCATGTGCTGCACACGAGCTCTAGTATGAAAGAGCTCCTTCAACATCTGAAATCGTATTTGCATCACATGTTCAGCTTAAATCTCTGGAGCACCGTTGAGCTGAAATCGAATTTGCATCACATGTTCAGCTCTGGAGCACCGTTTGCAAATCTTTCTGCGGAGATCATCTTCTGGATCCAGATATTGGGGGGTGCCCCGAAAAGAATAATAATTTCCCAATGGTGCTGAGTCAAAGGAGGATCTCTTTTTGGTAGTATGAAAACTACTACGTTGTACTAGTACTACATCATGACCTAGTATGAAAACTACTACGTTGTACTAGTGCTACATCATGACCTAGTATGAAAACTACTACGTTGTACTAGTGCTACATCATGACCTAGTATGAAAACTACTACGTTGTACTAGTGCTACATCATGACCTAGTATGAAAACTACTACGTTGTACTAGTACTCCTACATGATCTACCCAACGCAGATTCAAAATGAAAAACTACAACATTCACCACCACGAATCTTCAGCATCGACTGCCGCATCTTCACCAACCACCTAGCAGAGACCACTACTCGAGGAATCTTCTTCAATCTCTCTTGATCATTTCTGCACTTTCTCGTGGTTGATGCTATTTTTGGATGCTCCTCCTGTGAAATTTTAATATTGGAGCTACCCTGCATCTACTTCTACAACTACTAGGCGTGCCGCGTGCGTAGTTTTTTTAGCATTTCTTTGGTTTGATATTCTTTTTGTTTTTATTTCTCTTTATTCTGGTTAGGTTTAGCTGCTCCACCACGACAGAGATTGAGATGTCAACTTCATCTAATACCTGTGTTTGTGCCTATCCAGAATCCTGTTTCTCCCTTGTCCAGATGAACAAAATCGACCGAGCTTCTTCCTTCAGTGTGCGAACTACTACTAGCTGCACAACAAGTACTACAAGAACTACATCAATCCTCGGAGAACCTACTTGTTCTTGTTGTACTTTTGATGTAGTTCCAATGAGGGCTACTAGTGCTAACGAGGCAGAACAAGTTCGATACTTCCGACAAAGGGGAAACGAGCTATTCAAGCGTAAGCAGTTCCAAGATGCGATTCATTTTTACACGAAGGCGATTGAAGTTGTTGAACACCTCCTGCAGCATAGCAATAAAACGTTTCCTAGTTGTACGAGTCGTGGCCTCGACGTGCTGCAACATATTAGCAATGAAACGTTTATTCCTGGTTGTACCAGTGGACTAGACAACCTGGCAAAGCTCTACACCAACCGTGCTGGTGCATATGCGGCGTTGAAGTATTGGATAGCGGCTGAAAAGGATGCACGAAAAGCGGTCGAGATTCGTCCGGATTTCGTACTCACACTTTGACTTTCATTTTTTCATCCTATTTTTTAATTTCATCACTCCCCGCTCTATATTAATAGTATCTATAAAAATAGAGGCGAGAAAAAGTATAAGTAATAGCCGCTCTTCTACTGATTACTTTTACTCGCTGTTTGATTTGATTTTATACTTCTGTTTGGAGTACTAGCAGAGTTTTGCTGTAGAAATTCTGAGTTTATACGAGGGCGTAGAGAACAAGGTACGACATCGACTAGAAAGATTCGCATTGTGAATGGTTCTGGTATTTGGTAACCTGATTTTGCTCATACATAAGGGAAACAAGAAGAGAATCCTAGCGATCCAATTCAGGTTACCAAATACCAGGAGGATACACATTGTTAGACTAGAAAACGACCAGCATTGCCGTTGTTCTTCAAGAAGTGCATTGCAATTTCAAAAAACAGGTGAAGGGCTATTACCATTTGCAGCGAGCCCTTTTGAAGCAGAAAAAAGGGGAGGAGGCTTTGGAGGTTATAGAAAAGTTGCAGCAGAGCTCCTTTCTACGCAGAAGTAGAGGTGGTCCTAGTGGTGCCTTTGATCATGAAGCTGAACAACTCGAGCAGGAGCTATTGGAGGAATCCTACAGGGAAGCGAAGCGTCTATGTAATAGATCGATCGACGACTACGAAATTGTTGAAGAGATAGGGACAGGAAATTATACGTCCATTTTCGTTGCGAGGTGGAAGAGGAGTGGGGAAGAGGTATTTCGTTTTATTGTTGTATTTCTAAGGAAGTAGAAGTTGGTACATAATCTTCATAAAAAGAACAAATCAATGCAAGAAATTTATTCAACTACCTCCTCAACGATTTTCAAAAAATAGGTTGCCTTGAAAGTCGCGAACAAGCACCGAATTTCGCTTATGAAGAAGACGCACGAGCTACGTCGTGAGCGACACATTCTAGAGCGGTGCAGACACGAAAACATCATCAAGCTGCTAGACTACTTTGTGGACGAGTCCCAGTTATACATGGTTCTCGATTATTGCAAGGGTGGCGATCTCCAGAGCATGTCGAGACTATGTGGACTTGGAATTGATATGTCAAGGCATTATCTGGCACAGGTACAACAGCTACTCGCGCTTGGACTTTCACCTGATTATTTTTAAGGAAAAGTTTTCTCGTCGTGAAAGAAGAACCAACAGCCCCAGTATGATGAAAAACCAGCGTCTTCATCTATCTCCTTCTACATATACAGGTTTCTCTGAAGATAAAGAAATTGATTGGAGCTATGATCTTCATCTTCGCTAAACTTCATCCCCACAACAGCACAACTACACAACTACCACTAGCTATCACGACACACGACAGGTGCTCGCAGGTTTGTCCTATTTGCATAGTAAGCAACGAGCACTAAGACAGGTAGACAAAGACATGAACAGCTACAAACGAGGTTCCATGACATGAGATGACACACGACCACAGGTGCTCGCAGGTTTGTCCTATTTGCATAGTAAGGAGATCATGCATCGCGATATCAAAGCCGAAAACATCTTGGTGTGCCAGGATACGCAATTAGTGAAGTTGATCGACGGCGGTTTCGCCAAGGATCTTAGGAATCCACTGTTGGACGACGTTATTGATGCGCCAAGGGTGAGCTTTTCGAGTAGGAGCAAGAGTTTTGTGAATTATGCGGGGACTCCGCAGTTCATGGCGCCTGAATGTACTTTCTCTTTATTCCTCCTGGGAGTCCGTCGTGTATTTTTTTTGTTCCTGCTCTGAAAATGATTGAATTTTTAGAATTTTTGTGAAGAATATCATGTTGAACATGTAATTTATGATGTCGTGCATATGATCATGATGATCTTTTATCTTTCATCATGCGCAGCAGCAGCACTGCTCTTCCTTTCACACAGTCACCAACATGAAATGTTCTCCCCTATTAAAAAAACAAGTTTGTTGATATCCATATTTTTCAGTGTCTTTCCTCCTCATGATTAACAACTTGTTTTTCTTACTCCTCCCTCCTGCTCCTCAGGCATTCGCGGCAGCACCTCCTCAGCGTCTAGTTTTGATTCTGAGTGCTGGAGCTTTGGGTGTCTTGTTTACCAGGTCGTTTTTGGCATTCCTCCTTTCCAAGCTGGCAGCGAATATCTAGTCATTCTGCGTGTCATGCACAACGATTTGGAGTTTCCAAGCGAAGTTTTATACCCAGAAGTGAACGACCTGGTCCGACGGTGTTTGAAATGGAATCGAGAAGAACGATTTACGATGACGCAGATTCGGAATCACGCCTTTTTCAGTGGTGAGTTTGTTCAAGGGGTAGAAGGAAGTGTGGAGAATAGAGATCCAGACGCGATGGCGTATTTGAGGAGACAACAACTACGAGCAGGAAGACTTGAAGATATTAAGAAGAGGCTGATGAAGGTGTTCCTGTTACCGTTCGCTTTGCCTCTCTGAAGGAGGAAAGGCATAACGAACGGGATAAACGAACACCAAAAACTTGTTATCTCTAATGTTGATAATTTTCCAGCAAGAATAAACCGTGAACCACGCCCAGGACGTGGATCTATTATATCATCTGCCTGCTCAAGTAGTAGTGCAACCTCCACGTGTAGTTTATCCCTCATGTACAACGACTCAAGCCTCCTTTACAACGACCACGACTCAATGATAAGAACGACAACGCTTCTAGAAGACGAACATGATAGGAGCTTTCCTAGTGCCTCTGGACAACTAGTTGCTTTCTCCCGACAACGAGAACAAGAGGCACAAGAACCACATGAGAACTTCAAGTACTTCGTAGTTTGCAACAAGAACGACCGCAAGATTAATTTTTAAGGTCAACATTTAGTGTCCATCTTTCTCGGCATCTCGGTACTCTTTTCCCTTGATGTATTCTCATGAAATACAACGCAAAAGGGACCCCAAGAAAAGGAGGGCCGAGATGCAATCGAGTCGCAGACTCTAAACTAAGAATGACAAACGGAACATCTCAGCTCTTAGCGTAAAGTGTCTGCGCGCAATCCGTGAGCACCGAGATGAAAACGATTTGGACCACAAGGAGAAGAATCTTAACCTGCTGAAACGGGTACGAGACGATCTACTACCTGCATGGAAAGAAAAGCTCCGAGAAAAGATGAAGACAGTCCAGCTCCTTCATCGGGACACCGAAAAGGACGCCGAGAAGGACGTCGCCGAGAAGGCGTCGCGTGTTCTTAGCAATGAAGTGGACAACTACGAGGACAACTACGAAGCGTCCTACTACTGTCACCAGAGACGCACACATGAGCATGACGTAGTAGACGTTACTGGTGAAGATGACAACGACGTCAAACGCACACATGACGTAGACGTTACTGAAGATGACAACGACGTGGTGAACAACTACTCTTCCACGACCATGCTTCTAAGTAAAAACTCCAACTTCTTCTTGACCACGGCATCATCCGAATCCGACGGCCTGTCGAACTTGATCAACCTCGTCGAATGTTTCTTGACGGTGTGGCAATGGACACAAGAAAGTCGTCAAGGGCAGCTTACAGCCAAGTTGAGGGAATTCTTGGAACTAGATGCAAAAAAGCATGAAGACGAGGACCACGGAAGTCGGAACCTCATGGCAGAGAGAGTAGCGAAAAAGTCACGTAAAATTAGACGAAAACAGAAACGGTATATGCGAGGACAACACGAAAAAGTACAGCACAAAAACAACGATAGTTCTGCTGTGCCTGTGTTGAAAGAAGAAGTCCGAGAAGGTGTGGAGCTTGTTGACGTTGATATCCTTATCGATGACGAAGCGAAGAATGTGGAGCTTTCAGACGATGTTAAGGAGATGCTGCAAGACTTGGACTTCTTCGCAGATGATGAACCCTCCAGTAGTTGTGTGGACTTTCATGATGTTGATGAGCAGCGCCACCTTTTCAACTACATGCATCAAACCGAAAATTCTGTTTCTGACGAGCTTGAAGAGTTTCCGGCTTCCGAAAACGATGAGGACGATGAGCCTTACTCGTCAGATGATATTAAGGCTTCTTGAGAAATAAATCAAAATCCATCTTCTAGCTACTAGTAGGTACTTTTTTTATCCGCCAGAGGAGACCCAACATCTTCCTTCGTCCCGTTTTCAAGAGAAAATGGGACTCAGGATGCTGCTGACCAAGATGGATTTTTGCAAGGTCTAACGATGGCGATTTAAGCAGTGACACATCAGATGAAGAAGGGGAAAAATACAAAGCACATCAAGTGGCTTGTTCTAGATATGGAGAACCCACAAATGAAATTGTGGGCTCTATTGAACGGGAATTTTGCTGAACTGCAACGTGCTACAAACATACATACGCACATACATACAGCTACAAACTAGTATCACTAAGAACATGACGAAGAGCACACACAACATAAGCAAATGATATCCACCTCTACCGCCGTTGGCCCTTACCACCAGTTTACCTTTCGCTTCTTACCCCACCTCAATCCCATCCTCGCCTACTCCATCTCATTTTCTGCAGCAATTGCCTTCAAAAGATTCATATCATACTGTATAGTTTAATTTTTTTTAGTCAAGATGAATGATTATAATGATTCTTCACGCTTGTTTCCTATCAAGAACTAGTACTAGTACATCCACGGCGCTGTCTTCTTCCTCGTCTTAGAGTTAGCAGCTTCTGCTCACAACAGAAAACAGAAATCTTCAACTGCACAAGTGAAATCTTGAAGTTTTTTTTTCTGCGTTGGCTCGCTTTCATGATGAAAAGAATAGTAATTGGTATTTGGTAACCTCAACATACTGATTTTGATCTTCACAAGGCGGGAAAACAAGAATTCAGAACCTCGGAGATCGAATTCAGGGATGAACCGAATACCAGAACAGGGCATCATCCCCTTGCCTTTCACGAAAATGTTGAGGATGCCTTTTGAAGAGGATAATCTTACCTTTCACAATGCTGAGGATAATGCTTGACTCCCTTATTTCTGTTTCATCATGTCTTTCTCGTTGAAGGAACGACCACATCTTCAATTGAATTCTTTCCCAGGTTATAGATAAGTACGTAGTTCTAGTCAATAATAATATCTATGTCTACGTTGAAGAGGATCCCCTGGCATGAGTGGGCCCCTTGAACTTGAACTTGAAACGACAGGAGCTTTTCAAGTTCATCTCTTAATAGGGAGATGCTGGTGTCGATCCATCACACATCACAGAGATCTGCCTCCTAGCAGTAATCGTGGTTCTTGGGCTAATGAGCTGAAGCCTGGGGGTTAGCAGACGCTGGCTTCCTCGCTAAAGCATCCTTAGCATCGGGGTTAGGTCCCGAGTCGGCTCGGTTGCACTATGAATTTGAAATTGAATATCAGGCGCAACATAAGAAGTAGTTTTTTATCTTGCTGCAGTAGAACTATAACTAAGTAGCTGTAGAACGAAATAGTAGATATAGAGCAAACTTGATACACACGGAGCAGAATCACAGGCGAAAGTACTTCTGGTATTGGCTATGTATAATGTTAGAGATGATCATGTTAGTACTTTTTTTTGACTATTTGTTGTTTGCAGGGTTTTCGGTTTCTTCGATGGACTGCTTGTGCGTCCTGATTTGTTGCTCCACTAGACATGGTAAAATGACAAGCCATTCCGATCATTTCGGCGACTCCCTCTTCGAATGGTTACGAACTGGGAAATGAATAGTGAACAAGAAGAAGATGAACGAGAAGGTATTGCAGTTACTTTTCAGTAGAACTAGAGGTTGTTCTTTGGTGCTGTACTGTGAATGTGGTTTTTTTAGTAGGAGATCCGCGGTTGTTGATCGTTGAACTCGATCATCAACACACATCGGCGTGCGGACCACCTCCGAACAAACGCATCATGTCACCCAAAAATGGACTGAAATTTTGGCCTAATCTTTAGTTCATAAACTAGAAAAGAACAAGAAGAAGCGAGAGTAGGATTGAGTGTAGTTTAGCCCTTCGCCAGGCACATCAATATCAATTTATCAATGTATGTTCACGCATATCTATGTCGCGTGCTCTGAAATCTCATACTTTTGCTCTCTCTTGTTGAGTTGTTCTTCATGCTGTTGCAGCCTGTTGATACTACTAAAATGAATAAGACCATAGTTTGTGCGTAATAGCCTGTTGATACTGCTAAAATGAATAAGATAGTTTGTGCTTTTTAAAGGCCGGTTTTCTGCTAAAATGAATACGATCATAGTTTATGCCCGTAACAGCCTGTTGATACTGCTAAGATGAATACTTAAGATAGTTTGTGCTGTTCTACTCGTCTTCTTGAAGCTACTTGTACCCAAAAGGATTTGGAAGAAAGTTATCGACGTCATGATTACACGTTCTACGGTGTGACGGTGTGACCGTAGTTGTACGGCTTCAGGTCTATTGATGTAAAAATATCAGCTGAATTCTACTTTCGCCAGGCTTTCGCCAGGCTGTCGCACGAAAAAAAATCTGTTGAGAGTCGAGTGAAACCGAAATGCATAAATGCCACCTACCTACCTGGGTGACTTTTAAGCATTTTGGTGACCCGCCAGTCGCCTTTTGGAAACTGATTGGGGTCTAGAGTGTTCCCAACTTCTGTCTTGTGTGAGTCGAGAGACGCGGACTTGTTTACGGACAAAAAGAAAGAGGACGGAAGAATGGAAAAACTTCAGATCTTACGCGCAGCTTGATTTAAAAGGGGGAGAGCGTCCCATCGCTCTCCCTCGCCGATCCTTTTATCTCCCGCCCGCTCTTAGCAGAGAAGTGGCTAGCAGGCATAAGGCAGCCCCTTGGGTAGGAGTAACCCCTCCGGTTTCTGTTTTTCTTTTTGGGTATTTTATGGCGATTGCGGAAGCGGGATCCGGTTGAGGATGGTGCACGCCGCGAAGGAGGGAGCGCGAGGCAGTGAAGATAAGAAAAACTAGGCTAGTGCACTCCCAACAACGAAAAACATGCTGTACTTAGGGCCTTACGCCAGTAGGCATTTATTTCTAGTTGTTCACTTGTCAGTTGATTGCGCATTAGTCAAGAGTTAGCAGGGTTGGCATCCCCTGCGCTCGTGCCTTGAAGGTAGGCGTATAAGAGTGGGACGGTTGGCAGCCGGTGGAGGTTTATATAAAAGACCCTTAACTCACCTCCTTCACCCCTAGGGTTCATCATTTTAGAATCGGCGGGTTCGTAGGCAATTAGTGCGCAGTATTATAAGGAGGTAACCGGACTCCACCCGCCGCCGGTTTGCGAACCGGATAAAGCTGAGGCCGCTCCTTCAGTAGCCCCGGGATCCAAAAAAAAAAGTTCTAGCTGGAGTGGAACCCCCTGAAACTTGAAACGAGAAGCAGTAGACTTCTGAGGACGATCCAAGTATCATGAGCATCTTAATTCTTTGACTTTGTACAGCATGTTAATCGTGCTCTCATTTACCTCCGACGTCCTCAGATCATATCGTTTAGTCTCCGCCGTCGTAGTGCTACATCTACATCATCCAAGTACTAGACTTCTACTACTAGAGGCTCCTGGTCCTCCTGCGACATGAATATCCAGCTATTTTCTGTGACGTCTACAACTCGAAGATCCACTTGTATTTCATATATATACACTTGTTGTATTTCATATACTTAGATACAGGATGATCTCAAGTCCCAGTAGTTTACCTCCCAGTCCCAGTTGTAGATGGTACCTAGACCTAGGAAGAAGGAGTTGTGAATCTTTTGACCTAGTAAGTGTGGTCCTCAATGATCTTAGTTGTAGTACCTACGGAAGAAGGAGTTGTAGATACTGCCTATTTCATCCAGAGACGCGCAAAACCCATTGGAATTGAAACTGTGTCCAGTATACAAATTGATGTTGATGTTCTTTCATCTTAACTTTCCCAATCCATACATTTTTACAGCATATTTGTTAATCCTGGCATTTACCCCCAAAGTGGTCAGATATCGTTTAGTCTCGACCGTAGTACTACGTATTCGTATAGGATAACTCCGAAGACGAGGTGGACTATTAGTAGAGACCACTACTTCTGCACTTTCTTGCAGCTATCTGTGTCTGTAACGTAAATTTTCCAAGAAATTTCACGCAAGAATTTCAAAAAATACAGATGTAAAATATTGAAAAACTACAGTAGGCCGCGTTGGAAAACGAGGCAACGCGTGCTATCTTGTGTCTGTGACGTAAATTTTCCAAGAAATTTTGCTCAAGAATTTCAAGAAATTCACTCAAGAATTTCAAATACAGATGTAAAATATTGAAAAACTACAGTGGGCGTTGAAAAAGGGGGCAACGCCTTTTCAGCTCAACACAGAGCAATGCATGTAAGGGGTTCTTCATACTAGTACTAAAAAACCGAGGTGGCCCAGCATGATGTAGTATAGCTGGTCTCCCCGTAATAGGTGGAGAGAAGAGTAACAGTTGTGAAGTGCAGCACGGATAAAGAGAAGCTAGAGAGATGATGGAGTCTGCATTATAGCTACAAAGAGGTGGAGTGGGGAAGATACCTGTGGTTGCTTCCATCTATGAAGTCATCATAGCAACAAAGAGGTGGAGTGGGGAAGATACCTGTGGTTGCTTCCATCTATGAAGTCATCATAGCAACAAAGAGGTGGAGTGGGGAAGATACCTGTGGTTGCTTCCATCTATGAAGTCCTCATAGCGACAGAGAGGTGGAGTGCGAGTGAGGATACAACCTGTGGTGTGGAGCTTCCATCTGTACATTTGGTGTCGCTATGTGTTATTGTAGAGGAAGAACAAGACGAAGAGGGAGTAGGAGAGTAGTTTGGTGTCGCTATGTGTTATTGTAGAGGAAGAAGAAGAAGGAGTAGGAGAGTAGAAGGGCATGAAATTGAGAACAAGAAGACACATGCATTGGTTCACTTGGTACCTGACTTTCGTTCATCCTCACTACCCTAGGTTCGAACATTGGGAAAAGAAGAAACAGATTGTCACGGTGCATGCAAAGAGAGAAATACCTCTAGACTGGGTACACTACTACTACTGCTACTACTACTAGAAGAGAGTTGTCGCAGTTCTAACTGCGACTGTACAGAGAAATTGACATGATCGTGCGATTATCTTGTTATATGGAAAATATACATTAACACGGATGAACATGAAGTAGTTACAACTTTGACAACGCACACATTCAGCATGCTGTTAGAAGACATTGAGCATGCAGATCATGCATTCTTGAGCAAATTTATGATGCTTCTTAATGGAGCTAGTTAATTTTTCTTAGGTAGATGGAGGTACAAGTCCAGACAACGATGCCGTCTATTTCTGACTCCGGTTCGTCCCCGCTCCCCTTCGGCAATCCTGAATTCTATCCTCGATTACTGACTCTACTGGAGGAACAACGGGATTTTTTCGCCCATTATTATGCCGAAACCTGCAAGCGCCTATTGGTTTTTGATCGCGAGACAGACGATCTGAAACGGCAGTTGTACGATAAACAACTGCAGATCGGACCTCCCAACGAGGTCGGACTGGTTCTACAGTCCAACAATGAGAATGCGTCTTTTCTCTATGCAGACCCCTTTCCAGCGGTTGCGGCGTCCGCTGGAGGAGGAAGGAGAGGGGGTAGATCGGTTTCTCCGAATCCTCAAAAAGACCCTGCACCATCTTCAGCGAACCCTTATCGGATACCAGAGTCGACAGAGGCAACGATTAGATCACGTGGAGCGCTGTTGAGGAGAAAAATGTTAAGAAAGCTTCTAGTACATAGTGCTTAACAGCGCTAGAAACTCCTGTCCACCTGTATCTTCTGTTCTAATAGTACAAAGTGCTTACTTGCGCTAGAAACAATGATATAATGGTTCCATTAGGACTAATGGCAGTCCTGATGCTACGGAGTAACACTAGCTCATTACTGCCATGGACTACGTCAGGAGATGCTGTTGGACTACATCAGGAGTTGTCTAACATGTCCAAAGCCGCTCAGGCGTCAAAAGATACCTCCAGAACAGGTAAATGAATGAGTGAATGATGTAGTGTTAGTCCACGAGGTGCATCTTCTGTTCTAATTCGAGAAGTAGTCGGGCCGGACCTACAGCAGTTGAGATCACTCTCCAAACTGGGGCCCCCAGGAGAAATGGCTAGGGTGACCTGGCACGAACTCCAGTCCTGGATACGACACGTGAAAGCGTGTATGCGTAAAGGTAATGTCAGAGGTGGAGAACATGCGTCGGGACTAAGAAGCGTCGGGACTAAAGGAGGTGCTAAGAAGGTGGAAAATAGAGGACGAAAGAATAATCTTCAGGAAGATGGTCCTCGTGCTCCTGGTTCCATGACCGGCGGTGCTGAAGCAGAGGGACCACGAGAGGGAGATGACATCTTCAGAGATGATGGGGACGGCGAGAGGACTTCAGAAAATAATTCTGAAGCAGAACTACAAGGGGGACATCAAGATGCCGATAGTGATAGCAGTAATGCTCCGACGAAACGACCCTTGGAGGTTGCAACCGCTGGAGCGGACGAAGGACCACCACCAAAGAGAGGAAAGCCACCTCGTCCACCACCTGTTCTAGACACGTTAGAGTGTCTTTCGCTCCCTCGCTACGCATTGCTGACAATCGAGGTAACGCCACCGAATTCACCTACTGCGGCTGATAAGGGAGGCAAGCAAGCAACGTCGGCTACAACGGAGGGAAGCGGAGCAGCATCAAAAACAAGAACAGTGGCAGCTTCTAGCCCTAGTTCTTCATCTCCATTTTTAAATATTGATATAAAAATTGCAACATCACAAGAACAACAAGTTGCGCTTCCTCCACCTGCCAAACGTCCACACATTTCCTTAGAAACTCTCTACTACAAGCGGAAACGTCATCGAAGTGAAGCGCCGCCACCAGGTTCTAAAGAAGAATATCTGGAGAAACTGGGAATAGATATGTCGTCTGCGATGTCTGTATTTTCAGCGGAGAACAGTCAAGAAAAGGTCGACCCCAACAACCAGATATTCCCAAGGCAAAGCTTTTGCGAGTGGTACAAATCGCCGAAACAGTTCCATTATGAAACATTTATAATTATAAAATATATAATCATGTCAGTGACAGTGTCAGTGTCTTCTAGAAGAACTAGAACAAGAACATATTCGTTGTTCTCTCGTGTACTACCTCAACCATGAAAAGTAAAGGAAAAACAACTCGAATAACTCCCTATCTCCATCTCCTTTCATGCCCCACGGGAGCACGCTGGCAGCACCATGATTGGAGCGCAAGTGGGTCTCGATTTCTCAACGGAAGAGAGTTTTACCAAAGCTTGGCAGAAGTCGCATTGTTTGTGTCTAGATGAACCGGCGTCGAAGAGGAACGTGATCATGATGCAAGTCTGGTACCCCAAGCCTAATCCTAAGGAGCAAGGACGAGATAACAAGCTGAAGAAAGGTGTGGCGGTTGCGGATTCATCTTATGGCAGGGATTATAGAGTGAAAGTAACAGTCGTGACGATATTATTTGTGAGGTAGTGGTCGTAGACAGAGTTGAAGTTGAGCTGATTGTTCAACCGGTTTCCATTCCGTTCCATCGCCGTAGTACCCTTGGGTTGGACAAAAGCGTACAAGACAGAGTGGGACGGTTGGCAGCTGGTGGAGGTTTCTATATTTTTATAGTATAACAATAACTCCCCGGGCCCGGGTGCCCCGGGAGACGTTAAGGAAGGGAAAAGGATACTTTAGGGACGTGGGCGGGGGTGAATGGTTTCACAAGGTGAAACGGGCGCCCGAGGGGCGCGCACTCCCCTCCGCGCTGCGGCAAAGGGGAGCGGGAGCGCGCAGGCTTTAAATACAAGAGAAAGGTGGCAGCACTGCCACCGATTCCTCTTGAAAATGTGGCAGCATGAAAGGCCTGCAGTGTTTACTTGAGAGGCGTCTTAGGGGTCCTTTAGTGTTTACATTAAAGGCGAGGGATCCTCTAGCGTTTACATCACAGGCGCCTTGGGGGTCCTCTGGTGTTCACATTAAAGGGGAAGGGAGTCCCTTAGCATTCACGTTAGTGGCGTCTTAGGGGTCCCCTAGTGTTCACATTGATTAGTGCTCGGGGGTTTTTCGTAGTATTTAGATAGTCGCTGCTGTGGCTGTCGTTGCTGTTGTTGTTGTTTGTTGCTGTTTGCTGCTGTTTGTTGCTGGTGTTTTGCTGCTGCTGTTTTGTTGCTGCTGTTTTGTCGCTGCTGCTTTGCTGCTGCTGCTTCGTTGTTGCTGCTGTTGTTTTGTTGCTGTCGTTGCTCTTGTTGTTGCTCTTGTTGTTGCTTTTGTTGTTGTTGTTGTTGTTGTCCTTGCTGTCTTTGTTGTTTTTGCTGCTGCTGCTGTTGTTGTTGTTCTTGCTGTTGTTCTTGCTGTTGTTCTTGCTGTTGTTCTCGCTGTTGTTGTTGTTGTTGTCCTTGCTGTTGTCCTTGCTGTTGTTCTTGCTGTTGTTCTTGCTGTTGT